CAATAGATCAGAGTCAAAGGTTTTATGAGACAAAATAAAGAAGAAGCAGGAAGTCTAAATCATGAGAAATTGGCAAAAATGTAGACGTCACTAAAAAATGTGTAGTAGGACTACGAGGGCAACATTGAAGTTGGTCTCATCCGCCAAATAGACCCCGAAGCTTCTCAAAAAGATATCCAATCGAAAAAAGCAAGGTAAATCATACCAGGGAATGAGTGCTCAATCCAATTAAAGACCCAATAGCAGAGCAATTGACCAGCAAAGTTGAGGCAACTACGTGTTGCGTAGCCTCACAGCGTAACATAATAAAAGAATAAAAGTCACGCTGTAATCACGTTTCCATCACGCTGTAATCACGTTTCTATCACGCTGTAATCACGTTTCTATCACGCTGTAATCACGTTTCTATCACGCTGTAATCACGTTTCAATCACGTTACAATCACGTTGTGCTCACAGGCAACTCACGTGAAACAATTTGATGAGCAAAGCTGACGACAACAATAGCAAGTCTGCCACGTCGGGAAGCGCCCTCCAAGCATCTTGAAAACAGGTTACAACAATAGATCAGAGTCAAAGGTATTATGGGACAAAATAAAGAAGCAACAGGAGATCTAAATCGTGAGAAATTGGCAAAAATGAGGACGTCACTAAAAATTTGTAGTAGGACGGACGACGAGGGCAATATTGAAGTAGGTCTCATCCGCCAAATAGAACACCAATTCTCTTCAACATAGGTTCCAGCAATAGACCGGAGTCAAAGGTTTTATGGGACAAAATAAAGAAGCAGTAGGAAGTCTAAATCGTGAGAAATTGGCAAAAATGTGGACGTCACTAAAAATGTGTAGTAGGGTAACGAGGGCAATATTGAAATTGGTCTCATCCGCCAAATAGAACACCAATTCTCTTCAACATAGGTTCCAGCAATAGACTGGAGTCAAAGGTTTTATGGGACAAAATAAAGAAGCAGTAGGAAGTCTAAACCGTGAGAAATTGGCAAAAATGTGGACGTCACTAAAAATTTGTAGTAGGACGGACGACGAGGGCAATATTGAAGTAGGTCTCATCCGCCAAATAGAACACCAATTCTTTTCAACATAGGTTCCAGCAATAGATCAGAACCAAAGGCTTTATGGGACAAAATAAAGAAGCAGTAGGCAGTCTAAATTGTGAGAAATTGGCAAAAATGTGGACGTCACTAAAAATGTGTAGTAGGGTAACGAGGGCAATATTGAAATTGGTCTCATCCGCCAAATAGAACACCAATTCTCTTCAACATAGGTTCCAGCAATAGACTGGAGTCAAAGGTTTTATGGGACAAAATAAAGAAGCAGTAGGAAGTCTAAACCGTGAGAAATTGGCAAAAATGTGGACGTCACTAAAAATTTGTAGTAGGACGGACGACGAGGGCAATATTGAAGTAGGTCTCATCCGCCAAATAGAACACCAATTCTCTTCAACATAGGTTCCAGCAATAGATCAGAACCAAAGGCTTTATGGGACAAAATAAAGAAGCAGTAGGCAGTCTAAATTGTGAGAAATTGGCAAAAATGTGGACGTCACTAAAAATGTGTAGTAGGGTAACGAGGGCAATATTGAAATTGGTCTCATCCGCCAAATAGAACACCAATTCTCTTCAACATAGGTTCCAGCAATAGATCAGAACCAAAGGCTTTATGGGACAAAATAAAGAAGCAGTAGGCAGTCTAAATTGTGAGAAATTGGCAAAATGTGGACGTCACTAAAAATGTGTAGTAGGGTAACGAGGGCAATATTGAAATTGGTCTCATCCGCCAAATAGAACACCAATTCTCTTCAACATAGGTTCCAGCAATAGACTGGAGTCAAAGGTTTTATGGGACAAAATAAAGAAGCAGTAGGAAGTCTAAACCGTGAGAAATTGGCAAAAATGTGGACGTCACTAAAAATTTGTAGTAGGACGGACGACGAGGGCAATATTGAAGTAGGTCTCATCCGCCAAATAGAACACCAATTCTCTTCAACATAGGTTCCAGCAATAGATCAGAACCAAAGGCTTTATGGGACAAAATAAAGAAGCAGTAGGCAGTCTAAATTGTGAGAAATTGGCAAAAATGGGACGTCACTAAAATTTGTAGTAGGATGACGAGGGCAATATTGAAGTAGGTCTCGTCCACCAAATAGACCCCGAAGCTTCTCAAAAAGATCTTCAATCGAAAAAAGCAGTACTAAAAGTTCTATGAGACAAACAAAAGAGGCAGCTGAAGGTCTAAACCTCGAGAAATTGGTCAATAAAATTTCCGTAAATCCACAAATGAATAAAATACATACAATTCATCAATGATTCTAAGAGGGATGGGGGAGGGTGGGGGAGTTATTGAAACGACTAAAAAACCGATTAGTTTTAAACTTCAAGACCCAAAAAAAAAAATCATACCATAAGAAAATCGTAAGACGTCATAAAAAAGTGATATCTTATCTAAAAGACAAAGAAATAATTTATTGCAGCTAGTGTATTGTGGGTGGCATCCACACTTTGAAGGCCAATAAAATGTTAACTAGACCCCCAAGCGCCTCGGAAACAAGACCAATGGATTCAGCAGAACCAAAAAACCTTAAAATGCGTGCAAAAGGAGCATCTAGACGTTTAAATATTCAGAATTTGGCCGGCAAAGTTGATGCTGATGGTACTATGTTTTGTTTTGTTTTGTTGTGTTGTGTTGTGTTGTGTGTGGTATGGGTGGCAACTTTGAAATAAGTCCTACACCCCGAATCGGCCACCAAGCATAATGGACTTAGCAAAATTAAAAATGCTGGAACAAGTACCGAAAGAACTACTGCAAATTTAAACCTTGAAAAATTGATCGGCAAAGTTGCAGTAAAACAAGTGGTGATGATGATGAAGATGATAAATGGTGGTGTAGTTAAATTCCCCTCCTAACCAAAAAAAAAAAAAAAAAAAAAAAAAAAAAAAAAAACAACAAAAAAAAAAAAAAAAAAAAAAAAAAAAAAAAAAAAACATGATTTATAATCAATTACATAATCTGAACTGATTGCTGCGGCTTAATTTTTAATTTCAATAGCCCCAAAGCTGTTTTTCGGTGGCAGTTTTAGTGAAAAAAAACGTTTTTTCTTCAAATTGAGTGATTTTTATTGTAAAATTTATACAAAATTTATAAAAAAGTCTAAGATTGGTATACTTGAAAACTACGTAGAAGCACGAAAAACATACATACCAGGGCCAATGGATGAATAGGATTGAATTGTATATTGTCGATTTCAAACAAAGGGCCATTCAGCTTCCAAAATGGCTGCTAAAGCACAAAAACATCATGAGGATAGGTTTGGAAGGTTCGAAAGTACTACCTGTAGTTGGTAGCATGTAGGTTATTAAGTAATACTACGACAGGAGGGTCTTTAGGAAAGGGGTGTAACGGTGTTGAATGACGGCAACAACATTAAGAAGCTTTACACCCAATATTATTGATGATAAACTAATATTGTTGGTACTTACATCTTTTGACTTTTCCTATCGTTGAATTTTTACTTTATTCATCACACACCTGCTTTTACTTTAAATTTATTATATATTATCATACTTTAGCCTATTAATCTTTCTTATTACCCGAATCTTTGGTTTTGCTTTCGAACGTAATCTGAATTGAGATTTTTTATTGTTAAAAAATTCAAATTGGAATATTTTCTTTTATTCCTTGTTAATAGATTTTATATTAAATATAGTTTTAATATTTTCAATTAAACCAAATTTGCTTTTTGTCATCTTAATGTCCTTAAAGTTTAAATATTATTTTTAAAAATTCTCCGTATTTTCTTTCCGGGAATATTATTTTTTTAAATGTTTCCTTTTGGAATATGTTGTAATTTTTCTGTACATCTAATTCCCTTCTGAGGATTTTTGTAATAGGTTTGTACTTTTGGGAATATCAATTTAATAAGAATTCTAAGTTTTCTATTTTACTGCTACTATAGTTATGAAATTAATATTTCATTTTTTATTCTCCAATTGATTCCCAATTTTATATTTTAATTATCCTTACGCAAAACACTTTCATGTTATGAAATCAACAACTCGAATTAATCTTGGGTACCCATCTTTGAACGTTATCTGCATAATCTTTACCGTTAACTTTGGAAAACCAATTTTCTGTCTAGTGTTTTATCAACATCCTAAGCCCACGTCCTTTTTGTAAAACTATTGATATCGTGTTTGATATACGAAATATTGATATTGTTTAAGGTATTGTTTAAGTTTATTCCTAATTTTAACGTTAATATTAGTCAATCTGAAATATATTATAACAGGTTAATGTCCAGTGGAAACTTATTCTGCATTAAAGAACAGATATTTGTGTTATCTTACTTCATCCATACCCTCAATCAAACATCATCCGCAAACTGTAGATCCGGATTCGTCCTTACCACCTACAACTGGTACCACTACCGATTCGATGCTTCCACAGCTCTCCATTAACTTATCTTATAATTTATTTCTCAACTTGTCAAATTTCCCTGTCACATCTAAAATTATGGCATTTCGTTATTTTATCCGCGGTATGGCAATGTCACTTAGTGGGTATAGCTAAGTGAGACTAAAGTGGCACTGTAGGTGAAAACGTCAGAAAGTAGCTGGTAAGACCAGAATTCCCGTCGGAATATCCAGCGGTTGATCCGACAATACTTATTGCTGTGTTCAGTGGAATCATTTAATGATTACTTAAAGTACCAAAATAAAATTTCAAAACCAAAAACAAAGATGTTATTAACGTTAAACATTTTAACTTTCTTTCGGAAGGTCCCGAATGAACTTCACTTTTTGCTAAAGCATATTAAAAAATATACAATGACATTATTCAACAAGAATAGCATAATTTTGAATATAAATATAGCCTGAAATTCCATGGTTTTGATAAATTTTTCTTTCTTTATTATCACAATCTTAAAACTAAATAAAGAAAACGAATAATAAAATCTTATCAACTTCTAAAAAAGCAAATATCCACAATGCCTCACAAACAAGAACTTGAATTTATAACTATTCCTGATGCTCCTCTTGGTGCAATTGTTACTCTTCCTGCAGGTATCATAGACCCTGCGGATCTTAATGACGAAGACTTTCAGAAACTCAAAGAGGGTCTTTTAACCCACAGCGTGCTCGTCATTCCTGGCCAAGAAAATCTTTCTCCAAGATCTCAGTACAAAATCACCAAGCGCATGGACCCCACCTGTGAAGGTGGCTATGGTCATTCTAAAGAGTTTCGCCATGACAAATCAGTTCTTCGCCGAGATGGTGTTTCTGTACCTGATCAACCTCAAGTCCAAGTGTTAGGCCAAGGAACTTTTAAGGGCCATTATGGAATGGATTCTATTACTTTGCGCCATCCTACTCATTTTGATTTCCATCAAAAGCCCTTGACTGATGATGAAGTCTCCAATGGTTACACCCGGTTTTACCGCTGGCATATTGATTCAGCTCTTTACGGGCTTTCACCTCCAGTTTGCACTACTCTTCTTGGTATCCACGTTCCTAAGACTACTGAAACCATGAAAATTAAGTATGAAGATACCAAGGAAGAAATTGAGATTGCCCAAGCCGGAACTGCTTTCTTTTCTGGTGCCAATGCTTTTGACGCTCTTTCTGATGAAGACAAAGAACTAGCTCTTGGTACTACTGTTGAATATGCTCCTCATCCCTACATTTTTATTTCTCCTGCTCGTGCTACCAGCGATGGTGTGACTATGGTTTCCGATTGTAAAGAGATTCCCCTTTCAGAACTTCCAGAGTGGGAAGAGTCCAAGGTCAAGAGACTTCCAATGGTTTGGACTAACCCTGTTACCGGGCGACATCAATTGCAGATTCATGGAGCTTGCATTTACAAAATGCCCCGTCCTGATGGCACAATTTTGCAACTTGAGGAAGCTCGTAAACAAGCTTACAGATTGATACGCCCAGCTATTGCACCAAAAAATATTTATGTTCATCCCTGGAAGAAAGGTGATCTTGCCTTGTTCCATAACCAGGGTGTTTTGCATAGTGTCACTGGTCAGTTTGCCGAAGGTGAAACTCGATTGATGCATCAGTGCAATATTGCCAGTGGTGTTGATCCTGTTACTGTGAGAAACTAGTCCGCGATTTATTGCTTAGTTTTTAAAAACAGTTCAATCCCTTTATGTGCCTATGATTAATGTTTGAATTTATATATATAACTATTTCTTTTCTTTAAAAAATGTACCATTAGTTTTTTCTTTTTTTTCAAATTTTTTACACTTTCAGATAAAGTTAATTTTTAAATGTTAAAGTAAAATTTCCTCAATCATGCAAACCTTTTGGGAATTTTTGAAATGTTAATTGAAATTCATCTGCTTAATGTTAATCAATCTTTGCATGTTCATTTTTAACAATTAATCTTTTAATATATGAATCAAAAAAAAAAAAGTGTTTTGTTAAAATTTGTCGCACATTGAAATCAAAGAAACATGCTAAAACATATGGTAATTTTAGTAATTATCAAGATACCTATGGGAAACGGGGCGACTTTTGTTTAGAGTCTACTTTTTTTTTGCATTTTGAAATCATAATTTTTAAAATAAAACAAAAATTTAAAAAAAAACAAGACATTTCTGAGATTTTGTGTTTTTTATCAACTTTTTTTTTTTAACTTTTAATATTTTTAATAATTTTTTTTCCCCATTTTGTTGATGTGTTGTGGGGTCTTTCAAGTATTTTAGTATGGGGGATTCAGGATTTTGTCCGGATTTTGTGTGCAAATGTGCTGCTTGGTAGTGGTTTGCACAATTAGCACACAAAATCCGAACAAAATTTTAGATTCTTCACACTACGATACACATAGAGAATATTACGTAACACATAGTAAATTTAACTTACCTCCTTCCTAAAAGAGAGCCAATTTCACAAGGTATAAAATTTTCAATATTCCACAAGGTTAAGGGTTGTGCTGCTAATGTATAAACCACCATTTTTCTATTTTTCAAGTCCAGGTGTTGCGGTAAAAGGTCCAAAATCTTTAGCAAAAAAAAAAATAGTAGAATTGTCATTCTCTTAAACATATTTAGGGCTTTTATAAAAATTAATGATTTCAAAAAGAGTGGAACACAATTTAATCTACAAAATGTTAACAGAATGGCATTTTATTTTAAAGTCTTTTTTCTTTAAAGAATCTAGAGACTAGAGATTTTTTACAAGTTGGAATCAGCGTTGACACTGTCAATAGAAAGGCAATTTTTTTTTTGAACAAGATAATATTTTGGGGAACTCCAAATAGGCATTTCGTATATAGCTTTAAAATACAAATATTTGGAAAAAGTGCCTAAAAAATTTCAAAACAAGCACAGACCAGAGTACTTAGCACTCTAAGAGTTTGCATTTTCGAGTACACTGTAAGCCTGGGCCCATACTAAAATTGTTAGTAACAAATACTTTGCAGAGACCCCACACACACACACAAAAAAAAATGCGGGAAAAATCATTGATTTCCCACCCAAACTTATTTATTTTTTTTCTATACTGTGAATTACATAATCAAAATTTATTCTTGAAACTATGAAGACTAAAAAAAGACGATGAATGAAGATTTTCAATCCATGTTTTTAGGCGTTAAATGTGCTATAATATGCATTGGATATTCATAAAAATGTTTTTTAGAATTTCTCAAAAAAAAAAAAAAAAAGATTTAATTTCCTATATAGCTATAAAAATGTAGAGTTCATGCCTTTTGAGAATCTTTTCAATATATATATTTATTTAAATTCTCCTACTTACAGTTAACCGGTCATTGCAGCTTCTTTTTCAAAAGGTAATCTTTTATTATTTAGACTAAGTAAAGATTAAATATTTTCTAAAATATTTTATACATAGGAATCAAAAAAAAAAAAAAAAAACATGTTAAGATTGGTGGTTATTTAAGTAATTAACAAGATACTTTACTGCTATGGAGTCACCTCTGTTTGGAGTCACTTTTTGCATTTTTTAATTAAAAATTTCTAAAATATAACTAACAATCAAAAAAAAATATAATATTCCTAAATTCTTATAATTTTTTTAATTTTTTTCTATAATTTCCAGTATTTTTTTTTATGTTTATTGATGTGTTGTGGAGTCTTTCGTATATTTTAACATAGGGGGATCCAAGATTTTTCCCGCATTTTGTGTGCAAATGTGTTGCTCGTCACTGGTTTGCACTTATCAAATGCTATTTTACACACAAAATGCGGGAAAAATTTAAATATTCCACAAGGGTAGGGGTTGCATTTCAATTTTTCTTAAGTGCCTTTTTTTATTTTCAAATGCCCAGTTTTTGAAGTAGAAGGTGTAAAATCTTAAGTAAACCTTATAGAATTGTCGTTTTCTTGAACATTTTCTTATTTTTTTTTTAATCATTTAAGATTTCACAGGTATTAAACACTGTTTAATTTATCAAATTTTTAAACAAAACAGTATTTTATTTAATAGACTATAGTCTTTTTGGTTTTAAGAGTTGGAATTACTTTCAACATTATCAATAGATCGGCTTCCCTTTGTGAACAAGATAATGTTTTGGGAAATGCTAAATATCAATTTCATATATATAGCATTAAACGGGATACATTTTAATAAAAAAAAAAAACTGAAAAAAATCAATGAAAACATTTGTCAAAATACACTTAGTGTAGTGTAAGGTTTCATTGTTAAAAGACATGTAAAATTTAACTTGAAATTAAAGTGAAACTGTTTAAAAAATTAAGCCCTACGGGGGGCTCGAACCCCCAACCTTGAGATAACAACTTAAAGCATTTAAGAGTCTCACGCTCTACCGATTGAGCTAGCAAGGCAAGTGAATTGAAAATTTAATACTTTATTTCTACAATTACACCACCAATTATATTCTATAAAAACGAGAAAATTCAGGGAAAATGACAATTATAAAAGAAAAGTCAATTAATAAACTTGAAATTAATTTTTTTTAAAAAAATATTTATTTTTGGGTTTTTTTCATAGTTGTTTCTTCTTCTTGGTGAGAGACTCTATGCGTACACATCTCGATTGAATCTTTAAACTATCCTGGCAATCATAAAAATCAACTTTTTTGTTTAGTCTTCTTGGTCTCCTTGTAACTACAAACTGTATGACTATCTGAAGGGCTCAGAAATGATATGGGTGTCAATGAAAATAACTCTGAATTATTCAAGAAGAGGGTTTGAAACTGACAGAATGTCTAAGGCATTTAAGCCTATTTTATGAGATACTGGAGGTGCACAGATGAGAACTATTTGTATGAAAAGGTACACTTATAAGATGGCAAATCCACTAAGTTAAGTAATTATAAGGATCGTGCAGATGCTGATATTATTTACTCCTATAAAAAAAAAAAAAAAAAAAAAAAAAGCAATTGAAGACTAAACAAATGTGAATATTTTTGGTCTGGAATTGAAGGGCAATTGTTAAGACTTGATTCAGGGTCATTAAATTTGTAATCATAATAATGATTTTTTTTTTTACAAGTCTAATAAATAAAACAAGTACAATTTTTTTTTTTTTCAATTTTCAGACAATCTCTTATTTCATAGAGATATTATCCAAATCCCATTATGGTAAAAGTTTTTAGCGCCCGATCCGGGGCTATATTCTAGTTCAAAATCGGATATATATATATATAGTTTAGATTAGTTACGTTTACCATGATATATATATATGGTAGTAATCAAAATAAAAAGAGCTAGTGGAGCAAAAATAAATAAAAAAAAAAGTTGTTGTCCATTTGGAGTTACTTGTTGACGAACAAAAAAAAAAAAAAAACTTGGCGCAAGATTTAATTCTCATACGGTTAACAAAGGCAGAAAGAGAAAAAGAAAGAGAAAGAGAGAGAAAAAAAAAAAAAAAGGGAGATGGACGATGACACAGAGGAAAAAATACTCGGTTATTAAAAGTCACCAAAGCAAAAAGTATATATATTATCTGTAATAATATAGATTTACAAGTAATTGATGAGCTTAGAATGACGGTTACTAAAGGATTTAGTGCAATTCGGTTGTTAAAATTTACAATAAAAGTTTAAGGCAGAATGAACTTTTTTTTTTTTTTTTAATTTTTATTAAATAATTATCTGTCTTGTTTTTTCAATTGAATCGAGTTCCGTGATGATAGAGAAAGAATGGGGTGTGTGGAATTTACAATTAGAATGAGTCACATCATTGACTTTTAAAACAAATGACGAAAGTTGAATTTGGTATTATGTGATTTATATATGTGATATATATCTATCTATATTGAACATAAGACAATAAATATTTCTTTATAATTAAGAGATCAAAAGTTTAGGGCTAGTAATGATCAATAGGAATTATAATGGTTATTATTCATATATATATATATATATATATATAAGATAATTATGTTAACTAGCTATGGAACCATTGAACTTTTTTTTTTGTTAGATTGAAAACTTTAGTTATAATTAACAGTTAAACTAACAACTGAACTATATAGGTTTTTAACGTTTAACATTTAACAATTAACTTTTTTTTTATTTTTTTTATTTTTTTTATTTTTTATTTTTATTCTTGAGACCTTTGGACCTTAAGAATTAAAATTGTACGGTGACCACAACCAGCTGATATCTTCTTATTTTTTTTTTCTTTTTATAAACAGCAGGCAATAATAAGAAACAGCCCGCATAAAAAAAAAATCTCCACATTGTTAATAACTTTTAGTCAAAATACTAAAAAAATAATAACCGCTAATTACCGAAAGAATTCCAAAGAAAATTTCAAACAAGTGTATACATGTGTATACATGTGTCTTAATAAGTGTGTGGGGGTTGGATAATAATAAAACAAAAAATCACATTTTCTTTTTCTTTTTTTTTTTTTTACAAGATAACTTTTATATGCCTAAATCTTTAATGTCCATTAGTACCATTGGTACCATTGGAAATAGCCTTGGGTGTGGCCTCTGGGAAATCCCGAACAATAGAGTTGACAATGGACAGAATGGCCTGGATAGAAGCCTGGGATACATCCTCATGAATGCCAACACCCCATTGCTTGATCTTATGGGCCTTGTTCTTGGGGTTAAGAGCAGACATTTCAATGTATGTAGCAGCCTTGGTGTTAGAGCCAGCGCCAATAGAGTGCTCATGGTAGGTGAGCACCTCCAGGGGCCCAAATGAGCTCTCAATCAATGAGTTGATAGCGTCAGTAAAAGACGAAATAGGGCCGTTACCGTTACCAGTAATCTTGTGCTTAACACCATTAATTGACAAGAAACCTTGGAATTGACGCTTATCCTTGCCAGTGGACACAATGTTAAAGTCCTCTTCAGCATCGAGAGAGTACACGTGGCCAGCCTGCGACTCTTCCAAAAAGTATTGCTTCTCAAACAGATCGACAAGCTCTGTGGCTTTGAGTTCGCGGCCCTTGACCTCAGCAGCATCCTGGACAACCTTGGAGAAGGCGACCTGGAGACCACGAGGGAGATCGAGCTCGAGGTTGCGGAGAATGATCCAAGCGGCACCACCCTTTCCAGACTGGGAGTTGACACGGATGACAGCCTCGTATGTACGGCCAATATCCTTGGGGTCGAGAGGGAGGTATGGTATTTTCCAAGGGGTGTTTTCTTCGACCTTGGAGTCGCCATTTGTTTGGTTTTGGCGGCGGGCAAAGCCCTTTTTGATGGCATCCTGGTGGGAGCCCGAGAAAGCACAGACGACGAGAGAACCACCGTAGGGGGCTCTGGGAGCGACTGGGATCTTATTGCAGCGCTCGACGACATCAATGACGGACATCATATCGCTAAAGTCGAGGTTGGGGTAAACACCTTGGGTGTAGAGGTTAAGAGCGAGGGTGACGAGATCAACGTTACCGGTGCGTTCACCGTTTCCAAACAAGCATCCTTCAACACGCTGGCCACCGCCCATTTGGGCAAGCTCAGCAGCGGCGACAGCGCAGCCACGATCATTATGAGGGTGGAGGGAGATGCAGACCTTTTCGCGCTCAGAGATGTGGGTTGAGAAGTACTCGACCTGGTCAGCGTAGACATTAGGGGTAGTCATTTCGACAGTTGCTGGGAGGTTAAAGATGATTGGGTTTTCTTCCGAGGGGCCCCAGGCAGCTTTGACAGCCTCGCAGATGCGGACTGCAAAGCCCATGTCAGAGTCTGAGAAGGTTTCAGGGGAGAATTCAAAGGACCAGACGGTGGGTTTACCTGAGGGAGCGATGGAAGGTTCTGGAGCGTCCTTTGTGAGTTTGCGGACGAGGGTTGCACACTTGACAGCAAGGGCAATAGATTCATCTTCCTCCATGCCAAAGACAACATCACGGAAGAGTTCTGATGTAGCGAGGTAGATGTGAACAATGGCACGGTGAGCTCCTTGGAGAGATTCGACTGTACGACGGATAAGTTCTTCACGGCAAGGTGCTAAGACTTGGACGGCAACGTCTTGTGGGGCAGTTTGGACGGCGAAGCGGGTGAAGTCGAAATCAGGTTGGGAGGCTGATGGGAAAGCGACTTCAATTTCTTTAAAGCCGATTTGGACTAGTTTCTGGAAGTATTCCTTCTTTTCTTCGACAGTCATAGGGTCTGGCAGAGACTGGTTACCATCGCGAAGATCTGTTGAAAGCCAGCGGGGGGGTTTTGTGAGAGTTTGGTCTGGCCAAGTGCGTTCAGGCAGCTTGACTGGGGGGAAAGGTCTGTATTTTGAGCAAGGACACTGGAGCATTTTGGGTGGTTGTTTTTTTTTTTTTAAATGGTGAAAGATGAAATTTTTTTTTCTTTTTTTTTTTTTATTTATAAATAATAAATATTAAAAGAATTAAAATTAAAAATTAAAAAAAAATAAAAAAAAAAGGAATTTAATGGTGGTAGTGGACCTTTTAAAGTATTTATATGAAAGAAAAAAAAAGAAGAAAAAGAAGATCAAATAAATTTTTTTTTTATTTTTTTTTGTTGGTGGTGAAATTTTTTTTTTTTTTTTTTTTTTTTTTTTTTCATTCGGTTAAAGAAGGAAATTTTTTTTTTTTTTTTTAAAAAAAAATTTTAAATTTTAAAAATTTAAAATATGACGCGATTACGTGAGTCACAATAGTCACGTGTAAAAACTACGGGCAAATGGCGGAGGTCAATAAAAAAAAGTAGGGTAACTAATAAAAATATTGTTAATCGGGTTTTTTTTGACCGAGTACCGAAAGTACCGAAAGTAAAAATAAAAAAAATAAAATTGAGGTTAGGGTTTAATAAAAAAATATTATTACATAATAATTATATAAATAAACTTTGAGACTTATGTATAGATAGTGTAAATATATAAATAAGTTATATAACTTTAATAATTTCCAAAGTTTTAAGTCACATTATCACTAGCCACATCAAGAGGCGTTTAAATATTAGAGATAGATAGGAAATGGAATGTGGCAAAGCCCGCGGGAATTTAGTGGCTAGTGCAATAATTTTTTTTTTTTTTTTTTAAATAAAAATTTTAAATTTTTTTTTTGCTGTGTGAGTGAGTGAATGAATGTGGCTATTTTTGGGCGTATTGAATGGCGCCACGATAACGTAAGCACAAGTGGCTAGTGTCCTAAAAGACCCAAACAGGACAACTTTATGGCCTTGTGAAGCTTCACAGGTGCTGCTGCTGCACTACAAAAATTTAAAAATTTAAAAAAATAAAAAACTTTTTTTTTTTTTGTTTTTTTTTGTTTCCTCTCACTATTTTGTATAAACCAACCCCAAATTTTATAATTATTATATTATAATATACTAAAAAAAATATAAACACCAATACCAACAAAATTTATTAAATTATTTTTTTTTTTTTATATAAATTACTCAAAATGCCCTCCCTTTTTTCTAGAGATAATCCATCTTACCCATCATCCTCTTCAGGTTCAAACACTACTCCATATCTTTTCTTTATCGCCCTAGGAATCGGCGTGGTTTTTATTAACATTTGGGTCATTATAGGCGTTCGATACTACTTTAAACGTCGCAGAAACGCCATCGAAGCTAACAACTATAGAAACAACTCAGAACTCGCATCAATGTCTTATGTCTATCATCAAGGAAGTGGCCTTTACTACCATACTCGTGCTCCGGTTCTCTCAAGAAGACTACCAGGTTCAAATCTTTCTCGATCACAACAACAACCCCGCAAACTTTTAACACTAGAACAATTAGATGAATTATGTCCCGTACAAAAATATCGCGAATGGGCTTCTCGACAAAAACAACACGGCTTGCCCACTGAAGGTGGAATCTCAAATCAAGCTGCTCAAGCTCTTGAAAAGTCTCTTCAACAACCATCTATCGTTACCAATGAAATCTCAATAAATGATGAAAATGATGATACCAAAATAACAAGCAACCATCATCCAGATTCTGAAACTAAAGCCACAGCCATTGTAGCAACTACTTCTTCAATCATTGAAGATGAAACTGCAGTAGAAGATGAAGACACTGGAGATACCTGTGCTATTTGTATTGACTCTTTGGAACCAGATGACGATATCCGTGCTCTAGATTGCCACCATGTTTTCCACACAGACTGCATCACTCCTTGGCTGACCACTCGCAGAGCTTTATGTCCTTTGTGTAAACGTGACTACTACCAGGGTCCTTCAGAAGAAGAACAGCAATCTCAACAACAACAACAACCACAAGTCTCATCCCTTATTACTCCCCCGCCTCCATCCGCAAGATTAGCAACAACCTCAGATCCTAGATCTATCTCTCCACCACCTGCTCCTTATTTCAACACAAGTAATCGTCGCAGACAATCTTCATCTTCAAATTCTTCTTCTAGTGTCTCTTCTATCCTTACCAGACCACACACCATTGGCACTACTGGGGTCATGTATGAACCTGAACCAACCCCAATCTATGATGAAATTAGATTAGAGGTCCGTGATCTCATGGCTCGTATCCGTAGAGCACGTGAAAACCACCGGTCAACTTCCCGAGAACAAGATAGCCAATCACTAGGTACATCTGAAGTTCCTCGGACTCTTCCTAATAATAACAGCTTGGCACGCTCTTCATCGCCACCGTCGCCTACTACTACTACTACTAATAATAATAATACTACAACAAGAAGTGGTGGGGGTTGGCGTTTTTGGAGAACTAGACCTGCAGTTGCTGAACAAGTATAAAAAAAAAAAAGCAAAACTTGTGGGAGGTTTTTTTTTTACTTTATTTTTTTGATGACTTTATTTCTTCTATTTTACGATTGTTTTTTTCTTTATTATCTTGATGATTTTTTTTATTTATTTGTTTATTTATTTATAGTTTTTTGATGTTTTAATGGGATTTTTTGTTTGTTCGTTTTTTTGATGTATTATTTCTTGCTCTTTTTTTTTTTTTTTTGATATAATAAATATATAAATCTTTCGTATTGTGTCATGTCATGTCATTTTATGTAATGTAATGTAATGTCACGTGAATTAATTACAAACTATTTATCTAATCAAATTACCCTATAGCTGACTAAATTCCCCGTCTTTTTTTTTTTTTTTTTTTTAGAAATGGCCGCTTCCGCATTGGCCGGCCGGCAAAAACCACGTGACTGAATTTCATCCAGTACTAAAAAATAAAAAAAACAAACAAACACACAAAATTTCAAGTGCTTGTCAAAAATCTCATCAATTCAAATCTCTCCCAAAATCAAAATATATATATTTTTTTTCTCTTCTAATCAATAATCTAATCTATTCCTAAATAAATATATTTATATTGATATTTATATATATTTAAATTCCTAATATCAAATAAAAAAAATATATATATAAATAAAAACAACCAATGGCACCACCACCACCATCACAACCATCACAACAATCACAACAATCACAGCAATCACCTTCTCAACATGAACAACAAAATAATCACAATCAAACCGGGTCCCGACCACAAGGTCCCACTAATATATCATCAACCCAACCCCCCCAACCCCCCCAACCAATATATCCTTCTTACTCTAATAACCAACCACTTCCCTCTATATCTCGGATCGGTACCAAACAACAACAGCAACAACAACAACTGCAACCTCAATCACCTTCCAAACTAACATCAATCACCCGAATCGTCAACTCAGAAGACCCTCCAGATCAATCCAAACGTCCCTTCCATGTTTATTCTTTCACTCCAGTCAAGTTTGGTGCTCCCATTCCAGCAGAATCTCAAACATCTTTTACCCTTTCTTCTTCAATCTCATCATCATCATCCCCTTCAACAAACCCTACCTCTCCAACAAATCCCTCGATAACAAAACAAATTCTTCCTACCAGACCCTTTGTAAACACTACAATAGACCCTTCAAGCAATGCTATGACTAAATCAAAACGCAGATCTTCATCATCTTCTTCATCTTCTAATTCTTCTTCTTCAAAAGACCAACCACTTCTGCCTCCTCCTCCAATTCCTACCCCAAACCTAACTCAACAACAAGCTCAGCAACAAACTCAGCAACAAGCTCAGCAACAAACTCAGCAACAAGCTCAGCAACAAGCTCAACAACAAGCTCATCAACAAGCTCAACTACAACAACAACAACAACGTCAAGCAAATGATCTTCCAGATACCCACTCAGGAAAACGCATAGCATGCATCGAATGCCGCCAGCAAAAGGTCCGCTGTGATGCTCATGCCAATTACCCAGGGCCTTGCTCTCGCTGTACCAAAAAGGGACTCAAATGCTTGCTCCAACCAGATTTTAAGCGCACTTATAAGCGTCGCAGACTAGTTGAGGTTGAAAAGGAAAACCTGCTTCTTAGACAGTCCATGGAACAACTCTACCCAGGCCCTATATCCCCTCCTCCCCCCTCATCTCAACCATTTCAACAACAACAACAACAACAACAACAACAACAACAACAACAACAACAACAACAACAACAACAACAACAACAACAACAACAACAACAACAACAACAACAACAACAACAACAACAACAACAACAACAACAACAACAACAACAACAACAACAACAGCAGCAGCAGCAGCAGCAACAACAACAACAACAACAACAACAACAACAGCAGCAGCAGCAACAACAACCCAATTCACTTGTGACGGCTGCTCCTTCCTCTAACCCCCCACCTCAACCATTACCCACCGCCCAATCATCAGTACCATCCACTGATCCATCCAAACCTTTACAAAATACCCATGATCAGGAAAAACTTCGCAGAATGGCTTCCGCTGGGTCTCTCCTTGACTTATCAAACTCAGGCCACCAAACCTACCCTCAATCGGAACCTTCTACTATCCTTAATACCCCCAATCTTGAAACCCCGCCTGCCCTCACCCGACCTTTTGACCCCCTATACTCCGCTGCTCGCCCCCCTGAACCTTCCTCTGCTTATAACGATCTTCCACCTCCAATCTACCAGCTTAAATCCAAAGCTGGCCTCCCATCCCCGTCCCCAGTCAATACCCCGTCTTCAGACAACCACCCGACCCCTGGATCAACAAATACCGGCCGTACTTCTTCATCATCCTCCACCTCCTGGCGTAAAGCTCTCAGTACTATGGACACGGAATCCTGGACTGATTATGACAATGGCGTCTGGAAGTGCTCAGATAAAACTATTGAAGACCTTACTCTCCCTGCAAATACAGTCTCAAGGCTTTTCAATGAATTCATAACCAAGTATCATCCAGTCCTCCCCGTTGTTGACATTTCCCGAGGGCCTGAGAAAATCCACCAACTCAGTCCATGTCTTTTTTGGACAATCATGACCGTAGCCTCTCGCAGATTCGATAAAGACTCTTCCCTCATGCTCCAACTTAACCCACTTCTTCGCACTTGTCTCTCGGAAATTACAATCTCTCCATTCACCCGCTTTGCACCAGGTAGTACTGGCCCTCAACCATTTCTCAACGTCGCCTCTGTCTACACCGTCCAAGCATTTCTCATCTTTACAATGTGGCCCTCTATCACCTCTTCTCTCAGTGCAGATTCATCCTGGAACACCGCCGGTCTCGCCATGTTTAGCGCCATTCGTGTTGGGTTACATTGTCCAGGCTATGCTCGAGATTTTGGCAGAGTTAAAGCTGACAATCCCATTTACCCGCACATTTCCGAACAAGTCCGCACTTGGATCTGTTGCAATATTGTTTCCCAGACTGTCGCAACTGTTTACGGATTCCCAGCTTTCACTTCTTTCGATGCAACTGTCATCTCAGCATGCCAACCTGACTCCCGTGTCAATGTCCCCCTCGAAATAAAACAGCTTATGCTTATCGAAAACCTCGAAGAAGAAATTGCAAAAACCCTCAACTCAAACCCTAAAGACCCCCTGGGCCTGTCCGAACTTTCCGAGCGCCTTTCCCTTATTCAAATTCTTTCTCGTAAACTTGACGAGCTCGAAATGCGTCTTACCGACGTTGTAGACGATCTCCGCCGTTTTGTTCTTCTCGGTGCACGAGTACATCTCCTTACTTACTACTTCCTAGACAATGGCGGCTACTCCGAGCTCCAGCTTCAAAAGGGTATCGTCCAAGTCTACAACAGTGCCCTTGCACTCATGGAGCACGCAGATATGGCCAATCGTCGTGACCGCTACTTTTTCAAATACCTCCCAGGAATCTACGTCCAGATCCTTTGGCAGTCCACAGCCATCATCTGCAAAGTCTACCATTCACCGTTTGCCCGCTTTGTGGATGGTGAAGCTGGTCGCATGCTTTACCTCTCTTGCGTATCCCTTATTTCTAGAGCTTCTATCTTTAAACATGATATGATGTACCGAGCTTCGGAGATTATGCAGCAAATGTGGCGACTCTACGGGTCTCTGGCACGACGCAAAAACGGACCGGTCCCACAGATCCGCATCCGCACCCGCATGGCTGCTAGCGTGTTTTTCGATACCTTGTGGACCATGCGCGAGGAGTGTGGAATCTTGAGTGTTGCACCTGCTGTACTTTCTCAGAGAAACTCAGAGGAAGAGGAAGACAAGGATGATGACGACGAAGATGACGACGAGGGGTTCCCGCAAAAGCAACAAAAGTCTGAACAGAAACAACAAAATAGAGAATCAAGCGAAAGTGATGATGACGGCGCACCGGGACTTTCCATGGAAGATGCCAAGAAAAATGCAGCAAAGAATAAATCCGCCCAGCTCCCAAAAGACAAACCGTTGGCTTCTTCAGCATATGCAAAACAAGCACCAGTGAGTACTGTCGGAACCGAACACAAACCTGTCTCTTCACAACCCAGCAGCACTACAGGCCACCCAACAGCAGCAGCAACACCAGCAACACCAGCAACACCAGCATCAATAGCATCAATAGCATCAATAGCAACAACACCAGCATCAACAGCAACAACAGCAATAACAACAACAGCTTCAAATGCCAAACAGTCAGTTGCTCAAACTACAATACCTTCCATGTCGCCACGATCCACAGGATCCGGACCTTCGCGACATGGGTCTTCGTCACTTGTTCCGTCGACTTCCACTTCCACACTCCATTCCTTGCACCACCAGACCCATCTGGCGCCCATGACAACAACAGCAGCAACACCAACAACGTCTTCTTCCTCACCGGCTAGTAGAGCAACCACAGTGGCTACAGCGGCTACAGCGGCTACAGCGACTTCAGCTGCAGCTGCAACAGCTGCATACCTCGACGACTACTTCATAACTTGGGACGCAGACAACTTGATGCGCGACGTGACCATGCTTATGTCGGACTACGGGTTCCACGAAGATGAAGCAGCGTCATTGCAGAACCTGTATGCTGGAAGACCTGGAGGGACTTCAACAGGAGGAAGCACAGGTGCAGGCAGTAATGGGAGTGGGAATACGGGTGGAGCTGGAGGTAATGCAAGTGGCCAGGGACCTGGCGGGGTTCATTTTGGGAACCTTTTTTGATTAGAGATTAGAGATTAGAACAGAGGTTTTTTTTTTTTTGGTTTTATTTTTTTTTACTTTTTTTTTTCTTGTTATTGGTGTTTTTTCTTTTTGATTTTTTTGATTTTTGATTATAGACCTTTTTTTTTCCCCTGTTTTATCTGTTTTTTTTTTTTATTATCGTTTCAATAACTATTCTTGATTCTTATTTTCCTTAAAAAGGGGAAATAAAACCAAAAAAGAAACCAGAGAAAAAAAAAAGAAAATAAAAACAAAATTTGTTTGTTTTGTAAAGAATATCTTTGTTCAATTCTTTTATTTAGATCCAGCTAAATAAACCTTACAAATAATAATAAATAATAAATAATAAATAATACACAAATATTTCAACTGTCAACTGACAATCTTAAAAAAGCTCAAGAACCTAAGACTCCTTATAACCAGTGCTTAATTAAGCAAAAGACGTGTAGACAGTTTGGAGACTGGTGGGACGAGGACCCGATGGAGGAGTCCCGGAAGGAGGAGCACCAGAAGGAGGAGCACCAGTGGGACGGGCACCAGTTGGACGACCTGAAGGAGGAGTACCAGATGGAGGAGTGCCAGTGGGACGATCAGTGGGAGCATCAGATGGAGGGGTACCGGTTGGAATAGTATCACGGGCGTTCAATGAAACTGGAGCTTCAGTTCCAGTTGGACGAGGAGGAGGGGTTCCAGAAGGAGGAGTTCTAGAAGGAGGAGTACCGGAAGGAGGAGCACCAGTGGGACGGGTACCGGTGGGATGACCTGAAGGAGGAGTACCAGATGGAGGAGTACCAGATGGAGGAGTGCCGGTGGGACGGTCAGTGGGAGGGGTTCCTGATGGCGGAGTACCGGTTGGAATGCTGTCACGGGCATTTAATGAAGCTGGAGCTTCAGTTCCAGTTGGACGAGGAGGAGGGGTTCCGGATGGAGGAGTACCAGAAGGAGGAGGTCCAGTGGGACGGGCACCTGTGGGATGACCTGAAGGAGGTGTGCCTGATGGAGGAGTTCCAGAAGGAGGAACACCAGTTGGGGCGCCAGATGGTGGAATACCGGTTGGAATAGTATCACGGGCGTTCAATGAAACTGGAGCTTCAGTTCCAGTTGGACGAGGACCTGGGGGAGTTCCAGAAGGAGGAGTACCAGAAGGAGGAGCGCCAGTGGGACGGGCACCTGTGGGATGACCTGAAGGAGGAGTACCAGATGGAGGAGTGCCGGTGGGACGGTCAGTGGGAGGGGTTCCTGATGGCGGAGTACCGGTTTGAATGCTGTCACGGGCATTCAAAGAGGCAGGTGCTTCAGTTCCAGTTGGACGAGGACCTGGGGGAGTTCCTGAGGGAGGAGTTCCAGATGGCGGAATACCAGAGGGTGGTGGGCCTGAAGGATGAGGACCGGTAGGGGAACCTGAAGGTGGAGTTCCGGATGGCGGGGTGCCAGTGGGAGCACCTGAGGGAGGGGTACCTGTAGGAACCTCAGCACGAGCATTCAAAGCGCCAGCGCTCTGCGTGTCAGTGGGATGAGCTGGAGGGGTACCTGTTGGCGTGCCAGTTGGTCTGGGGCCACCGCGGGGGCCTCCAGATGGAGGTGTTCCTGAGGGAGGAGTTCCCGAGGGGAAATCAGTTGGGAAGTCGGAGCGAGAAATATGGGGGAGATCCGAATGAGAAGCGTGCTGGGCGCTGATGCGAGAGGCATCTTGAGGGGCACCAAGAACGACAGTTGTAGCGACTGCGGAAAGAGTCAAGACAGAAAAAAGTGTATTTGATTTCATTTTTGTAAAAGGAATGAGTTGAATAGTTTGAGTTAAATAGAGTTGAATAGAATTGAATAGACTTTGATAATTGAATGATTGTAAGAGTGAGATGATGAGAAGAAAAAGAAGAAAAAAAAACTTCAATTCCAACAATATTTGACATGTTTATATACTTTTTTTTTAAATACCAAAGTCTTTATAAAACCAATTCTATTTTTCAACAATTATTATGATTCAAAACTTAAAGAAAAAGAGAGTTGAAAAAAAAAAGAATTCAAAGTCTCGAGGATTACGTAGATTTTCAAAGCTACATGGAATTTCCCACCAAGTTCTTGCAACTCCACGATCCTATTTTACGGACGCAAATTGTCCTGTTATAGGGGTAATTTACAAAGGAAAAAGTGAAATCTTTTTTTAAAAAAAAACAAGGGAAATAAAGAATTTTTAACAAGTGGATTTAATGTTTAACATTTGCATTCAATTTACCAAAATGAACGATTTGAATTTGCTAGTTAACCTACTAGCCAATATTTGAAAAACATCTAGAAATAGATGAAAAATAAACCTTCATTTTTTTTTATTTCTGAATAACTTTAAATTGAAAAAAAAATTACTCAAATTTTATTAATTTTTGATGGAAAATTACGTATTTCTCTAGAGTTAAATGCCATCGACGACGTAGCTAGATTGAAAGTATTCTATTGTTCTGAAACTTTGAGCGAACAAAATACAGTCTCTCATCCAAGTTTCAATGTCCCAGTCTAATGCCCACTAAAATATATCACACACAAAAAAAATCAAAGACGTATTCGTCATTTGACTCCACAATTATTTTTCCTTTCGATTCAAGAAAAAAAAAAAGTTCTACTCCTAGTTCATCAAAAAAAAAAAAAAAAAAAAAAAAAACAAGGCTTGTTAACAGACTTACTGGTGATGTTTCATTTATGCCCATTCCTAAAAACCGTAACAGAGTATTTTCCCAGAATTACTTTGGAATTTTTATTTTCTAAAGAGTCCTTGAAAAAAAAATAAAAACTCCCCAATATTAATAAGATATTATACTTTCCAGGAGGTATTCAATTAAAAAAAATTGAATTGAATTGAACTCGTGAAAGCTACTGTAACCAAGAGACCGTCCTGAAAATTGAATTTAAGACTTTGAACAGTTAATACGTTTAAAGGTTTCTCGGTGAATACTTACTAAGGAGGTTTTCATGAATAGAAGGCTTTACAATATCTGTACTAATTAGAGCCAATTGAATATTTTATAACTCCTTGGCTCCTGCCTAAAAAAACTTTTATAATAAAAAGCTTGGTGAAAAAAAATGTGTGGGGGTTTTCAATGATTTAAAAAATAATTATACTCAGTAAATGCCCTTTATTCGTTGAATACGTAGAGTGTCTAACTTTCTATTAAACTTCAGAAGAACAACAAAAAAAATCTCCCGGTGGTCCCGATTATCTATGTAACTAGGGGAAATTGACTTTAATTTCTGCAAAGTGTAAAGATGAGCGGAAAAACATAATATTATGGTTTTTATGTTATAACATAATCCAGTAAAACTGTCTGAAAAAAATAAAAAAAAAAACAATGGGTGGCGGATAGAAATAAAATCAATTTTTAAGACACTAGTTTAATTATTCATGCGTAATCAACAGGCGAACATAAAACTATTCAACAATGATATTAAAAAAAAGATTGTTTTACATCAAAGAAATGCAACTATTATTGAACATAATTTCTTAAAATTTAGGCAGTTTTTTGTTTTTCAAGTATTTCCGAGAATTCCATTATTTTCGATGAATGACTAAAACATGGAAACTAGATAGTAAAAAAAAAATTTCAAAATTAATGGGAAACTTTGATTTTAAGTATCTTCCAAAATTATTTAGTTGCATAGCAACTTGGAAACCTTAAAATCATTGATTCCGTAGCTGATTTGGCCTGTGGTTCTAAAAAATGTCTTGTTTTTTAAATAAAAAAAATATAATCCAAGCGAATAACAATATTCATGTTTTAAAATGACTGAAAACATTTCCAGTAACTTTTTTTTGAAATTTCATTAATAGGAAATGACTAAATTCCAATTTAAAGCTTCAATTACTAATGATCTTAAATAAAATCTAAAGATTATGAAAATTTTCATAAATACAATGAAAAACTATAAAAAAAGATTTGGTGATTCAAATTTCAAAAAAAATTATTTATAAAGTCTATTGTTAATACTTTTAACATAAGTACGGTTGCTATTTATATTAAAGAACTCATGATAAATGCACAACTACATCATTTCATTCAACTCTTTTTGAATAGGAAAACATTAAAATATTGTTAATTTTTTTCTATTAAAAGTTGATTTTTTGAAAAAAAAAATTAATAGATTTTTATTACATTGTACACTAAAAGTTTTTTTTTTTTTTCAAATATTATAAAAGTATATAACTTCAAAAGCAAAGCCATAGTTTTAATTGCATAACTTTTAATGGTTTCCATTGTACGAATTGTTTTAATTTGTGTTCCTGAGGTAGCCCGACAGATGAGCCCTGGTGCTGTATGTAGGTTCCAAACTTACCCGATTCATTTTTTTTTTCTAGTCGCTCCAAGCTCATTTTTAATTATTAGTTTATTTTGCAAATGACATTAACAACAACTACATGAGAGGTAATCAAATTGAACAAAAGAGTCAGCCTTCTTGTTAGTCTGGGGAGCCCGGGGATTCAGATGAGATGTGTGCTCCTATATCCGTCCTCAAGATAAAGAAAGTTTTTTATGAATACTTCATAATATTGAGTGATTACAAATCAAATATTTAAATTGTTCTAAATAATTGTTTTCCTTTTTTTCTTTGATAATTTGTTTGTTTGTTTTTATTCAAGAGTTATAGAATTATATATATCATCAGCATCTGCGCTATTCTTTTATTGTCTGACTATGTGTACCTTTTTAGTACGGGTGGTTTCTGTTCTGTGCGTCTCCGGTAGCCCGGAAGATGGGCCCTGATGCCAGCTTACGAGGAACAGGGAGAACCAGTCTGTCGGTCCCAAAACCTTCCCAACCCATTTCCACTTATCTTCACGGACGCCCATGTATTTCTTAATCTCTTCCGCCAGAGATACGGCCCGCAATCACCTGCAGGCTATTTAGACTGTACGGAAGAGTCGGCATTCCTGTAACCAGGGTAGCCTATAGTTTTCAGTCTAGGTGTATACTCCCGTACACATCCTCAGGAAAAGGGGGTATTCTGGGAAACGAACCGCTCCTTAATAAATTTGTTTGTTTGTTTGTTTGTTTTTATTCAAGGGTTATATAATTATATAACATCAGCATCTGCGCTATCCTTCTTGTCCATACTAAATATTTTTTCATTTTAATAATGAACTTTTAATTTTGGCTTCAACATTGCATCTCCAACAGCCCGAAAATAAGTCCTGATGCCAGCTTACGAGGAACAGGGGGTTAAAATAACCAAACCTTCCCAACCTATCTCCACTTGTCTTCATGGCTTAATAAATTGTTTGTTTGTTTTTATTCAAGGGTTATATAATTATATAACATCAGCATCTGCGCTATCCTTCATGGCTTAATAATTGTTTGTTTGTTTGTTTTTATTCAAGGGTTATAGAATTATATAACATCAGCATCTGCGCTATCCTTCTTGTCCATACTATATATTTTTTCATTTTGATAATAAACTTTTAATTTTGGCTTCAACATTGCATCTCCAACAGCCCGAAAATAAGTCCTGATGCCAGCTTACGAGGAACAGGGGGTTAAAAATAACCAAACCTTCCCAACCTATCTCCACTTGTCTTCATCAACGCTGTAATTGTATTTCTTAATCCCTCCAAGCAGAGATAAAGCTTACAATCTCTTGTAAGCCAGTTTTCATGGCTTAATAAATTGTTTGTTTGTTTGTTTGTATTCAAGGGTTATAGAATTATATAACATCAGCATCTGCGCTATCCTTCTTGTCCATACTATATATTTTTTCATTTTGATAATAAACTTTTAATTTTGGCTTCAACATTGCATCTCCAACAGCCCGAAAATAAGTCCTGATGCCAGCTTACGAGGAACAGGGGGTTAAAATAACCAAACCTTCCCAACCTATCTCCACTTGTCTTCATCAACGCTGTAATTGTATTTCTTAATCCCTCCAAGCAGAGATAAAGCTTACAATCTCTTGTAAGCCAGTTAAACTGTTTAAGAGAGTCGACATGTCCATCTCTGGAGATATCCGTTTCAGTCCTTTTCTTTCCTCTTCAAGCAAAGGACACTCAACTAAAATGTGATGAACTGTTTCCAGCTCTCCACATTTGCAGTTGTAACTATCCTTTTCAATTCCAAACTTTTTAAACCATGCGCCAAAGTTGCCATGGCCTGTGCGAAACTGAGTAATATTACTCAAGATCCTTCGACTATCTTTCTTCATGATCACTCCCGTAACCATTTTGGAAAGATTATCAGTACATTTCGACTCCACTGTGATATTATGATACCACAGGGCTTAATAAATTTGTAGTTAGTTACCTAGCATAGCTAGCTCACGAGCAGTTTGTTAAACGGTATTATTAAAGTTTTAAATTACGTGGGCGTCTGGTGTAGTTGGCTATCACGTTCGCTTAGCATGCGAAAGGTCCCCGGTTCAACTCCGGTGTCGTCCATTAACTTTTTGCTTTTTTTTAAAACAATTTTTTGTTTATTTTGTGAAAAGAATTAAAAAAAAGTCTTCAAAAAACGGATCTATTTTGAAGTAAAGTTGAAAAACTAGCCATATAATTGTATAACTCCCAAAAAAATTTTGAATAAGTTTGTTTGTTTGTTTGTTTTTATTCAAGGGTTATAGAACTATATAACATCAGCATCTGCGCTATCCTTTTATTGTCTGACTATGTGACTTGCCGGTTTTCATTTGTACCTTTTTAGTACGGGTGGTTTCTGTTCTGTGCGTCTCCGGTAGCCCGGAAGATGGGCCCTGATGCCAGCTTACGAGGAACAGGGAGAACCAGTCTGTCGGTCCCAAAACCTTCCCAACCCATTTCCACTTATCTTCACGGACGCCCATGTATTTCTTAATCTCTTCCGTCAGAGATACGGCCCGCAATCACCTGCAGGCTATTTAGACTGTACGGAAGAGTCGGCATTCCTGTAACCAGGGTAGCCTATGGTTTTCAGTCTAGGTGTATACTCCCGTACACATCCTCAGGAAAAGGGGGTATTCTGGGAATCGAACCCAGTATCTTCCGCTATCGAGCGAACGTGTTACCCTTTACACCATCCAGCCCTTTGTTTGTTTGTTTGTTTGTTTTTATTCAAGGGTTATAGAACTATATAACATCAGCATCTGCGCTATCCTTTTATTGTCTGACTATAAAAAAAACCATGTCAGACCCCCCCAACAACACCCAAACCACGTTTAGTGGCGGCGACCCTCCTGCCGACAATAATTATACCGACAATAATAATGAACAGACTAATATTAATGATATGCAAAAAATTATTGCTGTTGAACTGAAGGAGAAAGAAAGTTCTCATTCCAGAGGACCTCATTCTCATGAAGCTCATCACATCAAACCCTCGACAAAAATCCAAAAAAATAATGAAAAACCAGACTCCCATAAAAAAATTGAAACTATCCACAAAAAGCTTGAATCGAATGATAAGCATAATGCTTCTTCAAACCACGAAACCCCCGTTGAAACCCCTATTGTGAATGTTGGTCCAACCTTGAACCCTACCTTTGACTCTTCACCAGATGGTGGTGATGTGGAAATTGACGCAACACCATCACGTGACATGGATGTTCTCATGCCGGATGCAAATCCATTTGGTGATAATTCTGAAGCCTGGGAATACATCTTAAAACTTAAGGATGTATTTCTGGTTGAATTGTCTATTGTTAAAGAAGACTTGAGTATTACAATTGAAGATTGGGAAATAAAATTTCAAAATCTTGAACTTAAAAACAATGAGTTAGCTAAACAACTCATTGCTTTGACCGAAAAGCTTAAAGCTTCAGAAGGACAAGTGAATTCTCTTCGCTCAGAACTTGATGTTTTGAGAAACAATCAGGTTCACACAGAAGTTAAACATGTAATGTTTGAAAAACTTAAAAAGGAAGTTAAGGATAATAAGGATCATTGCGATAAAGTGAAACATAAAGCTGATGAAATAGCTAAGATGACTCTTCAAGATTTGTCTCAAGAAAAAGCAAGAAACAAAAGAATTATCGACACTGAAATCAAGGAATTCAAAGAAATGACCAACAATCTTGAGAAAAAGAGTTGATAATATGGAATACAAAGTTGGAACTATTTCAACTAAGGCTGATTTAACTACCAAAGAACTTAGCTACGCAAAAAGGAAATCAAGAGTGCGGTAAGAAAAGTCGACACTTTGCCTTTTGCTTTGACCCCTAAAACTCCAAATGGAGCAACTCCAAAGTTGAAAGACATTATGAAGGCTCAAAAACAACACCGTGAAACTAAAGTTGATGAAGACAAACCCACTTTTAGAGTGTGCATAAGAATTCCAGATACCATGAAAAGAGTTAATATCCCTGCGATTGGAAAGAAAATTGATGCGGTTGCACAAAAGCCGGTGGCTCAGGAAATAGGCTATACTGTCAAAGGGCATTTATATGTTCAACTTAATGACAAAGATTTTGCTGATAAAGCTGCAGAATGGATCCCCAAAGTTGACCCTACTTATTCAGTGCTTGACACAGATTCTTGGTACAAGGCTGTACTTCAGGAAATACCTAATACGGCATCGATTGAAGACTTGAAAGAAACTCTCTACAATTTTAATGATTACCATATTGTTTTGAATACCGAACCCAAAATCATTAGCAGAAACCAATTTACCCAAACAGCATTGGTTTCATTCAGAAATGCCCAAGACTATGCAAAGTGTGCTGATAATCTTATTATCCAGTACACAAAAGTTAAAGTTAGACCTTTTATTAGCAGAAAAAAAACTCCTGAAGAACTCCAAGCTATGCGTAATAAGATACGATTATTGAAAAATGAATCAGACAAAAAGGATAATGAGGCCCATCCTGTTTCCACTGACGACTCACAAGATGAACCGATGAAAGAAACAAATATTGAGGAACTAGATGAATCCAATGAGGAAGAAAACGAAAACAATTCTATTACATCTAATGAATTATAAAGTATTCCAACTCAATTGTCATAAATCGAAATCTATTACTGAAACTATCTTAGATAAAAAAGAACCTGATATCTTGTTATTACAAGAACCTTACTTTAACAACTATGGGCCCATTAAACATAAAGATTGGATCCCAATCTTTACAGAAACTGGAAAAGAAAAAAATAAATGCAGAGCAATTACTTACATTAGGTCTAACTCTGACTTACGAGCATTAACTACTAAAATTGAAAAGTTTACAAATCGAGATATGGTTACCATTTTGGTTAAAGACATTACAATTGTCAATGTCTATAATCAACCGAAACCATCCAAGAAATACCCTGAGCCACCGGTTTTTGAGTTTCTCAAACGGGAGATCAAGGAACAATACTCAAAGATTGTCATTGCAGGTGATTATAACTTACATCACAAGGAATGGGAGTCAAGGGCAGGTCCGAATACGGAAGCAGATGAAGTTGTTGAGTGGCTACATGAAAATGATATGATGTTAATTACTCCAAGAAATCAAAAAAACATACAACAATAGAACCAATATTGATTTGGTTTATGGCTCAGTGGACTTACTTCATAGAATTTCATTTAGTGGAGTGGATGAAAATACACTAAGTGATCACTCAATTGTGGAGTGGGACATCTATATGTCTCAGAGTAAAAACGGGGATGAAGTTTTTACTTCGGTGAAGAGATTGAATATTAAGAATGCAGATTGGGAAAAGTTTGACAAGGAGCTTTCTTCTGCCATTAAAGATTTTAATGTGCATAACAAAACTCTAAAATCAACTGACCAAATTGATGACCAAGCTAAAGCTCTTGAGGAGGTTGTAAAAAGAGCAATGGCAAAGTCGATGAAGGAAGTTAAGGTGATGAAAAAAGTCCAAACGCTATTGGAATCAAGAATTAAGGGAGAAGTTAGAAAAAGCGCTAGAAGCTAAGAGGGAAGCCCGTCAAAGGCAACCTTCTTTGGCTTTGAAACGACAAAAAATTGAAGAGGCGAAAAAAGCTAGAAAAATTTTTGACCACAGTTTGCGTGAAGCAAGTACTGAGCAATGGAATAAATATTTGTCTAGTTTAGAAGGAAATGACATTTGGAAGATTTTGAAGTATATTAATCCAAAAAGCAATGATACCATTATACCACAAATTAGAAAAGAAGATGGAACTCTCACTACTACTGTTGACGAAAAAAGACATGAAATATGGAAGGCACTTCTACCTGAAATTGATCATGGTCTTGATAGAGAGTTTGAAATTGATGACGATTCTCGATGGCCAAAATTAGAGTTTGATGAAGTTGACTCTGCATTGGCTGATACCCCAAATGATAAAGCTCCAGGAGACGATGGAATTACTGGCAAAGTTTTAAAGATGGCATGGCTAAATAAAGACTTTAAGGAAAGGTTTTTCAAGCTTCTCCAAGCTTGTGTAAAGTTTGGATACCACCCAAAAGTCTGGAGACATGGCATTATTGTTGTTATACCTAAACCTAAGAAACCTGACTATTCAAAGCCAAGAGCATACCGACCAATTTCCTTACTTAAGATTCCATCTAAAGTACTGGAAAAAATTATACAAAAAGAATGACCAAGCTTACAACACACTTACTTCCACCAGAGCAATATGGGGGAAGACAAGGTTATTGTGCTACTGATGCTGTTTTGGAACTTGTCCAAAGAATTGAAACTAGTAAGGAAAAAATTTCAGCTATGCTCATTGATATTCAAGGAGCTTTTGATAATGTTAACAGAAATATATTGGCAGACACAATGGAGGATATGAAACTACCCAAAGCACTTATAAACTGGACGTACCAATTTGTAAGTGAAAGAGAAGCTAGTATGCTCATGGACCGAAGAAAAGGATCAGTACAAAAAATTAGTACTGGAATTCCGCAAGGCTCACCTATTTCACCACTACTTTTTTTGATATATTCCACACCAATGTATCATGCCATTAAAGAATGGGGTGGAACTCCTTTTGGCTTTATTGATGATGTGACTATTACCGTTGAAGGTAAAATTGAAGAAAATACCAAAAGCTTAAGCAACATATTAGAAAAATGTTGTAATTGGGCTAAATCAAGAATGACCAAAATTGATTTGGGTGATAAATTGGGTTTTATTCATTTTACAAAAAATGTGAAACCTAAAGATGAAAAAGTGCAACTTACTTTACCTAATGGAGAACTTCGTGAACCCCAGAAGAAGGTTAAATTGCTTGGAATTACTTTGAACAATCTGCTTGATTTTAAATCTCATATTTTGAATAAAATCAATAAAGCAAGAAAAGCTGTTGGTGCTATTTGGCATCTTGGAGGCGTGCAAAAGGTATGCGAGGGTCTGCAGTCAGATCACTGTATATTGCTTGCGTGAGACCAATTGTTGAATATGGCTTAGAAATTTGGCATCATAAAATCTTGAAAGGAGAAATCCACAAGTTGGAAGTAATGCAGAACATGGCTTTAAGAAGAATTGTTGGTGCTTATCGCACAACTCCTATTGCGGTACTACAAAAGGAAGCTGGTATTATGCCATATAGTATTAGGCTAAAATTTATGGTGGCACGAAAAGCTATTCGTTTACACCTAAATATTAGCAAAACTAATCCTATTAATGGTCATTTGTTAACATTGATTGAGAAATCTCCAATTGCAAAGCTAACCACGCTTTACATATTGGCGAAAGATGATAGAGACTACATGATTAAAAGGATGAAAAACGAAAATGCAAGAGGGTTGAACCTCTTACACTGAAACAACAACAGAATCAGACGATTGGAATTTTGAAGAAACAAGCAATGGAAGAATGGCAGGAAATGTATTGGAATAGCAGTAAGGATCTGTGGTATCATAATATCACAGTGGAGTCGAAATGTACTGATAATCTTTCTAAAATGGTTACAGGGAGTGATCATGAAGAAAGATAGTCGAAGGATCTTGAGTAATATTACTCAGTTTCGCACAGGCCATGGCAACTTTGGCGCATGGTTTAAAAAAAAAGTTTGGAATTGAAAAGGATAGTTACAACTGCAAATGTGGAGAGCTGGAAACAGTTCATCACATTTTAGTTGAGTGTCCTTTGCTTGAAGAGGAAAGAAAAGGACTGAAACGGATATCTCCAGAGATGGACATGTCGACTCTCTTAAACAGTTTAACTGGCTTACAAGAGATTGTAAGCTTTATCTCTGCTTGGAGGGATTAAGAAATACAATTACAGCGTTGATGAAGACAAGTGGAGATAGGTTGGGAAGGTTTGGTTATTTTTAACCCCCTGTTCCTCGTAAGCTGGCATCAGGACTTATTTTCGGGCTGTTGGAGATGCAATGTTGAAGCCAAAATTAAAAGTTTATTATCAAAATGAAAAAATATATAGTATGGACAAGAAGGATAGCGCAGATGCTGATGTTATATAATTCTATAACCCTTGAATAAAAACAAACAAACAAACAAACATGTCTGACTATGTGACTTGCCGGTTTTCATTTGTACCTTTTTAGTACTGGTGGTTTCTGTTCTGTGCGTCTCCGGTAGCCCGGAAGATGGGCCCTGATGCCAGCTTACGAGGAACAGGGAGAACCAGTCTGTCGGTCCCAAAACCTTCCCAACCCATTTCCACTTATCTTCACGGACGCCCATGTATTTCTTAATCTCTTCCGTCAGAGATACGGCCCGCAATCACCTGCAGGCTATTTAGACTGTACGGAAGAGTCGGCATTCCTGTAACCAGGGTAGCCTATGGTTTTCAGTCTAGGTGTATACTCCCGTACACATCCTCAGGAAAAGGGGGTATTCTGGGAATCGAACCCAGTATCTTCCGCTATCGAGCGAACGTGTTACCCTTTACACCATCCAGCCCTTTCCCCCATCCAGCCCTTTGTTTGTTTGTTTGTTTGTTTTTATTCAAGGGTTATAGAACTATATAACATCAGCATCTGCGCTATCCTTTTATTGTCTGACTATGTGACTTGCCGGTTTTCATTTGTACCTTTTTAGTACTGGTGGTTTCTGTTCTGTGCGTCTCCGGTAGCCCGGAAGATGGGCCCTGATGCCAGCTTACGAGGAACAGGGAGAACCAGTCTGTCGGTCCCAAAACCTTCCCAACCCATTTCCACTTATCTTCACGGACGCCCATGTATTTCTTAATCTCTTCCGTCAGAGATACGGCCCGCAATCACCTGCAGGCTATTTAGACTGTACGGAAGAGTCGGCATTCCTGTAACCAGGGTAGCCTATGGTTTTCAGTCTAGGTGTATACTCCCGTACACATCCTCAGGAAAAGGGGGTATTCTGGGAATCGAACCCAGTATCTTCCGCTATCGAGCGAACGTGTTACCCTTTACACCATCCAGCCCTTTCCCCATTTTGAATAAGTGCCGATCAAGAAGATTGTCCTTATATATTCAGAACAGGTTTTGTTTAGTGTAATTTTTACAAAGGCTCGATGGTTTAGTGGTATAATTCTCGCTTAGGGTTATTCTAAGCAATCTGCGAGAGGTCCCGGGTTCAATTCCCGGTTGAGCCCTTTATTTTTAGAATTTAAATATGCTAAATATTCAACTAATCTAAATTTTTATTAACTTCATTAACGATTCCTAATCGATTTCTATATTCTTTTCTTTATTATCAATTCCCATCTTTTTTTAATCTTTTTATTAATTCTATTTTTTGTTTTTTCAACATCTTTATTTTTTGTCGAGACAGCTTGTTCCAGCCAATCACTGTTTATTTTTTCTTACTATATCCCCTAACCCTTGTAGGCCTATTACCTTGTTTTTCACCACTATTTTTCCAGGTTTTATTTTTTTTTTATTTTTTTTTTAGCAAAACCACCACAGTTTTCACACTATCACCATCACCATCATCGCTACCAACACTGCCACCACATATCCATAAAAATGCTTCGCCAATCTGCTAGATCTGTCATGTCCGTCGCTGGTAGACGTTTCAATTCTACTGCAGCTGCTGCTCCCGCTCCTGCCCCTGTTTCTGTCAATATTAAGAAGACTAAGAAGGTTGGCGCTTTCCGTGGCGGGTAAGTAATAATGTCCTACTACTACTCACGCGTGATTTTCATAATTTGCTACGCGATCAATTTCTTCGATGCCCCTTAGTAAATCTCCTATTAATTATCCTCACCAATTGCATTTTCATTTTTTTTTGAAAAATGTATGAATAACGACTAACATACATGTTTTATTTAGTTTTGTCGGATTCCTTGTTGGCACTGTTTTGACTGGCGCTGCTACATACACTTACCTTTTGGATGAATACCGTGCCGCCAATAATGCTGTTGTCGGTGAGGTCGTTTCTCTCAACCAGTCTGTCAGCCGGTTAGAGGCCCACGTCAAGCAGCTTGAGAGTCAGATCAAGAAATAAACGTGATAGAACAGTACAGCATTTCTCTCTTCCTTCCTTTCTTTTTTTTTCTTTCTTTTTGCACGCATGAATGACGACGACAATGGTATATATCGAGCTATGTATTAAACACTTAAAAATATAAAAACATACAGGTTTAATTTTGTTTCCAGATTTCAGAAAAACTATCTCGATTAGCTCTTTCACGTGGTTGGTTTTAAGGTGAAGCTTGTCGTGACTTGAAATGGTCTGTATGGCGCATTTTTAACTTTGGAGGAATAGATTTTCCCCACTATTTTTTTTAAGTTGGTTGCTAATTAAGTGGAATCTTGCTGAAAAAACATGAAATTTGTTTAAAATTGATTAAGAATGTAAGGTACTTTATGATATTCTTAATTGTAAGAGGAGTTCACATATTCGAAATATTTTGGTTGTGATTAAGAATAATTTTTCCCAAATACCCACCCACCAAATGTTTACCAATACATAAAATATCCAATTCCTTTAATTGTTTCAATTTATTTGATTTCTTTTATATCTGAAATAACTTGGAGAAAAAAACAGGTTTCTTTGTCACATTTTTTCGTAATCTGGGGAAATCAGCTCACATAAAAACATGTTGGCTAGGAAAACCGTTTTATGATATTATGCAAATAAATCATTTGTTTAGGATAAAGGGTATCTTTGGAAAAACTATCGCAGGTAACCAACCCTCTGGGAAAAACCCAGATTTTCATAGGACGTTTAAAGATCTTCTCATCTTACAGGAGCGTATTTTGTAGATATGTTTTCATGTGAATTTTTAACAATGCATAATCGGGTATGAATATTAGATCATCTACCTTCTTTCGCTGACTTTGTCAATTTTGAGGATAATTTTCCAAAGAATACATCACAATTAGTGATTTCATATGCCTGATAAAGATTAGTGTGTTTTCTTATTAAAACTTGTAAAGTCGATAAGTCGATAAGTCGATAAGATTACCAAGATTATCACAATTAGATATCTAAGAGTTGTCGTTAACGGAATATCTTGTAAAGTTTTCTCTTTTAATTACTCTTAGAAGATACTTGTACAAGAACAGAAAGAAAAAAAAAAAAATCGAGGACGTAAACCACCATACATGGACCGTTAGAATTTTGGTTTTACCGCGGTATCCAGTCGCTTATCGACGGCCACTAAAGCCGCTTCTTTTTCCGGGCGCTCTTTTAACCTCGGCGGAACCGGTGCACATGGTGGTTCCCGGAAGACATACGGCGTGTATATATATAAATATATATATGACACTTGAGGTATAAAAGAACTTGGAAATGGTCGTTATTTCATGGGCAAACCAAAGATTATTAGAAGTTGCGTGTAACAGTAATCCCGCGGGGGTCACTTTTTGCGTGGCCAAGGATTTTTTTTTTTTCCCTATTTTTGTGTATGACCCAAAAATAAAATAAAAAGAGAACAAAATTTTCTTTCTTTTCTTCAAACAATTTTTTATAGAAAAAAAAAAACAGCATAAAAAACTACATCATGGCACTATCTATTGGTGGTGCAATTTATATTGCCATCAAGCCGCTGGTGAAGATTTTTCTCAACTGTTTTATGGGCTTTTGGCTGGCAAAAACTAGTAAGTAAACCGCGCATGTTTCACGAGAATGCATATTTCCCCATTTTGACTAACACCGGGCAGATGTCTTAACGGTAGAGGTTGTACAAAGTCTTTCGGTGGTAATTGTCAATTACCTGATGCCAGCGCTTATTTTCAACAAAATTATAGAGTCCTTGAGCGGATCAGATATCAAGTTGATTGGTGTTTTTTGTTTAACAATGGTTCTGTATCAAGTGCTGGGACTCTTTTTTGGGGTTGCGGCTAAGATGCTAACACCTAACCCCAAGTACTGGACCGGCGGGTTGATTGTAGCTGGGACTATGACCAACATTGGAGACTTGCCGATTGCATATGTGACGACGTTGGCTGGTGGTTCGCTGTTCAGCAGCACAGATGGAACTCGAGGAACAGCATACTCCATCATCTTTTTAACAGTATTTATTTTTTCGTTTTTTAATCTTGGCGGGTATCGGCTGATTCAACACGACTTTACATCACGACAGCGGGATATTGAGCTCAACATTTACGACAAGAACCAGAAAAATGAGCCTGGGATCAAACACTTGATTGAGGTTGCAGTGGCGCGATATAAGAAATTTAGAGAAAAGAAAAATCCCCTTGAGGGGGCCCAAGCAATACCCATGCCTGTTGCGCCTAAGGAGCCAGTAAAAAAGGTTGTGATTGATACCAACCACAATACGGAGATTGAGCGGAGTCAAGACTCGCTAGAACTAAGGCACTTCCGAAGCACAGGATCTATGGACGATCCACGAATCAGTCGGGTGCCTACAGAAACATTATCGATAGAAGAAGCGCTGAGCGATGATCAGCCAGTAAGCCGCTTCCATACTACAGGGTCCTTATCGACCACATTACGGCGATATACTACGGCGTCATCGCAGCGAGGCCCATTTATTCCAGGGGCCGGATCCCTACCTTCGGAGGGACTTTTTGATGATGACGATGAAGATGAAGATGAGAAAGCTGAGCCACTTCCAGCTCCAGAGGGAATGGAGAGTGTTATTAATGCATACAGTCAGACGCAACGGTTGCAAAAAGTTTTATCCAGACAAGAGACTGGGCATGTGTCCGAGGCTGGAGATAAGGCGGCTGCGACTACAGCGAAAAAGAAGAAGAAGGGGAATGTTGTGAAGAGAACATTGTATCGATGGAGGCTTGGGTTTTTATGGGGGTTTTTCAATAATTTTTTGCGGCCTCCGAGCATTGCATTGATTTTGGCCATGACTTTTACAATGATTCCGTGGGTGCGACGGTTATTTTATGCAGACCCGAACAAAGGCAACTATGGGATTCCAGATGCACCAGATGGCCGGCCAGCGTTAAGTTTTGTAATGGATATTACGTCTTTTGTAGGAGCATGTGAAGTGCCGCTTGGGCTTGCAACATTGGGAGCGACGATTGCACGGTTAAGCTTGAAGAGCATGCCAAAGGGGTTTTGGCAGACGGTAGTTGCATTGACGTTGGGTAAGTTAGTGATTTTGCCAATTATTGCAGTTGCTTGGACGGAGAAGATGAAGTCGCTTGGATGGATTGATGCGGACAATACAATTGCTATATTTGTAATGATTATTTCATCTGGGGTTCCGAGCGCAACATCGCAGGTATACTTGACTGCAATCTACACGTCGCCAGATTCTGACGACCACGAGGAAATGGACTGTTTGGCTGCGTGTTTGATTGCTCAGTACGCTTCACTCATTTTCACAATGACGATTCTCCTGACCTACACGTTAAAAAAGGTTTTAGAATTTTAAGTGTTTAGTTTTATGTTTTATGTTTTATATTTTATATTTTAATATTTAAAGTGTAAGTTTTATGTTTTAATATTTATATATTATTTTATTTGTTACATTTATTTGTAACAAACGCGTTTTGGGTTGGTTGGTTTTTTTTATTTTTTTTTTTTTGTTATTTTTCAAAACCTTCAAAAAAAAAGTTTTGAATCGCCCGCAAACACCCACCACTACCACCAAATTTTGCCCTCTTTTTTTTTTTTTTTTTTTTTTCTTTCTTTCTTTCTTTCTCTCCACATCAAGCAAACACACTACCACCACCAATACTTTAAAAAAAAAACAAAGGCATACCAAGATTCAGAACCCAACCATCAAACCCTTCACTCGAAATCGCCCTCTCCCTCAGATTCATCGTCTTTTCTTGACAAGCTCCTTTTTTCATCCTACTCTCACACTTTCACCCGCTCTTTTCATTTTCATTTTCACTTTCTATTTCTATTTCTTTTCTTTCTTTCTCACCATCTAACATGTCTGAAACTGAAAAGCAGTCGGCTTCCGCCACCACTAACACCTCCTCGGCCTCAACCGTTCCTACCTCTGGTTCTGCCACTGGATCATCCACCGCCACTGGTCCCTCTGACTCTTTGTTTGAATCCAACTTTTCTGAGCACGCTGGTGAAAGCGCTGCTGACTCTGAGGCTGAGGGTTCTTCAGGCGCTAATGCAGGCTCTGCTTCTGCTGCCGCCACCTCTACTGGTTCCTCTTCTTCCTCTACCGGTGGAAACACCTCTGTTGCCGGTGAGCACAATGAGAATGCCGTTGCTGGACTCTCTGATGAGGAAATTGGTCAGATGGAACTCACGATCCGATCCCTTGTGACATCCAAGCAAGCCGGTATCATCATTGGCAAGGACGGTAAGAACGTTGCCGACTTGCGTGAGCAGACTGGCGTCAAGGCTGGTGTCTCCAAGTCTGTGAGCGGCGTTCCTGACCGCGTGCTTACAGTGACTGGCACTCTTGATGGCGTGGCTAAGGCCTACTCGATGGCTGCTGCAACCTTGTTGGCAACCTCAGCCAGCAATGCTCAGACCACCAATTTCCACACGCCTCCGCAACCCGGAGTGAGCACAATCAAGCTGCTGATTTCGCACCACCAAATGGGTACAATCATTGGGCTCCAGGGTGCCAAGATCAAGTCGATCCAAGAAAACACCAAGGTTCGTATGGTTGCATCCAAGGAGCTTTTGCCCAACTCGACAGAGCGTACAGTCGAGGTCCAGGGTACTCCTGAGGCCATCGAGGAGGCTGTTTGGGAGATTGGTCGTTGCTTGCTTGAGGACGCTAGTCGCTCGACAAGTACCATTTACTACAACCCGCAGCCGCGCGGGCTCAGCGGCAACAATGGCGCGGGTAACACCAATGTTGGTGGCAACAATGGGTACACTGCTGGTGGGAACAACTCGTTCAACAATAACAACGGGTCCCGATACAATAATAACAACAATGGCGGGTACCGCCATGGAGGAGGATCTTTCCGTCAAAATGGGTTTAATAACAACCACAATAATAATAATAACTACAACAACAATAATAGCAATAGCAACAACAGCAGCAGCAGCAGCAGCAACAACACCCGATCTGATGGTGAAGAAACTGTTGTTGATGAAATGTCCATTTCTGCCGATATGGTTGGATGCATTATTGGACGCGGGGGGTCGCGTATTGCAGACATTCGACGTTCGAGTGGTGCACGCATCTCGATTGCCAAGGAGCCCCATGACAATACTGGGGAGCGACGTTTCACAATCATTGGAACCCGCGAGGCAAACCAAAAGGCGCTGGCGCTCTTGTTTAATCAGCTTGAGTATGAGAAGAAGCGTCGCACTGGTGAAGATGGGCTCAAGGAGGAAGCTTAAAAAAGTAATGGGGGAAAAAAAAAAAAAAAATAAGAGAATGAAGAATGAAGAATGAATTGAAAATTTGAACAAAAAAAAAAAGAAAATCAACAAAAAAAAAAACCTGGGTTAAAATGCCAAAAAAATTTAAAAAAATTTAAAAAAAAAAACAAGTATTTTAGTTTCTTCTCTAATTTTTTTTTTTTTTTTTTTTCCTTTAAAATAGTTTTTTTTTATTGTTTTTAAATGATTTTTTTAATGCTTTATATTATTATATACTTTATTATATATATGATGAATTAAGATTGTTGTGTTGCTAAAGCATTGCGGAACATTTGCTGAGTATGCTCAAAGACCTTATCTTGAAGAGCCTTGTCCAGGTACCCCTTTTGTTCTGCTCTTTCCTTGAGTGACTTGTGAGCTCCGTCAATGATGTGAGATCCTGTTCGATATTGTTGATCTGTAGCGGCCACATAAAAGAACTTCTCGGCTGCATTTTCTGGAGAATCTGCAAAACACTTCATTAACGGAGCAACAGTCCAACGAATGTACCAGGGGAACTCGCGGGTAATACCAGTGTTGACAACACCAGGACCCGCATGAATAAATCCAACAGAAGGATGTGTACTAGCATAACGCACGACGGCCAAAGAATTGAATTCAGTGATGTGACGGTTAGCTGCACGCAATGAGAAATGTTTCTTAAGATCAAGATCAGACTCATCGACGGGGCCCTCATTCCCTGGAGCCAAAAGAGTTAAAACACGGGCATTAGAAGCTGCCGGGTCGTTAGGTGTAACAGCGGCCTCTACTAACGGGAGCAATTTGTCAATGATTCTCCAGCGACCATAATAATTGACTGCAAGTTTGGTATCGATGCCTTCTTTAGATTCAGTTCGGCCATTGATTGTGAGGAATCCTGGAGATAAGAAGAGCAGGTTAATTTTTTTTTCACGGGCTGAAATCTCTGTAGCAAGTTTATCAGCCTCGGAGATAAGTGTGACATCGTGTTGTAAGAACTCTGCGTGTGTACGTGGGTTAAGTTCCTTGAGATGGGCAAGGACTCTTGCACCAGATTCGGCATTACGGCCTACAATATAAATTGTGGGCTCATAAGAGTATCTTGCAAGAGCATACGCTGTGTGCTCTCCTAGCCCAGAAGTTGCGCCTACAAAAACTGCGACGGGAGATTTGGCTGCAGGGGAAGAAGCAGCGTAGCGGGAATTGAGAGAGATGATTTCAGCGAGTGATGGCATTAAGAATGAATTTAGAAATAAAGGAAAAGGAAAAGGAAAAGGAAAAGGAAAAGAAAAAGAAAAAGAAAAAGAAAAAGAAAAAGAAAAAGAAAAAGAAAAAAAAAAAAAAAAGATGATGTATATTAGAAAATATGGATTTGATTTTTAAAAGTTATTAGAAGATTAATGAATAGATTAGGGGCAGGGAGGGGATGGATGGGACTTTATATTAAAGAGTTTTAAAGTCAAGTCATGATGGTCAATGTCGTTATGTCGTTATGATGTTATGATGTCGTCAGATATAGTTAAGTTATTGATTGGTAATTAGTAATGTTACTAAAGTTAAGGTTATTGTTATTTTATTTTTATTTTTTTATTTTTTTTATTTTTTCAATAAGTTAAACAAAGAATAAAGATTAGTAATAGTTTTATTATTAATTATTATTAAATAATGAATAATATTATAGATTATAAATTTCACGTGACATGTGGTGCCACAAATACCAAAAAAATATTAAAATATTAAAATAAAAAATATTAAAAAATATTAAAATAAAAAAATAAAAAATTCAAACTAAAGCCAAGAAAATTTTTAAAACCTTAAAATAACTCTTTTTCTTCTCTTTTTTTTTTTTTTTTTCTTCTCCTCCTCTTAAAAAAAAAATAAAAAATAAAATAAAATAAAAAATAAAAAGAAATGTTTTTGTTTTATATTTTTATTGATACCAGAGTAAGTGCGGCGTACACTATATATATATATATCTCTTTTAATAATATTTTATATATAATATATTAAAATTATTTCTTTTTTTTTTGTGGCTCAATCGATTGGTTTAAATTTCTGAAATTAAAATTTAAAATTTAAAATTTAAAAATAAAATAAAATAAAAAAATTCTCTTCACCACCATTCCGCTCAGACGGCCCGAATATTTTCAAAATACCAAAAAATTCCAAAAAAAAAAAAACCTTTGATGAATGTAATTTTTTTTTATTCTTTTTTTTTTCTTATTCTTATTTTTATTCTTATTCTTATTTTTTTATTATTGTACATTAATAATTATGATAGATTAAACACCTAATATACTATGATTTTAACATGTGTGTACAAAAATATTTTTATCAAATTTTATCGTAAATTTATCAGTTATTATCGTTCATGTATCTGTAATCAATCGTTAATTTTACATTTTAATTTTAAATCCATGCTTATTTGTTAGATTGCTAGATTTAGATTTATTTTTTTTTTTTCAACCTCTGAGAGGGGAAGGAAACCTATCTTTATTACATAAAACTATAATATAAATACTGTATATACTAAAAAAAAAAAAACAAAAAAAAAAAAAAAAAAACTATTCTATCATCATCCCTCGACTTTAAACTTTCTTGTTTTTTTTTTATTATTTTTATTTTCTACTTTTAAATAAATACCCGATCCAACATTCCCAAAGCTCGTCTGTCTTCAGGTAAACACTTGGCCTTATTATTTTTACCTTGAGGTGAAAGTCCTGCAACTGTTGATGTTGATGTTGTTGTTGTTGTTGTTGTTGAAGAAGAAGAAGAAGTGGTAGGATGAGTCGTAGAAGCACTTGGAGATGACGAAGCTGCAGAAGATGGTGCTGCCAAAGTAGAAGTATTTGAGGATTGGGGCGACGTCAACACCTGGGACGAAGGGGCCGAGGTGACTGACGATTGCTGAGACAAAGAACCAGAGCTTATAGCAGATGGTCTTGAAGCAGAGGATAAAATTGCAGATGCTAATGCAGGTTTAGGAGAGTAACCTGGAGTTGATGGTGGAGGAGTAGGCAAGGCATCTGTTGAAGGTTTTGTAGATTTTGAAGAGGTGGTGGAGGAAGAGGTGGAGGAGAAGGGGGTTGACGTAGTAGAGTTTGCCGAGGCGCCAATGGTTAATGGTTCCTTGGCCTTTTCATCAGACAACATTGACCTAAGAACCCGATCCTTCTCGGCGCTATTGCTCACAGAAGAAGGAGAAGAAGAAGAAGAAGGCTTGGCCAAACACGAAGCAGCAGCAGCGCTCAGCGCCGCCAGCGGTGCCGTGTCTTGAGAGTTATTGCTATTTGAGTTTGATGATATGCTTTGTGTGCTGTTATTATTGCCATTTGAATTGGTAGCATTATTGTTATTATCAATATTAATATTACCATTGATGTTGCTGTTGCTGTTGCTGTTGCTGTTGCCGTTACTGCTGTTACTGGAATTAAGAATAGATGGACGGCCTTGACTCGTAACACTGTTGCTACTGCGCCGAGAATGAACATCATGACCCACTGGAGGTGAAACGCTACGTTGACGAGACTCACTGGCACGTGCCAAAGTTGCTAATGGAGGCAGAGTTGTTATAGTAGAATTGGAAGGCTGTGACTCATCATCAGAACGTAAACTTGAAAGACTTGCAGAGCTGCCACTGCGCCCGCGCAGGCTCTCTGCATATGAAGTCGCTGAAGGTACAGTTGAAGAAGAAGGTGACGAAGAAGAAGAAGCTGTTGCTGCTGTTGCTGCTGCAGCTGCTGCTGAATTAGGTGGTGAAGACATTGAGTAGTGGTGAGAATGATAAGAGTGAAGGTAATTTGGAGAAGAATGGTGAGAAAGTGGAGGATACGGATAATGATGGGATTGATGATGGTGGTGAAGACGGTTATGAGAAGGAGGAGGAGAAGAAGTTCCATCGGATGATGTTGATGATGATGAGTTGGAACCTCCTTGAGAAGAAGAAGAAGAAGAAGAAGAAGAAGAAGAAGAAGAAGAAGAAGAAGAAGAAGAAGAAGAAGAAGAAGAAGAAGAAGAAGAAGAAGAGGTAAAGCACTAGAAGAAGACCCAGGAGGGTAAGGATATGAGTCCGGAGGCATATATGGGTACCGGTATGGATAGGAAGGGTACCCGGCAGGTGGAGGAGGATAATAGTAACCTGGATAAGGAGAATAGTAAGATGGGTGTTGTTGGCCTGACTGGTGAGGAGATTGTTGCTGTTGTTGATGTTGATGTTGTTGTTGCTGTTGCTGTTGTTGTTGCTGCTGGTGGTGAAGATGTTGTTGCTGCTGATGTTGCTCATGGCGTTTTGCATATTCTGCATACTCTTCAGGATACATAGGATGTGGATGTCTCTGGGCCATGGGATGTTGACTGTGAGGAGGTGGTGGAATATGATGAAGATGATGAAGATGATGAAGATGATGAAGATGAGGGTATCCTTGGTATGCAGCTGAGTAGCTTAAAGGAACAGTTGTAATTGCAGGGACAAATGTTGAACCTGAAGATGAATTATCTGGATACATTTCATTAGGAATTCGGAGTTCTTTAAAGCGAGGGTCAGTAGATGGTTGGATAAGTTTCCCAGAAGCCACATCTTCTTTTGTGTAGTAGGCAATTAAATGGAATTTGAGTTTGGTTGATGTTGTAATTGAAAAACTTTGCTTGAAAAGACCGCCTTGTTTATATCTGTAGCCTTCTTCCGGGACATCGGAAGCGTCATCTGAAGGTGTTGGGGAAGCACCGGGAGAGGATCGTTTAGAGTGGTTCGGGTCTGGATGTTTTCTTTTCCGAGAGCCCGATTGGGAAGAAGAGTTATTATTATTATTACTTGAGTCATCCGAAAGATTTTCATTTGAAGTATTATTATTATTATTATTATTATTATTATTATTATTATTATTATTATTATTATTATTATTATTATTATTATTATTATTATTATTATTGCTTCCATGAGATATACCTCCTGTAGTTTTGCGGCTACCTTCCATTTCACGATAAGTTAAAAAAGATCCAGAGACTCTTGAAGCGGACCAGGACTTGCCGTCAGTCCATCTTCTCATGGAAGCCTCATGTTCATCCCAAATATAAATTGACCCGGAGGATATTTGGAGACGTTCACGTTCTGAGAGTCTTCTTCGGATACGAGGAATGAAACCCATTCTGGAAGCCTCAAAGAGGAGAATAGCATCAATTTGAGTGCGTATATGACCGTGGTATGATTCCATGGTTGTGGATATATATAGAGATTTGATATATATATTAAATATATCTATATATATATATATATATATAGATATATATATAGTTAGAAATAGATAGATAGATTATATGAAAAAAAAAAAGAATGAAAATTTGGAGAAACTTTTTTTTAAAAAAAAAAAAAAAAAAAAAAAAAAAAAAAAAAAAAAAAAAAAAAAAGAAAGAAAGAAAAAAAAAAGTTTAAAATAAGAAGAAGTGGCAGCCTTTTTATATCACAATGAGAGATTTAAATATTTTTTAAATATTTTTTTTTTTTACGTTAAAATGTTGTTGTTGTTGTTGGCTATATATATATATATATATATATATTACGCATGCAATATTTTAAAAAAAAAAAAAAAAAATTAAAAAATATTTTAGAATTAAAAATTTCTTTAGAATTTGAGCTTCTTTTAATTTCTTAATTTTTTTTTTTTTTTTTTGAAAGGGAGAGAGAACGAGAAAGAGCCATCCCCCCTCCCTCCAGTGGTATATAAATTTTTTTATTTTTTTTTTATTTTTGTTAAGCGGCATCATCCTTATTATTAGAATTAGAAAAATAAAATTCACAGATATTTTTTTTTTTTTTTTTTTTTTACTAAGGTTTTAAGAGTGCAATTATAGTGAAAGCTTAGCCTGGAGCCAAGCAAAGCTTATGTCAGCGCGGTTACGTGTTCCGGTGCTGCCGGTGGTGGTGGTGGTGGTGTTACTGCTGGTAGTTGCTGTTTAAAGAATAGTTTATTATTATTATTATAATAATCTTTATTTTTATTTTTTCTATTAACATTAGAGGAGGAGAAAAATAATTAAAAAGTTTAATGGTATTGGTGGTAGATAGTGATTGTATGTGGTCTTATTTATTTATTTATTTATTTATTTATTAATTTATTAATTTGTTAATTTGTTTGACCCTTTAGGTCCATTCCTTTCCAATATCAAAAAAATATAAAATATAAAAAATTCTTGTTAAAAATCAAATCTTTAAAATATATTTAAATAAATCTCATTTTAAAAAAAAAAAAAAAAAAAGCCGTTGAAAAGACTTTTTAAAATAATAATAATAATAATAATAATTTTTAAATAAACACTTTTTTTGTGGGTTTCTTTCTGGTTTAAAATAAATAAATAAATAAATAAATAAAAATCTACAGTGTACACTATTGAAACTTGTGTATATGTGTGTGTGTATATATAAAATTAAAATTCAATGCCAAGATTCTGCCTTATATTACTTTATTTATCAAATATGTTCATCAAATAATTAATTACTAAGCTTTTATATATATATATATATATATTGTACATACTCTATTTGGAGAGGGGAAAACTATAAAACTATAAAAACTAAAAAAAAAAAAGAAACTTGGATTTTTATGGGCTTTTCATTTTCATTTTCATTTTTGTTATTAATTTTTTTTTTTTTTAAAAAAAAAAAATCTTAAGATAAATTTTTAGTATCAAAATAAATCATCATTAAATCGACAAGTCAGTCATTCATTCATTCATTTATGATCTACTTTTTTTTTTTTTTTTTTTTTTTACTAACTAAACACTAATATCGGAATTTATATATATAATTATATTATAATATAGATTTTATTACAATAAATGAATTCTAACCTTGGTATTTACCCTACTTTTTTTCACAGCCACCATTTTTTAATATTGTTTTTTTTTTTTTTGTTTCAAGTATCTTACAATGAAAATAAAATAAGACTAAGCTTAAAAGAAATATATTAAATTAAAATACAATATATATATATATATAAAGATATATAAATATAAATATAACTCTATTTACCACCTGTTTGCTGCAGCTGATACAGATTCTGATTCTGATACTGCTAATTCTACTGTTTTCGATGCCTCTACTGTGACTACTGACGTCACACGGCTTTTAAAATTTTTTTTTTTTTTTTTTAATTTTAAAAATAAAATTTGTCTTTTTCGTTCTCCCCAACCAAAATCAGCCAACTGGCTTTCAAACCAACCAATCAATTGCCCAGTTGAGGCGCTTAGCATCCAAACAAACAGAAAAACAAAAAGTCTTGGCTTTGCGCTGCTTATTTTAGTGCCAATCTGCAATTCTTAATAATCACACTACTAGCGGTTATTCTCTCCCTTCCTGTAAAAAGCCCTTTGTCTCACATAATAATAATAATAATAATATTATTATTATTATTATTAAATAATCCCTATTACACTTTAATTACAACTATATATATATATATGTATATTAAATATACAACCTTATGATCTCTGATAACACACTCCATATAAATCTTCTTCCTCTAGTCCATCAAAAATTCTCCTCCTCCCACGCTCCAACTGATGCCCCCCCAAAACTCCGTTGTGCAGCTTCAAACGATGATAACCCAGCAAAATCTCCATCCGAAACACCCGCTAATGGATCCCCTAACGGTGCTCGTGTTGATGGCTCCACTGCTGGAGGCTCAGATTGACTCATACCTTCTCTTGGCCCCATAAAATCACTCCTAATACCACCTTCATTCGTACCCCGAATAACCTCTGCAACATACTCCCGTTGGGTCTCTGCATCTATAAATTGCTCACGCACATCTGCCCCGGTAGTAGTATCAACAAACGCTTCACCCTCCAACCTTGCAGCCTGACTCCCCAGCTGCTGCATCAACAACATAAAATTACTAGCCTGCAGTTTCTCATTACTTTGATCCATATTCGTCATAATATGTCTTGCAATCTGAGAAAGCTCTGTGTTTTCATCTACATGAACATTCTCCTTCTCTTCTTTCTGTTGATCCGGAATAATCCTCTCCATAGCCACAGCCTCAGATACCGTATTTACATCCCCCTTTATACTGGTACCGGTCTCTGTTGCTATTTTCGTCACAGAATCTTGTTCTAACTGCTTTTCCACATGGCTAAATGCGGCTTCAAACATCGCAAGTTCGGCTTCTTTGGAACCCGTAGTCGCCAATCCTGCTGCTGTTGTTGCACTAGAAACCCCACTTGTTCTCATCACACCTGGTCCCATATATCCTGACACCCCACCATACTGATTAAGAATCTGTGAATTTTGTTGTTGTTGTTGTTGATGTTGATGTTGATGTTGATGTTGATGTTGATGTTGATGTTGATGTTGATGTTGATGTTGATGTTGTAGAAACTCTGTATGCCAATTACTCATGTGTCCTGGCCCTGCATTTTGTCCAACAACTGACCCCCCAGTCTGCTGACCCATATGTTGACCCATAGGCTGACCCATAGGCCGCTGCTGCTGCTGCTGCTCCAACGACATGCCTGAAAAGTCGCGCACCCAATCGGGACCTCCTTGTTGTTGATGCTGGTTCTGTAACTGATTTAGTGACGGGCCCACCATATGCGGTGGTGTAACAAATGATGACGATGCTACATGCTGCTGCTGCTGCTGTTCAGTGAATCCTCCTGATCCACCAACAAATCTTTCAAAATCCTGTTGCAAATGACCTTGCTGTCCATTTGCTACAGTTCTAAACCCTGAAGCTGCTTGCTGCTGCTGTTGCTGTTGCTATAATATATCACTTGATTAGTTCTCTTGGTCCTTTTTCTACCATAGAAATTTCTCCACAAAACTAACCTGTCCAAACCGATCCTGCTGATGTGATCGGTCCACACTTCCAGCTTTCACCAGACCCTGCAGTGGATTTGATGGTCCACAAGAGTCTCCGCTGTTAAACATTCCTGACATTTTTTTTTCTTTATAACTTAACGTTTATTTCTTTAATTATTTCTTTGGTTTTTAGAAGAGAAGGGGATAGATTTTTTTTTTAAAATCTTAATAAGTTTTGGTGGCACAACTTGAATAATGCTTCTCCACGCGGGGAGGGGTTAGACTTTTTTTTTTTTTTTTTTTAGTTTCTCTCCTCTTCTAATCACCCAAAAATCAAAAAATCAAAAAATCAAAAATAAATCAAAGAAACCAAAAAATCAAAAGGTCCTCGGCTAAAAACCAATTTGATTTCGCTTCGTGAACCCAAATCACATGATAAATCCAATTCCCCAATCACAAACCACCAAACCAAACCTCCCCCAAATTCTTCACCACCAAAGCGCCCTTTTTTAATTTTTAATTTTTTTTTTTTTTCTACCACCAATACCACGACAACTTCTATACACAACAATGTCCTCTAGACTCTACTATAGACTCCCAAGCATAGCAGCAGGAACTGTTGCTGCTATGGCTCTGGCTACAGCATCTGCCCCTACTGCCCATGCTTCCAGCCGCAAGTCCATTTACGACGATGACGATGACGAGTCCATTGCTCCTGTTCCTGGCACCTCCGAGCCCGTCACTACTCCCACACCTGCTGCTGCTGCTGCTGCCACCCCCTCTAAGACTGAGCTCACCAAGACTGAACTGGTCAATGGTGTGACAATCCGTTCCACAGACACCCTCGAAAAGTACGTGGCGGCCGGCCGCACGTGGCTCGCCGAGCACGTTGCATCTGCAGAGACTTCGCTCAATGCTTACTTTGACAAGTACCTTTCTGCTGAAAAGACTGTGTCGACCACTGTTGCCGACCTCAAGTCTGCTGACGAAGACATTCTTCCTGGCGCTATTTATATTCTTGTTGCTGCACTTTCTGGCTCCGTTGTGGCCCGCAACCGTAACGTGCTTGTGCGCGCCGCAGCACCACTGGTCTTTGGTACCGCCGCATTTGCATACTTCTTGCCTGAGGCTTATGCAAACACTGGCAAGCTTGTTTGGAAGTTTGAGCAGCGTGCCCCAGCACTTGCCCAGGCCCATATCGACACGGAAAAATCAGTCAAGGACTTTGCTGCGTCGGTTGATACTGCTGTCAAGGACGCCAACTCGGCGCTCGAGAGCTCAGTTCACACCGCTCGCAAGTTTGTGGCTGATACTACAGGATTGCAGATTCCTGATGAAAAGAATAAAAAATAAAAATATAATAAAAAAAATCAATAAAAGAGGAATGATGACAGTATGGTTGTTGTGAATAAAGCAGTTAAAGTATAAATTAAAAAAAAAAAAGTTATCATATATAAAGTGATTATTTCAATTCAATTCTAATTCTAATTCTATTCTAATTCAAATACACATTAAGGGTTTAGTTTTTTTTTTTTTTCTTTTTTTCTTTTTTTCATCGCAATCATGGATCAAGATTTTGATGAGGGTATTGTGGTTCTTAAACCATCAAAAACTACTTCTGCAACAAGTTCATCAGGCCCATTAAAAAAACCTTCACTTTCACTAAACCCTTTGGATCTTCTTTATATGTTTTCTGGCAAACGTAAACGTGCACCATCATCCAAGGAGGTAGCTACAGAAATTGGGAGACTTGAAAAACTGACGGGAAAGATGGCTATTCAACAAAAACGCGTCAATGATATTCTACGCGATTGGGGCGCCGAGTTGCCAGAGCCCGAGTCGCGCGAACTTACCAGCAACATGCACAATTTACTTTCTGGTTTGACGAGAAACATTAAAGAACAAAAATGAAAAATAAAAAAAAAAACAATTGAAACGAAGCTCTAACAAATCTATTTTTATTTTTATTTTTTTCTTTTTAGGACCCCTTGTGGTGTATAATGAATTGCAATCAAGATTGACCACGATTCACTCTAACTTTGTGGACCTGATTCGCATGGAAGATCACAATGCGCGTATGGAAACCGAACTCAAGGCGACTCAAAAGTTATACTACAAGGCCAATTACCGTGACTTCCCTCCATACCAGATTGACTCATACCAAGCATCATATGAAAGCATTTGTGCCGAAATTGATGAACTCCATCTACGCCATCGCAACCGGCTTGTTTTTATGATGAAGCAATCATACCAACTTTTGCTCCAACAAATGCTAGATTGCCACCAAACCCAAAAGGTGTGTGCTGAAACTGGTATTCGCTTTTTGGCTGGGTTTGATGCAGAACCAAGAGACGTACTTCCGGAAGGATACCCGGCGTATTCAGCTCAGTACTCTGCAGAAACTCAGGATTCTTCTGGAGTTACAAATGACGACATGTCTGCTGGTATGCGCAATGGCACTCGCCGGTTACGAAGTTTGATGCGAGGAGGAGGCGGAGGAGGACATAATAGCGGTGGCCATGGAAGTGCAATGATGGGGGTAGCTGGTAATGAGGATCCTACAATAACATTATCAGCGCTGGCTCTTTCGCCAGCACCACAAATGCACGCACACTTACAAATTGACGAAAATGAGGGCGAAAATGAGCGAGGAGGAGGAGGTGTTCGTGGTGATGGAGGTGGTGATGATGTGATGGGCATGTACCGCCGTAACATGACGACACAAGCGCTGGCCCATAATGACGCTAATGTGCCTCATTATCGTGGCATTGGGGATTGTCATAAAGATGAAGATGAGGATGAGGAAGAAGACGAAGAGGCCATCAAGCCTGTTGTGGTTCCGTCTTTGCAATCCTATCCCGGACCATATTCAGGTTTTCGATGCTAATATAAACCAAGACAAGAGATTTTATAATAGCGTTATACTACTAATAGAAAAAAAAAAAGCAAAACAATTATATTCATATATATACAACAAGCAAAAATAACACGATTTAAGATTAAAGAGGATCATCGCAAATAGGTGGATGATCTATATTGTATTGGGAAAAGACGCGCTTACCAGTTTCATAAGAGGTAATCATGATTGCGCACGCCGGCGCGATTTTCAAAACTCTAGGAACGGCACCTACAAAGAGAGCCGATACACCTTCATTTTTGACAATGGCGCGGAGAAAGGGGAACATGCCAAGCTGAGCCGAAGTGGACGAGTGGTGGCCGACCTGACGGCGGGTTTTGCCCACGTCGAAGGGCGAGGTTAGGATGGCTGCGAGGGACCCGCCCACGCAGCCGGCCACAAAGGACTCGACAAAGTGGTGCTCTGGGTGCGTTCGCAAGTACTCTGTTTGCCTAAGCTGTGCACGCAGAATCTCAACGGCTGTCCAGTAGATGGCAGAAAACGGAACGTCACGCCAGAGAGTTAATACCAAGCCGCGCCACAGCGCAAACGGCCCGCGCTCCGCAACCATATCCTTAATTCCGCGCATTACCGTGCGAAACGCGGCCTGTGGCGATGGTGCAGAAGTCACAGATTGTAGACGCGTTTTGACAAGCTCTAATGGGGAGACTGTGGTTGCTGCAAGGGTTCGTGCAATTGCGCCGGCCACTAAAGGGGTTATAACTGCGTTTTGAACAGGCAGATTATCTCGTAGGGCCTCATAGCCAATGAAATAAACAACATTGGAAGGAACTGACATGAGCAAGGTAAGACCGAGGCCTCTCCAAAGTGCGCTTGTTCCTTCGTAATGGGAGATTTTCTTGAGTCCTTCCCATGTTCCTGTGAACCTTCGTTTAGCAGCTTCTTCCTTTGCGCATGCAGAGATTTGGGTAGAGGGTCCACCTGCAACAGTGGCAGCGATACAGTAGTCAACAGTTGAAGGGAACCAAAAGACGGATCGACAACATGTGCTAACCCCAAGACCTGCTGGGATGGGGGGTGTAGCAGCTGTAGCAGCTGTTTGGCCTTGTAATGGAGGAAACTTTGGTTTAAGATGCGATGCAGATACTGACGCTAGACGCGTGGGTTTGGAAGATGGAGGGATCGGGGCCGTGGCTGGAGTGCCTGCAGCCAGAAGCTCGATGGGGAATGCACCTTGTTGTTGGAGTCTTACACGGACCACGTCGAACGGGGTAACGACGAGAGATGTGAGTAGGGATCCGGAGCATGCCGCAAGCATTTTCTGGAGCACTGTGATGTCACCTGGCCGGTGGGCATGATTGAGCAGTTGTTTATGTGTGTGAGAATGGGTATTAGAAGATTGTGAGAATGCAGAAGATTGGGGTATTATGGGAGATGATTGTGGTGGTAGCTCCGATGTGTTTGAAGAAGCTTGTGATACCGGGTGTAAGGAATTGAGGGTTCCGGTTGGTTCTGGGGTATCTTCCAACGATGGAGGAGCCATTGTTAGAGAGAGATATTAGAAAGTCTATAGGGTTTAATAAATGAGAAACCTATTCGATTTGAAAAGAAGAAAAAAAAAAAAAAAAGGAAACAGACAGCCTTTTTTTTTGTTGTGAAAATCAGTATTAGCTGGCTGAGTGGGTTTCTGTGTGATGGGATTTGGTTGGACAGACAGACAGACAGACAGACAGGCAGACAACGGAGGTTTTTTTTAAAAAAAAAAAAAAAAAAAAAGTTTTTCGCAAGGCTGGCTGGATTTTGGGAGGAGGAGATTTTCCAACAAAAACACAACAGAAAAGAAAAAAAAAAAAAAAAAAATTGAATACGACGGACGAGATTAGATTTTAAGCGATTATGAAAAGAAAAGGTAAACTTATTATTATTATTATTATGGAAGGAATGAAAAAAAAAAAAAAAAAAAAAAAAAAAAAAAAAAAAATTGATTTAATAGAAAATTGAAGGATTTATTTATATATTTATATATATATAAAAATAAAAATAAAAAAAAAATGATCCACAAAAGTCCGGACGATGGCAATTGAGGGTTTTGGTGAGGGCCTTTTTAGTGTGAACGGAAACCCACGTCAATGACCGCATGGGGACCCGTGACTCGGGCTTGCCACAGATAAAGTTACCTGGTAGTTTTTTTCTTTAAAAAGAAAAATAAAAAACAGTAAGTTAGTTATTGAAGTGTTGTATTTAATAAGTTTTATAAATTTATTTATATATGCACGGCTGATTTATTAGAATGTCTTAGTCATTCTTACTAATATTGTTATCGATCTTTCTGCACCGCTTGGACTTTTCATTCACATCATTATAAAAAAAATTATTTTTCACCACCACCAAATAAAAAAAAAAAACCTCCTCTTTGGCTTACATCACTACCAAAAAATTACTCCGCCCTTACAAACTATCACCATTACAAACCATTTCTAAACTTAACTTAACTTAACTTAATTCTATTCAATTCAATTCTCAACAAATTCTTACTAAAACTTCTCATGTCTGGAAATAATCTGCATGGTCAAGCCCAGAGCCAGTACCAGCAAGCTCAGGCTTCGGATTATCAGCGGCAACAGCAGTTACAACATCAACAACAGTTACAGCAGCAACAGCAGCAACAGCAACAGCAGCAACAGCAACAGCAACAGCAGCAACAGCAACAGCAGCAACAGCTACAGCTGCAGCAGCAACAGCGGCAACAACAACTACAACTTCAACAACAATCCCGTCTTCAACAACCTCCTGCATCAAATATTAATGACGAAAGTTACACCTATCTTCAACAACAGGAACGCCGGCTACAACTCCATTCTCTTTCTCAATCCCAATTCCCTAACCAATTCCCTCCAGGACATCTTCATTACCAGTCCCGAATTAACCCAGTCGCAGGCCCTATTCACTCATTTGAATTCTCTGAACCTCATTATTCTGGAACTCGCAAAACACATAGACAAAATACTTCTTCTGTAGACCTTTCCCCGGGTGCTCTTTCCCGTATCCAAGATGAACAAGACATCATGCTTACTGAAGAACGTGAGGCTCACTCCAAACTCGTCCTCAAACACCTCGCTGCCCAACCAAACCAACCTATATATAATACACGCATACGACACGGCTTTGCCGCAGACTATGAGTCGGAACAATTTATGAAGCTTCTTGCAGAAGTTTTTTACATTTACTTTGAAGATAAACGTCATGAAACCGCCGGAACCCCACGCACAAACAAGGAAATCATACCCGCAGAGTGGCGCATGAAGGACCGTCAACGCACAGTCTCCGCAGCCCTCGTCCTTTGTCTTAACATTGGAGTCGATCCCCCAGATGTTATTAAAACTCAACCCTGCGCAAAATTAGAGGCCTGGGTCGACCCTACTGCATACACAGATCCTAAAAAGGCAATCGAACATATCGGCCGCCAACTCCAAGGCCAATACGAAGTTCTTTCCACAAAAACCCGCTATAAACAAACTCTCGACCCAAATGTTGAAGACGCAAAACGCTTCTGCATTTCTCTCCGTCGAAGCGCTAAAGACGAACGCATTCTCTTCCATTACAATGGCCACGGCGTACCGCGACCAACTGCCTCAGGTGAAATCTGGGTCTTTAACAGAGGCTATACACAATACATTCCAGTCTCTCTTTATGACCTACAAAGTTGGCTAGGTGCTCCATGTATATTTGTCTACGACTGCCATGCCGCTGGCTTCATTGTCAGCAATTATCTTCGCTTCGTCGAAAAACGTAAAGTCGATGAACAAAATGGAAATAAAGACCCTGGCGCACCACCAGCAAAGGCCTTTGAAGACTGTATCCACCTGGCTGCCTGTGCATCTGACGAAACACTCCCCATGAACCCTGATCTTCCAGCAGACCTTTTCACCTGCTGCCTTACTTCCCCAATAGAAATGGCTGTGCGTTGGTTTGTCCTAGAGTCAACCCTCACCAAAAAGTACTACACATGCCTCACTATTCCTGGGCGCATCTCCGAACGCCGTACCCCGCTGGGCGAGCTCAATTGGATTTTCACCTCCATCACCGACACAATCTCTTGGACCCTTTTCCCCCGACCACTCTTTAAAAAGCTTTTTAGACAAGATCTCGTTGTGGCTGCTCTATTCCGCAACTTTTTACTGGCTGAGCGTATCATGCGTGCTCACAATTGCCATCCAATTTCATACCCTTCTCTTCCAGCAACTCACAACCATCCCATGTGGAAAGCTTGGGATTTGGCTGTTGACCATTGTTTGACCCAACTCCCTGATCTCAACGCTGCAAGCCAACCAGGTGGAAAGCCATACGAGTACAAACACTCAAACTTTTTTGAGGAACAATTAACTGCTTTTGAAATCTGGCTCAAGTACAAGTCTCTCGATCTCGACGAAGCTCCTGAACAATTACCTGTGGTTTTGCAAGTTCTCCTCTCACAAATTCACCGCGTTCGTGCCTTAGTCTTGCTAAGTAGGTACCTGGATCTCGGACCAAAGGCAGTACAACTCGCCCTCTCCATTGGAATTTTCCCCTATGTCTTAAAGCTTTTGCAATCTCCTATGCAGGAACTTAAACCTGTTTTAATCTTTATCTGGGCCCGCATAATGGCTGTCGACCATACTACCATCCGCCCAGAGCTATTTAAGGATAATGGTTATACTTATTTCCTTAATGTTCTTGTCCCCCAGCAAGATTTTGTCATTCACAGCGTCAACATCTCCGACCATCGTGCAATGTGCGCTTTTATCATCTCTCTCTTTTGTCGTGGTTACAAACCCGGTCAGCAAAAGTGTACATCCCCTGATATATTGCGTGCTTGCATCAACCACACTTTTGACCTAGATTCGCCCTCACTCCGTCAATGGGCATGCCTTTGCATCTCACAAATTTGGGAATCTAACACGGATGCCAAGTGGCTTGCTATTAATGACAATATTCTTGAACAACTGGCTCGGCTTTTAGTTGACCCAGTTCCAGAAGTGCGCACGGCATGTGTACTTGCATTCACCACCTTTTTGGGCAAGGGGAACCCTGATGAACTAATACCCGAGGAAATCAAGAAGCAAGAACTTAAGCTGGCTCAAGCTATTCTTCCACTTGCTAACAATGGCTCCTTTTTGGTCAGACGTGAAGTCATGGTCTTCTTCTCCCACTTTGTCAAGCAATACCTCAGTCAAATGCTTATTTGTGCATTCACCAGTTTAGAAGACGAAGCTGTTCTCCTCAACTCTTATGTCCCTAATACATCTTCCACTTACGGCTCTCCAGCAGAGGGTACTGTGTTCAATAATGTATGGCGGTCTCTTCTCATTGCCTCCGAGGACCCCTTCCCGGAAGTGGCCCAGTATGCCCAACTAATTGTTGACTATATTCTCGATTTATTTGAGTCTACAGTTTTAAATGATGAGAGCGAAACTCTCGAGGATCAGATTGTCCAAACTGCAGCCCAAAACTACCGAAAAAAGACGGCTGCAGTTGAACAGCGTCTCATGGAAAAAAGTTCTTTAATCACCCAGCTCAGCAACTCACAAGCTCTTGCTGCTGCTTCTTCTGAGCTTTCGGAACCTTCCTCCCCAACAGAATCGCGCCTTGCTTCCACCATCAAGCGTTCTGTTTCTTTTGCAGTTTCCCTGCGCCAAGCCTGGATGGGAACAGGTGCGAGCTCTGACGCCGACGGCGGGTCTCCGTCTCCGTTGAGCTCCAATGGAACTGTCTTTAACATGCCATATGGCCATGGGAAGCGTCCTGTCAATGCTAGATACCAGGGATCTTCAGTCGCCGGTGAAGAAGGCTTGAAGGAAAAAAAGAAAATAACACTTCCTTTGGAAAGTGGGTTTTTCGAATGGGCTTCTGAGTATTTCCAAGAACCACAAATGAACCAAGCCGAGGTTGACGAGCCTGGCAGTGAACTTAATCTCGAGAGACTGTGGCGCAAAACACGAAACGAGAAAATTATGGCGGAAACTCAACCAGAAAAGGACCTTGCACTTTCTGGAAACTGGAACAATCAAGTTGCTACCCTCAACAATGGCACCCAACCAGCTCGTTTGCTCTTTGCTCAGTTCGAACCTCATCTTATAGCTGTAAATACCCAAGACGGCGTGTCAGTCTGGGACTGGTCCTCGTCCAAGCGCCTCAACAAGTTTTGCAACGGAAATCCTGTCAACTCTCGTATTACTGATGCGAAATTTTTAAATGAGGATGACCAACCTTTGCTTTTAACTGGTTCATCAGAAGGTGTTGTGCGAATTTATAGACGCTATGATTCACCAGAAAATGTTGAACTTGCTTGTGCATGGCGTGCACTCACGGATCTTTTGCCTGCACAAAAGAGTACGGGCTTGGTTGCCGAGTGGCAACAAAGTCGTGGCGCATTGCTTGTTGGAGGTGACGTGCGTGTCATTCGTCTCTGGGATGCCCCTCGTGAAATGTGCATAGCCGACATCCCGGCGCGGTCCAGTTCTCCTGTCACTGCACTTACGTCAGATCAGGTTGCGGGTAATGTAGTGATTGCTGGATTTGGTGACGGAGCTATTCGTGTGTACGACCGAAGATTGGACTACCGTGATACCATGGTGCGCTGCTGGAAAAACCACTCGAGCTGGGTTGTCAATGTTCGCATGCAGCGCGGTGGTGCACGCGAGCTGGTCAGCGCCAGTACTGATGGCACGGTATGTTTGTGGGATATTCGCCTGGCAAACCCTATCATTGAGTATTCTACGGGCAACAAAACCACGGGACAGGGCATGTCTGTGATGGATGTACACGAGCACGCTCCCATTGTTGCAACAGGCACACGCAGCATCCAGCTGTGGTCGACGCTGGGCGTGGCCGCAGCAACGCGTACTGTGAATCGGCCTGGATCCAACAGCTACATTAACCGGGCATACTCTACGTACTCTTCTGCATCGGCATTTACAAATGCATTTGGCTATGATTCCAGTAATGGTTATTTGAGTGTGAGCAACAGCAGCAGCAATGGCAGCAACGGACTCGGCAATGGCAATGGCAATAGCAATGGGTATGGTGTAGGATACAATGGATACGACACTGGAAGTAAGTTGACGCACCTAACATTTCATCCACACCGCATGATGATGGCGGCTAATTACCATCGGGATGCTAATATTACTGTTTACAAGTGTGTGGAGCAGGGACAGTAAATGTGAGGTGTGTATTTTTCTATTAATTTTTAATGAAGTCAAAAAAGAAAAAAAAAGAAGAAAAAAAAAAGAATAATAATAGAGTGTATATTTGTATAATGGGTTGTATAATTTTTTTTTATAATTTTGATAAACTTAGAGATAAATTAGAAAATTTGACATGAATAATTTTGAAAAAATTGGAGGACAATGTAACACAGGGTTGATTTTTTAAGATAAACTAAACCGATTTTCATTTAATAAACTAAAGTTGCATACAACAAATTCTTTTTCCACCGATTCTAAACCTTTTACTTTTTTTTTTTTTATACTTTTTATTGTATTTAAATTTGAAAGAAAGAAAATAATCTATTCAATTTTTGTTTTTTTTAATTTTTCTAACCTCAGAAAATCAATGACATAATTTACAAACACCGAAACGAGCTTTTAATAGAGGACCAAAAACAATATTTACAAATTTGTGAATTTTTGTTTGTTTTATTCAAGGGTTATTGAATTAAATAACATCGGCATCAGCGCTATCTTTCTTGTTCATACTATATATCTTTTAATTTTCATAATAAACTTGTAATATTGGCTTCAACATTGCATCTCCAACAACTCCAAATAAATAATTCCAAGGTTCTCTTAACTTGTGTAAATTTTACATATCCCTGAACATTTTCGAGGTATGGTATTATTGTTTTCACAATTAAACCTCATGATCAAGAAATTACAGTTAATAGGAAAAATATTGCTAACTAATTTCATTGCTTAAAATTTCTTCTAAAATATATAAGAAAAAGAAGCCAATAATTTTTTACAATTTTTTCATAGTAAAAATATTGAGATAACCTAGGATACCTTTTTACTGAAACTGTTTTTAAAACTGTCCAAAAATGTATTTTTATCTATCCAAAATAAAAATACGGATTATGGTTCTAACAGTGTTATCAGAAATAATTTGTCTCTTCAATTGAAACATCTGAAACTATAATTGATCTCATATAATAAATGTATAGGAATTGAAGCCAAAGATAAGTTGGTAGGTGGATAGACACAAGTAAAACATCAATTCAAAAAATATATACTGAAATTCCTCGAGGCCTTACAGTTTGACCGTTAATTTTAAAAATATATACTATGTACCAATATTTTCATGAATCATCAGATTATAGAAAGATTATATAATACCAAGTATAAATATTAAAAACTATATAGGTTTTGAGAAAACTAGTAACTTTCAGTCATAGTTTTTCTTTTTCTCAAAATAATCTCAAATTTATCAAAAGTTAAAAGGTTCCACTTTCTAATAAATGATTCCTTTAAGAAAAAAGAAAAAAAGCATTATTTGCAAAAAAAAAAAAAGAAGTTTAATATTTGATTAATATAGACCCTGAACATGCTCAAACATACCAACATAAGAAAATAAATTCTTACACCTTGTACTTGTGGATGAGCAAGAAAAGATAAAAAGGAATGAGTTGTTAGTATAAAGATATTAGATCCATAAAAAAGAGTTAAAAAATTAATTAATGGAATGGTGTAGAGTTTCGATAGTAAAACTCATATTCCTTATGAGCTGTAATTAAGTTATATTTGGGGAAGTTGTTAATGTAAACTTCTATGCCAAAAGAAAGAAATATTCGGAAAATAGACAGTTATAGCAAAGCGAGAAAAAAGGCGTTCAGACTGACTGCTAATGGCATTATATTTAAAACTTTAATATATATAGAAATAAGGATCAAAATCAATTAGTATGAATGAATCAGAGTAAAAAAAATATAGTGATTTAACGAAAGAAAAAAAATAAAAAGAAAAAACCTTTGGGAGACAGGCATTCCAGTGGTTATATTAAAATTTAGCTACAACAACAACCACAACCCTAATCCTAACCCTAATTTTGATCCTCATCACCAACCTGGACTAACAACCTACCAAATACTTGTCCATGATTCTCTTTTACAATTAGCATTTAAGCTTGACCGTAAGTAGTTGTGTATTTTCTCATTCTAAAATCTATTTATTTTTATTATTATTATTCATTTTTAAAAATAATATTCAATATAATTTTAGAATGTTTATAAATAGCATAAGACTTATACTTCAATGAAGAGTATGAACATTTATAATACTAGGCTAGCTTTCTAAGAAATATATTTTAGCATGTGACAAGTATGGATAGTTAAAAAAAAAAACCCACAACAAGATCAATGATATATTGATTTTTTTAATTTATTAAAAAGATTTCCATAAAAAGAAGATTTATTTTTACTGAAGAAAATTGTAAGGAGGTATAAATAAAAGTGATTTCCCCCGTCTTTTTGATTCCTATTTCTTTTCTTTTACCATTAACTTTTCTCAAATTTTTTATTCTTTTTTATTTTTTACCTCTAGAAATATCACCAGGACCATATACTATCATTTACTACCATCTACTATCATCTACTATCATCTACTATCATCTACTATCATCTACTATCATCTACTATCATCTACTATCATCTACTATCATCTACTATCATCTACTATCATATACTATCATATACTATCATATACTATCATATACTATCATATACTATCATCTACTATCATCTACTGCTATCAACCATGATCGATAACTATTTCCCATACCACACTATTCATAAACACTTTCCCTCACATTTGTTCACTATTATACTTTCAACATGTTGCAGTCGTCTATTGGTAAGTCTTTCTATGTCAACGTACCCAATGCACTCAATGCCTAAGTTATTGATCTAACACTCTAATAGACAAACACCCCCTAGACTTAACCTCGGAGATATATAGTCATATCAAGCCATCATTAATTCCTTTATTGTTAAATCCTACTTTTTGTAAGTTTTCATATACCAACGCATCTAATATTTAGGTTCTTAATCTAACTCTCAACTAGAAAAAATACACGATGGGCTCGAGGCCAATGTTAAATGATCAGCGTTAGTTAACAAAGGTTCCTTTGTGAAAAGAGATGATCAATATGAATATACCACAGAATGTCCCAAACGTGACATCTTATCCAAGGTAAATTCGAGGGACTTAATTATGGTTATTCAGATGTGACGACTTCAAATTCATCGACGATTTCAACTGCTACTTCAACTGCTACTTCAACTGCTACTTCAACTACTACTTCACCTACTACTTCACCTACCACCACCTCACTACCACCACCTCACTACCACTACCTCACTACCACCACCTCAGCACCATTTACAACATTATTATATCGACCTATTATGCTTTCAGTTATTCAATGTTTTGATGGTTGGTCGCAGAATAATCAAGGAGTGCCGACCTTGACTCTGCATATTGACCACCTCTTGGATTACCAGAGGAACCACGTTTACCATTGATGAAAGTATAATTCAGCCTTTTTGTCGATTATATTGTGGTGTGGTGAACCAACCTATTGTGGTTTCAGTCACTCAATGTTTTGATGGTTGGTCGCAGAATAATCAAGGAGTGCCGACCTTGACCCTGCATATTGACCACCTCTTGGATTACCAGAGGAACCACGTTTACCATTGATGAAAGTGTGAGTCAGCCCCTTTGTCGATTAAGTTGTGTTGTGGTGAATCGACCCATTGTGCTTTCAGTTATTCAATGTTTTGGTGGTTGGTAGCAGATTAATTGAAGAGTGTCGTCCATACCCTTCCATATTGACCACCTCATAATTGTGTTATTCAGTTGAGAAATTCCAATAAGAAGAAGTCATATTTGATAATAATAATGAACTATGGAGTCATAAATAAAAGGCCGTCCTCCTGCCTTTTTGATTTTTTTTCTTTTCAACTTTCATTCATTCTTCCTAGCACTTTTTATTTTATTTTTTTATTTTTCTATGCTTTTATTTTTTTTTCATTTTTATTCCCCTTTTTTTTTTTTTTTTTTTTAACTTACACCTTAACAATTATATCACCATCTACCACTATCAACTTTAATTTACTATTACCAACAATATACCACTATTTGCAACCAGGAATTACGATTATCACTATTATCACTATTATCACTATTATCACTATTATCACTATTATCACTATTATCACTATTATCACTATTATCACTATTATCAATTATGATCTATTATTTACTATCCCATAAGATATTCATAAACTCTATCGTCCACATTTTTTTAAATTATTACTTTCAACATGCTGCAGTCTTTCTTTGGTACGTCTACTTATTCAAATGCACCCAATACCTAGGTCATTGATCTAACCCTTTATTAGACAAACATGCGACTCATTCAACCTCAAAGCTATACTGTCATTCCTTGCCATTATTAATTTCGTTATTGTTGCAGTCATCTTTTGGTAAGTCTACTTATTCCAATATACCTGATATTTAGGTCATTGATCTAACCCTTTATTAGACAAACATGCGACTCATTCAACCTCAAAGCTATACTGTCATTCCTTGCCATTATTAATTTCGTTATTGTTGCAGTCATCTTTTGGTAAGTCTACTTATTCCAATATACCTGATATTTAGGTCATTAAACTAACTCTCTTTTAGACATACATTCGATTCACTCAACCTCAAGGCTATACTGTCATTCTTTACCACAATTGATTTCGTTGTTGTTGCAGTCATCTTTTGGTAAGTCTACTTATTCCCATGTACCGAATACTTAGGTCATTAAACTAACTCTCTTTTAGATTTACATGCGATTCACCCAACCTAAAAGGTATACAGTCATGGTTCTCCTCAAAAGGTTTTTTTACCGACACCTTAATCAAAGTGACTTTTTCTATCCGTTGTTAATGATCATACATTCACCATTGTGGACAAATCTTGTATAAACTAATGGAACTGGTGAACGTTGTTTCTGACAACCTGCATCTACCGCTACAGCTACCATTTCAACCACCACTTCAACTCCCACTTCAACTAACCCACGCCCTCACACTCACACACTCACACACTCACACACTCACACACTCACACACTCACACACTCACACACTCACACACTCACACACTCACACACTCACACACTCACACACTCACAAACATTTACGACACCATTATATCATATCAACCTATTATGTTTTTTTGTTGTGCTTTCACTCACTCAATGTTTTGATGGTTGGTCGCAGAATAATCAAGGAGTGCCGACCTTGACCCTGTATATTGACCACCTCTTGGATTACCAGAGGAACCACGTTTATCATTGATGAAAGTGTGATTCAACCTGCTTTTCGATTATGTTGTATTGTGGTGAATCGACCCATTGTGCTTTCAGTCACTCAATGTTTGATGGTTGGTCGCAGAATAATCAAGGAGTGCCGACCTTGACTCTGTATATTGACCACCTCTTGGATTACCAGAGGAACCACGTTTACCATTGATAAAAGTATGATTCAGCCTCTTTCTCGATTTTTTTGTGTTGTTGAAATCAACTGTGCTTTCTGTTCTTGAAATTTGCCATGTTTCTTGGCTTACACCTTACCCCCTAATTCCTTTTTTACTACTTTTGAATATTTCTTCGAATTTGGAGTGAATTAATTAACCAATTTTCTTCTTGATCCCTTTTCATTCAATTTTTTATTTTATTTCCTAGTTACTTCTTTGTCCATTCTCACATTTTTGTGCCTGCTTGCGTTGCCATCGACATTGTCTTGAGCGTTAAAATTCTTGTTATAACCGTCATCTGCATTATGATTAATCCTATTATTAATTTCTCAATTAAAATTGGTATCGGAATTAATAGTAGTATTCCCTTCACCATTCCCATGAAATATATATATATGGCATCATACCAGCTTCCTTTTGCAATACTGCAATAGTAGTTGTGCAATAAACATTAACAATTCTTCTCAGAGCCATGTTCTGCCTCACTTTCACCTTGTGGATTTTTACTTTCAAGATTTTATGATGCCAAATTTCTTAGCCATATTCCACAATTGGTCTTACGGAAGCAATATATAGTGATCTGACTGCAGACCCCCGCATACCCTTTTGCACGCAACCAAGAAGCCAAATAGCACCAACAGCCTTTCTTGCTTTATTGATTTTATTCAAAATATGAGATTTAAAATCAAGCAGATTGTTCAAAGTGATTCCAAGCAATTTAACTTCCTTCTAAGGTTCATGAAGTTCCCCATTAAGTAAAATAAGTTGCACTTTTTCATTATTAGGTTTCATATTTTTTTGTAAAATGAATGAAACCCAATTTATCACCCAATCAATTTTGGTTATTCTTGATTTAGCTCAGTTAAAACATTTTTCCATAGGTTGCTTAAGCTTTTGGGGTTTTTTATTTTCTTTAATTTTACCTTCAACGGTAATAGTCACATCTCCTGGAGTTTTATAATTTGGGGAATCACCCAATGCAGAGTGAACTTCATCTAACCCTAATTTTGGCCATCAAGAATCGTCATCAATTTCAAACTCTCTATCAAGACCATGATCAATTTCAGGTTGAAGTGCCTTCCATATTTCATGTTTTTTTCGTCAACAGTCGTAGTGAGAGTTCCATCTTCTTTTTTAATTTGTGGTATAATGGTATCTTTGCTTTTTGGATTAATGTACTTCCAAACATTCCATATGTCATTTTCTTCTAAACTAGACAAATATTTAATCCATTGCTCGGTACTTGCTTCGTGCAAACTGTGCTCAAAAAATTTTTCCAGCTTTTGTTGACATTTCAATTCTTTGTTGTTTCAATGCCAAATATGATTTCCTTTTTCCGGCCATTATGCTCAAATTGTTTGTTTGTTTTTATTCAACCATTATGCTCAATTGTTTGTTTGTTTGTTTTTATTCAAGGGTTATAGAACTATATAACATCAGCATCTGCGCTATCCTTTTATTGTCTGACTATGTGACTTGCCGGTTTTCAGTTTTACCTTTTTAGTACGGGTGGTTTCTGTTCTGTTCTGTGCGTCTCCGGTAGCCCAGAAGATGGGCCCTGATGCCAGCTTACGAGGAACAGGGAGAACCAGTCTGTCGGTACCAAAACCTTCCCAACCCATTTCCACTTATCTTCACGGACGCCCGTGTATTTCTTTATCTCTTCCGCCAGAGATACGGCCCGCAATCACCTGCAGGCTATTTAGACTGTATGGAAGAGTCGGCATTCCTGTAACCAGGGTAGCCTATGGTTTTCAGTCTAGGTGTATACTCCCGTACACATCCTCAGGAAAAGGGGGTATTTTGGGAATCGAACCCAGTATCTTCCGCTGTCAAGCGAACGTGTTATCCTTTACACCATCTAGCCCTTTCACCTTCCATTATGCTCAAAAAATTTGTTTGTTTGTTTTTATTCAAGGGTTATATGCTCAAAAAATATGTTAAATTAATGCATAATTAATAACCTAAGCAAATATATTGCTAATGTTTTTTATATTTAACAATCCTAAGGATGGCCGTGTGGTCTAGTAGTATGATACTCGCTTTGGGCTTTAATAGCAACTTTGCGAGTGGTCCAGGGTTCAATTCCCTGCTCGGCCCTATATTTTTTATTTTTATTCTCTACATATATTTTTATTTTTTTTAAGCATTTTTAAGATTGAATTAAATGATTTTGGGTGTTTTCCAAATGAATTGTTTTTGACTTTACACAAAAGGTTTATTTGTTGGGAGTTGAAAGTTCTAATCAAAGTTCAGGTTTAGGGTTTGCTTTTCACGAAAAAGTTTTGATTTTCCCTAACAAGAAAAAAAAAAACCTTTCCACCAAAGGTTGGAGATAATCCATAACTCAAAAATCGTTATATATCCCCAACACAATCAATCATACATTGCTATTACCAATGGGGTCAATAGTCAACAATGTAGCACTCAGCATAGCTGAACTTATTGCGTCGTTTGATTTAAATTCAGATGCATTCAAGATCCATTCTCGTGATCCATCAAACCTTGAACTTGTAACTGCATCAAGTGGCGGGAGCGCAAGTACTTCCATCCCTTACAACAGCTGCGTATCGACCGCACCCTACGAGCTGCCCAAAGATGTGGCCGAGGAGACACTCGAATGGTACGCATCGACTATTGCGACCGGGAAAGTGTCGGAGGCACGTCAGAATTATTTATTAGAACTTGGTGCAAAACAATACATTTATGATTTGACTGAACAACTGCAAGAACAGCAACAAGGCGTGGAGCAACAGCTGGAAACTGGGAATTCGGGGACTCAAGGCATCCGGAATTTTTCATGTTTGCTTGATATGACGTTTATTCTTAGAGACGCTGGCAAAGTCGATGCTACGGTACCACACAGTCTTTTGGAAGAGATTTTTGAGATCCAGACAATTGGCTGGTGCCAACAATTTTGGCCATATCTTGTATCGCGCTACCATTTTATTGCACACAACCTCACAGGTACAAAAGCACCGGGAATTACATTAATTCGCCTGGGCAACTCTCTTTTAAAACGACTTTCCAAAACACAACATGCGCAGTTCTCAGGCGAGATTCTCATGTATCTTGCGCGAGCGTTCCCACTTACTGAGAAATCCGGGCTCAACATCCGTGGCAATTACAATGTTGAAAACATTACATACTATGAGGGCGATGACCGCAACGTAGTGGAAAGCCAGAAAAAGGATTCTGAGGGCGACGTTGAGATGGCTGAAAATACTGAGGCTGCAGTCAACCCAGAAAAGGCCAAAAAGGATGCCATGTATCGTCGGTTTTGGTCTCTACAAGATACATTCCGAGACCCCACGGTGTTGTTTAATACTGAAAACAAGACTGAAAAAATGACTAATCTTAAGACTACTCTATCAACAGTTTTAGCGGAACTCAAGGAGTGGGAATCACAATACAATACCCGACGAGACCGTGAAAACGAGATGCGAAGGCAGGAAATGGATTTATCAGATGATGACGATGATGATAATGATGATGATGATGATGACGATGATGATAGCGATGGCGAAAACGATGATGAGAATGAAGATAAAGAAAAGGAAAAGAACAAAGAGGAAGAGACAACATCTGGAGGGCCGTCCAATACTATTTTGTTCGTACCAAAATGGCTTACACGCCGAGATTTATTTGAATTGCAACTCAAGGATGTTAGTTTCAGACGGGCTATTCTCACACAGATGTCTATTTTGATTGATTTCCTGTTAAGTTTGGAAACTGGCTCCGATTCAATTCACAGTATTCTTAATAAGATGACTTCTCCACCGACAAATAAGAGTCTGATGTATAATTTTGAGTTAGAACCTGCAGATGGAAAGTTTCTAGTTGATTTAAGACGACAAATTCGACGGACTGGGTTTCAGAGTATCGACTTCCCTCAAGCATATCTGCGAACTGTGGAGGCAGTACTTTCGCGCGACCGGTTTTGGCAAATTTGGAAGCTGCACAGTTGTCCTTCTTTTGGGCTTCCTCCTATTACCAAAGAATCTCTAACGATTGCCAAAACTTCAGATTTAGTTTCTAAAAGTGGGGTTGAAAATAATAATAATGAAAGCATCAAAAAACAAACTCCAATTTTGGAAGAAGCAGCCGAGAAACTACGGATGCTCCAAAAGCCGCGGCCACGGTTTGCACATAAGCTTGGAACACCACAGTTGTCACAGGTGTGGCGCATTCCGCTTGGAACGGAGATGCTTAAAGATCCAAAGAACTACGAATTTAAAAGTGCGGAGGCGTACTACAAGGACATCAAAGAAGCTGAGGATGAGTTTTGCAACAATTACGAAGTGGAGGTTTCTGAAGAGGAAGAGGTTGGTGAAGGAGAGGAGAAGAAGAAAGTTAAGAAGAAAGTTAAAAAATTGTTAGCATCGAGAGAGGAGTTGCGGGAACACAAGGAAGCCATAGGATCGAAGAATTGGCGAGGATTAAGGGCTGCACGTGCGCTGGGGTTGTGGTGCAAGTTTGGTAAGATTAGGCGGAATGGTGGATTGAGTGGGCTTTTTGAGGAACCCAAAGAAGATGAAGAAAATTTTGAAGAGGAGAAGACTGAAGAGAAGCAGGAAGAGGATGAGGATGAGGAAGAGGATGGGGATGAAGAACAAGAACAAGAAGATGATGGGGATGAAGATAATGGAGAAGAAGGTGATGGGGAAAAGAAAGAAGCCGAAGTAAAGGAAGTGGAGGTGAAGGATCAAGATGACAATGATGAATTGGAACTATTTCCTGAACCAGAGCTTGAGAATAATGTGTCTAAGAATGAACAGGAATCTGGGCCTAAAGATATACCCGATCAAGAGCAAGACCAGATTCTGAATATACAACAGGGAGAAGAACAGGAACAAGATTCTGACAATGACATGGAGCTGATTTTGGAACCTGAGCCGGAGGGGGAGCCTAAAAAAGAGGCGCCAGAATCTGAGCTTGAGCCTGAGCTTGAGCCTGAGCTTGAACCTGAGCTTGAGCCTGAAGCTGAGCCTGAAGCTGAGCCTGAAGCTGAGCCTGAAGCTGAGCCTGAGACTGATGCAGAATTAGAACTAGATCCCGAGCCAGAATCTGAAGGAGGGCCCGGAATAGGATATGAACTCGATCAAGAAACCACACAGGGGACAGCGGAAGAACCTATTGAGGTTTCTTCAGACTCCGAGGCCAAACCTGAACCACCAACAGAACATATTGAACGGACACAAAGCGAGAGCAGTTTAGGAAGCTTGAGCGAAATGGAGTCTTACTCGGACAATGAGTTTAATCGAAAGGTGAAATCAAGGCCGTCAAGTCGACAGGAGAGTCTTGATAGGTTGAGGGAATACAATGATGGTAGAAGTGATGCTGAAGACTTAAGCATCGAGTTGATTTCCGAAAAGGAAAATGGATATGATGACCAGGATGATGATACTGAAAAAAGAAGACAGCGGAGGTCTGGGCAGAGCCATCATATGAACCAAGAACATCAACGCCACAGACAAGATGAAGATGACGGCGAAGAGCTGCAACAACAGAGGTATCATCATCATCGTCAGAATGGTGGACATAAACGGAGCAGGTCATCTGAAGATGATAGTGAGAGCCGGTATAATAAGAGGCACCGAGGAGGTGATGAAGATTCGGATTACAGTTCATAAAATATGTTTTTTTTAAAGATAGAATAACAAGATTAAAGAAAAATAATTTTTTTATTGTTTCTGTCTAATCGTCACCTCGGTGTTTCCGGGACGTCTTTTTTTGAGAGTGCATTTTCTTTTCGCGTAGTCGAGACTCTTTAGCTCTACCATGGATTTTTTCCCAGCGGTCCAAGTCATGTTGTTTAGTTTCTGGTGGGATGTAAGCATGATCTTTGATTGCAGCAACAAGTTTATCAAAGCAGTCGTTTCTGTTTTCATCTCGGGACCGGGTGCGATCTGATTGAATGACCAAGTCTCCAGATGCAACCTGGTAGGGGAATGGTTTATGAGCAGCTGCAGCTATTGCCGAATAAGCATGGTCATTTGTGGTGTTGGCAACTGTGGATTGCGGGGAAAAAAGAATGTGTCGGATCACAGGATGGATCCAAGTGGCTGCACGGCCCCAATGGTGTGCTGGGAGTCTGACTGTCGCCTTAGTAGAGACCTTGTTGACATGCTGGCCACCGGGACCTGAGGCTCGTGCATAGGAGACGTCAAAATGGTGTGTGGGGATATGGGTCCGAGATAGATCTGTGAGCCATTGTCTAGCTTCTTCGATTTCCTTTTGAGTGAAAGAGTCCAGGAGCGGGTTGTGCGGGGGGTGTGAGGAGAAAGAAAGAGTTTGCTGATGGGTTTGGTCAAGCCAAAAGAGATATCGGGACGTGACCGGGAGACCCGGTCGGGACACTTGTTTTAGCGGAAAGATAAGCCTCAGCGGTAACATTTTTTTTTTTTTGTGTTATAAATGTATATATACAGAGTTTGCCATTAATGTTGCTACTATTATAGCGGTCTTTTTGTATGGTGGTGGCTTGCTGGCTGGCGGGGCCTTGCTTAGGTGGTAGTTTTTCTATGTGATTGGTTGCTCATTTATGAGGGGAGTAAAAAAATAAAGTCTGCCGGGATTGTTTCTTCTTGCCATTCAATTGACTTTTTTATATATTACTTTTTTTTTTTTTCTTTTAAATTTTTTTTTTTTAATTAATATCAACATATTCTAATACCTTTTCCTTTTAATTTCTTAAACTATACTATAACAATGTCTGCTACTCTTCTTTCCCGCCGTTTTACTGCTCGCCCAGCTCTTTTTCAGCGTGCATTCCATGCATCCCGCGCATCATTTCTCAGCGTTGGTGATGCCGTTCCTTCTGTTCCTGTCCAGGAAGGCTCTCCTGGCAATGTGGTGAGCTTGGCTGATGAGACCAAGAAGGGTAAATACGTGATTGTGGGTGTTCCTGGTGCCTTTTCACCTGCATGCTCTGCTTCGCATGCTCCAGGTTACATTTCGCACACTGGCGAGCTTGCTAAGAAGGGTGTTGATGGCGTTTTCATTGTTGCTGTCAATGATGCTTTTGTGACCAAGGCCTGGGCCGATTCTCTTAAGACCAATGACAAGGTGAGTATCAAACAATTGAAAATTGAAAATTGAAGATTGAAGAAAATGTGAAATGTAGAAATCAGTACTAACCAAAGCAATTTTAGGTTCGCTTCATTGCTGATTCTCACGGAGAGTTTTCCAAGGAATTTGGAACTCTGTTTGACGCATCCAAGTTCTTTGGAAACGAGCGTACTAAGCGTTATGCTGCTGTCGTTGAGAATGGCAAGGTCACCGAGGCCTTTATTGAGCCCGACTCGACGGGTCTTTCAGTGTCTGTTGCTGAGAACGTTCTTAAGAATCTTTAAAGCAATGCTTTTTCCCGGATAATGTACTTTTTAATTTCAAAATTTAAAATTTAAAATCTAAATGTTGTAATCTAAAAACTTGTTGTAACAACTTTGTTGCACACAAAAAAAAAATCAAAAAAAAACAAAACTCCCCCCGTCTTTCTGCCTCTCCACAGAACCACCAGATTCTTTCTTACTACAAAAACGCGTCAAATAAACAATTCAATAATGCAGAATATTCCATCAGGACCCGGATCTCAAAGTAGCAATGGGTCATTATCGTCATCTTCTTCAAACAAACGACGATCCGGTACATCGCGGCGTTTAAGAGCTCAAGGAACAGAAAGCAGAGGACCTGGATCGGAGCGAACATCTTCAGGACGCAGTAGTCGAGCACACAACCGGAGCAGTGGCAGTAACAATAGTATAAATAACAATAATAATCTGAGCAACAACAACATCAACAACAACATCAACAACAACATCAACAACAACATCAATAACAATATTAACAATAATAGCAACAATATATCGACAGTGGCACAATTAAAGACTTTGGACGAAACAGCTAAATATTATATCAACTATGGCGTGCTGGCGTTACACGACCCAAAACTTGGACAAATCTTTCTGGCAACAACCGTGTGTAATGTTTATGTTTATGACTACGAAACCGAGGGCTGGAATAAGTCCTTTTGTCAAGGTCCATTATTTTTATATTCCCGCGTTGTCCCCGAGAGCAATAGTCCCGAGGCTCGTGGACTAGACGCAAACGCCGAGCATCAAGAGGATGATCCAGGAACATATGCACCATACGCGTTACTGGTGCTCAACAGACTGTCTCTTGATAATTTCTCGCTGGCTGTGACTCCCAAGAGCGTGGCAGAAAAGCGTGGGGTGGAGACGGTAAGCATGTATCGTGATGGGGATTTCTTGATTGTACAGTCGCCGGACGACACGACTTATGGTATTTATTTGTACAAGGAAGCTGAGCGTGAGAATTTACTATCGACTGTTGAATGGTGTTTAAATGTTGATTTATGAGGGAAGAATTAGAAGATAAGACCCGATGTTGCTGGGTACCGGTGGTCATTTTTTTTTTTTTTAAATAATGAATTGATGGAGGTGGTGTTCCTAGAATTATTATAATTATTACGATTACATAATGTATATTAAATTATTATTTTTTTTTAAATTAAATTAAATTTAATTTTTATAAATTAACTTTTCCTTTACATTTTCTTTTCAATCAAACAACACCAAACAAAAACTTCTTTGTTAGGTTTTTTAAGCAAGAAAAAAAAAAATTAAATAAAATAAAGAGATTCATCTTGGTTTCTAAAAAAAAAAAAATTTTTTTTTAATAATCTTTCAGTAAAGAAATAGAAAAAAAAAAATAGATATTAATAGTTTTTTTTAAAAAAAAAGGTGAAGAGTTTTTAATTTTTTTAAAAAAAAAAAAATCATTCAATAATATGAGAATCACTCGATCTGCTTCAGCTGCTGCTGCTGCTGCAACTTCTGCAACTTCTGCAGCTTCTAGTGATGACAGTTCTGCGCCATTTTCAACAACACCTATTATTGCATCTGTTCCAACTATTGATTCCACTGCTACTACCAGCTCTTCTTCTTCTTCTAATAAACGACCACGATCAAATTCAAAAGGCACTGACCGTTCGCACAAGACCCGTCGTGGTAGCGTTTCGGCAACTTCGGGGTTGACTTTCTCTGACACAAACACGACCATCACCAAAGCATCTATATTACCAGTCAACAAGATTAATTTGCATAGTCAGTGTAATGATCATAATAATCATCAACATAATCATAATCATAATCACATAAACCCGCATCAACAGCAAAGTGTTATGTCTGCCCCAAAGCGACGATTCAGCCGTGGGAATCAAGCAACCAAATCTTTGGTGCTTATGCCATCAGGAGAAACCCCAACTGATAAACTTCATTCAGTACAGAAATCTGTAGATAACACTATTCATCTTGAAAATCCCCTTGATAATGTTTCAAAAAATGCCATTTGCCGTACAATTAATGCTGTTTCTAATGATGCTGAAGAAGTTGGCAGTTGTAATAGCAGCAGTAGCAGTAGTAATATCAGCAGCAGCAACAACAGCAGAAGAAGAAGAAGAAGAAGAAGCAGCAGCAGCAGCAGCATGAAAAACATCATAAGCGAGTCTTGTTCAACTAGTAATTTATATAAAAGCTCGGAATCTGAGTTTTCTGGTAGCTGTTCTGACTCTGGTGCCCAGTCTTGCTGTTCTGTTGCAGAGGCTAAGGCTGACAATCCTGTTGTCCTGCCTACTACAAACCAAACTCCCGCCGCCAACTCAAAAAGTATAAAACCTGCCAAATCCGCACACTCACTTCCCTCTCTTCCTTCTACCACCACCACCGCCACCACAACCTCTACCAAAATCTTCACTACCGCCACCACCACATCCGCCACCCCACACACGGTTACTGAAGCCGCAATACCTGCGAAATCACTCATCAAACCTGCTCAAGCTGTCATGTTCCAGAAGTCTTCTAAAGATTCTAAAAATAATAACCTTACAAACACCTCACGGATGAACAAACCCGCGGACCGAAAAGGAGAGACGGCGGCTGTAACTGAAAGGGGCTCTTCAGCAGCAGCAACAAAATCCTCTACTAACAACAATACTCCAAGTAACAAGAAACTTGACGTTGAAATTGATTCAGAAGAAGAAGAAGCTGCAGCTACAAGCAATAGATCTGACCTAGAAAACTACGACGATGACGAAGAAGAAGAAGAAGAGGAAGAGGAGGAGGAAGAAGAAGATGACGCACAAGACTTTGATGACGAATCTATAGACTATTCAGACGGCATTGAAGACTACGACGATAATGATTTTTCCAATAATACTACAACAGAATCTTCCGATAATAAAAACAACTCATACACAAGCAAATCGATACAAACACAGTCTCAAGACTCGTTGGACGGTGCCTACGATGATGACGACGAAGACATGATGAATGACGATGAAGAGGAAGAAGAAGAAGAAGAAGAAGAAGAAGAAGACTATAATGATATTAACGACCCATACTCATACGACGACTTTGACGACTCTACAACAACCCGCTCAAAGGATACTAAAGTCTACGATGTTAAGTATTCTGTACTCACTCCACCAGACCTTGACCGTGCTCAAACTCGTGAAATGACCCACATCTCTTCCATTCTTTCGGTTCCTCTCGATCAGGCTGAAACCTTACTCTGGTACTCTAAGTGGAACCCTGATAATCTCGTTGAACGCTACATTGACAACCCATCAAAAGTCCTTGCCGCTGCTGGCGTCGGCACAGACCCCAACAACCCTTCGGCCCCGATTTCTTTGGCGCCATACACCCCTGACCCTAATGTGGGCCCAGACTTTAAATGTTTTATCTGCTTTGACTCGGGTCCCTCGACCCCAGAGAACCCTATTGCATCCTTTGGGCTTGAGTGTGGCCACCGCACATGTCTCTCATGCTACCGTTATTATGTGCGCTCCAAGATTTTGGACGAAGGAGGTGCAGAGGCCATTCACTGCCCCCAACACAAGTGCAAAATCATTGTAAATCGTACAGCTGTCTCTACTCTACTTGAGAAGGAAGAGCCAAAAGTTTTTTTCAAGTACTTGGACTACCGTCTGAAACACTTTGTCATGTCGATGGACAAGCTGACATTTTGTCCAGCAGCAAACTGCGACTTTATTGTCGAGTGTCCTACCATCAAGCAGATTGACCCCAACCGACAAGTCCCTGCGGTGCGTTGCAACTGCGGTAACGCATTTTGCTTCAAGTGCCATAATCAAGACCACCGCCCTGCAACGTGTCGACTCACTGGTGCATGGCTCAAACGCTGCCGTGACGACTCTGAAACAGCAAACTGGATTAAGGCAAATACCCAGGAATGCCCACAATGCCATTCGACCATTGAGAAAAATGGTGGATGCAATCACATGACGTGCAAGCAATGCCGCTACGAATTTTGTTGGGTCTGTATGGGCAGCTGGACTCAGCACGGTAACCAGTTTTATAATTGCTCACGCTACAATGAAACAGACGCCAAGGAGGCTCGCGACGGTCAGGCAAAATCTCGAAACGAGCTTAACCGTTATCTTCACTATTATAACCGTTTCCGCAACCATCAGCAGTCGCTGGCTTTAGACTCGGAGACGTTTGACAAGATCCAGCTCAAGATGCGTGAGATGCAGGAGAGCCAAGGCATGTCATGGATTCAGGTACAGTTTTTATCACAAGCGTTTGAAGTTTTGCGCAAGTCACGTCAGACCCTGACGTGGACTTATGCGTTTGCTTTTTACCTCGAGCGTTCGCACCAGTGCGAAATTTTTGAGGACAACCAAGCTAACCTCGAACAATCAACGGAGCAGCTCTCTGAGTTGTTTGAAAGACCAGCTGCCGAACTGGTTAATCTTAAGGTGCAGCTGTTAGACAAGAGTCATTATGTGGATAGCCGCCGCGAGGTTATGCTTGAGCATGCCGCAAAGGGTCTCATGAATGGCACCTGGAAGTACCAAGAGTATCTACTTAATAGTGGTCTTACATTTTCATAGTTTTTACAAGTCTTTTACGGTTTTTTTTTCTTTCTTTTTTTTTTTTTTTTTTTTTTTCCTTAAATTTTTATATTAATTGGGTATATTGGTGTTTTTGTTTTTTATATTATTATCATTTCATTATTTTATTATTATTAAAACATAGTCTTAATACAAGTTAATGGGAGAATTAAATTTAAATGTCTTTATAATGAAAATTTAAAGGCGGCAACGGATGTACGCTTAATTATATGATAATAGCAAAGTCACATGATTATAAAGAAATTGTTGAAGTTTTGAGGTCGAATATCCGGCAACTTTCAATCTTTTTGGTTAGCTTTTTACAGAGTATTTCAAGTCCTTTTTGTATTGAATTCATTTATATATTGGATTACCAGATTAGAAAACATAGCAACTTTATAATTAAATCTTGCCTTTTTTTTCCCCCTTAAAAGAAAAAAAAAATAAAAAAGAGAAATTAGGAAATGTGATAAGAACAAATATTACTGCGATGGGAACCGTTTTATAATGGTTTTGGCAAACCGTTGACCTTCTGATGTTACTTGTTGCTATCTGATAAATTTCATGTCCATAATTTTAGATTTACGTTTGGATTTACATTTTAAGAGTTTATAAATTATTAAGAAAGAAAAAAAAAATAAAAAGTTATTATTTGCATAAAGTAGAGATTTGATAAATATATTTGGTATTCAATTGATAAAAATGTTAATACCAGTCTTTTCGTTCATTGCCATATTAGAATAAAATTTTTTTTTTTAAAAAAAAAGTAAATTTAAAATAAAGTCAATGCATTTAAATTTAAATATTAAAAAATACTTTAAAAAATTGAAAATAAAATTCGTTTGCTCTTTAAAAATATATATTAAGATTGATTATACAGTTCTGATGCTAAAACTAAAAAAGTAGCCTTCCTATGATTCCAGAACTCCTTGTGTAGGATCTCAACTCCATTCTACAGTTAAAAGGATAAAAAATAATGAAACCATTTTACAATAATACAAATGTATGAGTATTAGTGAAATAGATGAGAATTTGACTTATTTTCCAGTGTTTAATACTCCCAAAAGCAAACCCTATTAATCAATTTCCATCTGAAATTTTAAGCAAAGTCTTTCAAAAATTGCCATGAAGCTCGTTTTCAATACATAACAACAGATATTCTATTAAAGATTCTTCTCATAGTTATATCTGAAAACTCTATAATCAATTAAACTTATTTGTTTTTTAATGAATCATTAAACCAGTTAAGGAATCAACAGAGACTTAAGACTAGCTATGGATCTTTACCAAGCAAATGCATACTATTTATTTTGATTTCCATGTAATTTTCCTCAATATAAACCAGTTCCTTATATATAAAAAATAGATTTTAATTAATAATTCTAAAGCCCTTATATGGAATATAAAGGTTTTCATATTCCAAACCATTTCAATATGAATGGTAAAAGTTTGATTTTTGGTGGCTCAAGCTTTCAAAAGGTTGAAAAGGCCGGGTAACACTTTTAGTTTTAAAGGTCTGTCTGTGCACATACACACCTTCTGCCAAACCCTTTTCAATTTTTCAAAAGTCCTATCACCAAAACATTTTAAACAAACAATATCCAATCCTTAACACCCCCAAAAACAAAACAAATAATAATTTATCACAATGAGCGCAGCTTCTCCCGCGCCCCAGATTTATGGCGGAGGTATGCCTAGTTAATTGATTATTTTATCTGCATTTCTAACTTTTATTACAGACGAAGTCTCTGCGGTCGTTCTTGACACGGGCTCCTGGACGACGCGTGCAGGCTTTGCAGGCGAAGACACGCCCAAGGCTGTATTTAGCACGAGCTACGGACTACGCGAAGAACCCGAGGAAGAGTCCAAGGAAAAGAAAGATGCTGATGGAGATACTGCTATGGAAGAGAAACAAACAACTTCTGAGAAACGCAAACACTACTACATTGGCGAAAACTCGCTGCACTTACCGCGTGCCAATACTGAGATTCATAACCCCATGCACGAGGGTGTTGTAAAAGATTGGACAGCCATGGAACAAATTTGGGATTACGCACTCAATAAATCTTTAGGTATCGATCCCACTGAACACCCACTGCTTGTAACAGAGCAGCCATGGAACTCGCGTGCAAACCGTGCGTCGGCAATGCAACTTGCCTTTGAAACATTTTCAGTACCTGCTTTTTATATTGCAAAAACACCTGTTGCTGCGCTTTTTGCCAGTGGCAAAGGCACAGGTTTGGTGGTTGATATTGGACATGATGTTGTTTCAGTGACACCAGTGATTGACGGTCTGCCGCTGTACCGGCCTGCTCGGCGGTCGCTTTACGCGTCTCGCTTTTTGTCATTCGAACTTCAAAATATGCTCGAAACTCGCTACACGAGTTTCCCAGATACCGCATACGGACACATTCCAACAGCTCTTAAAAGGCCACGTTATATGATTTCCGCACGCAAAGTTCCCCTGCCAGTCAATACCGCACCACCTGCAGGTGCTGTGATTCTGCGAAACTTCCCCAACGTTTATACCCCTGGGCCTGGTGTACCTACTGAGTCGTTTAGAGATTTGGAGGTGGAAACACGCATTGTGGAGGAATACAAGCACACCATGTGTCAGGTTGCAGATACGCCATTCAAGAAAGACAATAAGGAGCTCGTTGACAGCGTTCCTGCACGGGTCTTTGAGTTCCCCGATGGATCGAACTTTGAGTTTGGGGCTCTTGAAAGAGTGGCTATTACTGAAGCCCTTTTCAATCCCAAGGCTGATGAATTTAAAATGGATAGATTCCCTGTGCCTTCGAAAACAGAAGAACCGATAGCAGAGGCAGCAGCAGCGGCGGCAGCGGTAGCGGCAGCAGCAGCAGCAGCAGCAGCATCAACTACAAAAGATAAAAAGGCAGATGCAAAGGAACCCCACGAGTCAACAGCTGACCAGAAACCTGCAGAGCCAGCAGCCAATGGCGCTTCTAAAGAACAAACTGCTGGTCAAGCGTCCGGTGCAACCAATGGAGCTGCCAGTACTGGTACTGCTACCGGGACCACTGCTCCCGCAGCACCACCGGTACCTCCTCCCACTCCAGCATACATGTTGAACGATGTTCGCCCGATTCCACCGTTTAGTCGCACACTTGGTCTTTCGGACCTAATTGTGTCTGCAATTAATGCGTGCGATGTGGATATTCGACCGAATCTTGCAAACAACATTGTAATCACAGGAGGTGGATCATTACTTCAGGGCTTGACGGACCGGGTAAACCAGGACCTGTCTCACGCGCTGGCCGGACTCAAGATTCGAATCTATGCACCGGGCCACGTTACCGAACGGTCATGTGCTGCATGGGTCGGCGGTTCAATTCTGGCGTCGCTAGGGACGTTCCACCAGCTGTGGGTGTCTAAGCGGGAATACGAAGAAGTTGGACCTGACAAGCTTCTTGACCGTCGGTTTAGATGAGATACGGGAAATGTAGATTTTTTTTTTTTTTTTGGAAATACAAATGATGTGTGTAAATTTTTTATTCTTAAAAAACCTGCGGCTGAAAAAAATTTTAAGGGCCAAAAAAAAAATAAATAAATAAAATTTTTTTCCTTCACCACACACTTTCTTAGCATAAACAAAAGCCAAAAATGACTACAACGGCAGCAGATGATCTCAACGACGGGTTGGATTACGCGTTTGATGGAACGCTGAGCGACGGAGACAATAACGGATCTAATTCTGATGAAGGTGCTGTATTTCTGGACGATGAGATTTATTATGGAGAGTCTGGCGATGGGCCTTCCTCGAGCAAGAAACGCGGTGCTCCTGAATCAAACACCTCTGACGCGTCACAACAACCGGCGTCGAAAAAGGCCAAGAAGAAGAACAATAAGAACAAAGGTCCGTCCAAGTCATCACGGAAAGAACAAGGTGAAACTATAGCTGCTCAAAAGTCCGGGCTTGCCCGGCGGAGTGATGTGCCTGCACTTGTTGCGGATTTTCTTTCATCGGCCCTGAGGCATCGTCACAAGGACTTGTCGGCTGTGGAAGTTGCAGATATGAGCATTCCGGAATCGCGTATTGCAGAGACTGGAGAAATTGCGTTCCCAGGAGACCGAGACTTAGAAGAGTACGGGCGGTTTTTCGAACAGTTTTTCGGGTCAGTGTTTGAGGCGAACCGCAAGGTGTGGGGTGACAATAAAGATGACAAGAAGAAGGATGATAAGAAGAAGGATGATAAGAAGAAGGACGATAAGAAGAGCAAGAAGGATGACAAGAAGAAGGACGAAAAGAAAGATACCAAAAATAAACAAAAGCTGAAATACATTGTGGTGCTTGCAAGCTCTGCCAAACGCGTTTGCGACGTGAACCGTGCGCTGCGCAAAACCCCTGGTGGGTCGTTCAAGCTGATTGCCAAAAACGCGCCCGAGTATGATGCACGCATGTTTGCGACGGCCCGCAGCTGTGTTGCCGTAGCCACAGTGGGCCGTCTACAGCGTGCACTGGATGCTGGGTACCTTGAGGCTTCACAGATTGCTGCCATTGTTGCCGACTCGACATATCTGGATCCCAAGGCTCAGCATGTATGGGATCTTCCCGAGACCATTCCATTTGTGCGCAAACTTCTTGATGAAACTGATCCTGAAACTAAATTGTATTTATATTGAGCAGAAAGAGAGAAAGTAAGAAAGAAAGAAGAAAAAAATTAATAAATGAGAATAATTAATAACTTTGTAGACATATTTAATATATACACTTGAAAAAAAAACAAAACTACACTTCAGAACATTCGTCGAGGAGTCGCTCAATAGACGTGACATGCTTGCCAACCGACATTTTCTTGAGAATCTGGAGCTGCGCCTTGACATGACGAGCGAGTCGATCACGCTGAGGTTTTTCTGCGCACTCCAGCAACTTCTGAATCACGTAGTTTGCAAACTGGTCCTTCATCATGAGACTCAATGGCGATGCCGTAGAATCCATGGGTGGAGCTGTATCGGCAGGACCTCCCAGGAGAACGTCAATGTAAGCCGCCCGTTGGTCTGGGGTTCCGTACACAATGCATTTTTCAACAACATTGGACGCAAACTTGTGACGCGAAAAGGTAAGCAGCGACACACGTACCAGCTCAATAATTTTGTCACGATCTTCAGGCTTACCGCGCTCGATTACGTGCTGCATGACGTAGTTACCGTATTGATCATCTACAAGATGATAAGCATAATGGTGAAGATCACGCAGGAGGTCTTGTTGTGCAGACTCGTCACAGTATTCGAGCATGCGTTGAATGACACGGCACCCGTACGCATGGGTGGCCAAGCTGAAAACCTGGCCGTCAAAAGCACGCAAAATAAAGCCAATGTGTTCTGACGGGATGCGCTCAATAGCCTTTTGCACAACGTGGTTGCCATTTTGGTCCTTGATGCACTGCAAAACATGACCATCAAGTTCTTTAATGAGACGCGCTTGCTGGTCCGTCAAAATGTGTTCAATGGCTTTTTGAATAACACGACAGCCATACATCTGCAGTGAGAGACTGAGAACGTGGCCCTCCATTTGCTTGGCCAGTAATGTTTTTTGCATTTGGTTTCCAAGCTCAAAAAACTTTTGAATGACATAGTTGCCAAAAACATCCGTCATGAGCTGGAGAGCATTAGAACGAAGTTCAAGAAAAAGAACTTCTTTATCTTCACTTGAGGCAGTTTCTAATTTGGACTGAATAAACCGAGAGCCATATTGGTCACCACTAAATTCGACAATGTGGCCATAAATGTCGCGCAGCTCGTACTTGCGCTGTTTATTACCGCGAAATTCTTCAAGAAGAGGAGACCGCATTGAAGAGTCGTAGGGAAGAGACGCACCACCGTTTCCATTGCCATGCCCATTGGAGATGGAACCGCTGCTGCGGGCTCTGCCTTGGACTTGGCGAGGATATGAGTGGTAGGTTGTTGTGTCTGGGTACTGCTGCTGGTATGCAAGTTGCTGGCGCAGGGTCTTTTCATTGGGCCGCAACGCGGCAGAGGGAGAGGCACGAAAGGGCTGCTGCTCATACTCGAGAGGTATCTGTTGAGGAGATGGGTGTTGAGATTGTGGCAGCATCTGCTGGGGTTGTTGCTGGGCTTGTGGCTGAGGCTGGGCTTGAGGCTGGGGCTGTTGCCAGGAAGTTTCTGGAGAACTGAAAACAGAGGCGTATTGATGTTGGGGCATAGGTGAACGCATGGTAAAGTCTACCCCGGGACTGTCAAAGGGCCGTGGACTAAGAGTATTGGTCATAGATGGTGACACAACCGTAGATGCACTTGCTGTGGAAGACTGCTGCCATGGAGAAGAGATTGAAGGTGCCCCAGAAACACTACCTAAGCGAGACGGGACGGGTGAAGCAAAGGGACTAGTAGTGGCGTAAGACGAGTCTCCACCGTAAAGACTAGATGAGCCGGTTAGGGCCGGGCTACCAGTTGAATAGACGGACGAGACGGAGCCGTGACGGGACGTATAGTCTGAGTGCGCATGAATTTCAGCGGAGCGTGTCACATCGCCGATATTAGCAAAACGGTCAAGCAGCGAAATGAGATTGTTAGCAGGCTGAGGGGGTTGTGCTGGCGTAGACATAAACGACTGTGGTGGTGGCGGTAATGGTTGGGCTGACCGCTGCAGAGTGGCGTGAGTGGATGAGGCGGAAGAAACGGCAGAACCGTTGAAACGAGGGGAGCTGCGATACGACATGATGCTTGAGGCTGGAGTGAATGCTGGCGATGGCTGCTGCTGCTGAAGCTGCTGCTGCTGTTGTTGTTGCTGAAGGCTAAGATGGAGCTGTTGGTGATGGGGCGTTGGCTGGGCCGAAGGTTGAAGGGATGTTGAAGAGGATTGCAGTTGAAGGTGAGCGTTTGGTGGTGGTGAAATAGCGCTTGAACGGAGCCCGGGCTCTGTCAAGGATGGAGACCCGCTGACAAAGTCCGGAAAAAACTTTGAATCTGAAAGTACCGAGTTGCGGCGACTTGAAGGTTGGTTTTGTTGCATGGATTGTTGCAATGGTTGTTGCAGTTGTAGGTGCTGCAGTTGTTGTTGTTGTTGTTGTTGCTGCTGCTGTTGCTGTTGTTGTTGTTGTTGTTGTTGTTGTTGCTGTTGCTGTTGCTGTTGCTGATAGTGCAATGAGACACTCAACGGTTTAAACGGAGTGGTGGTGGGAGTAGACATTTTGGAGGGTGGCCCAGAAGCAGGACTCGATGTCAGTGAGGGTAGGGTTCGCTGGCCTGGTGCTGCTCCAACCGAAGGCCCCGAGAAAGAGGCTTTGGAGCCATATCCGAGACTAAGCTCTCCAAACTCGCGGTCAATCTCGGAAACAGAGTTGTGGCGAGGTCCGGTAGTTCCAGGACCTGGAGAAGATGTTAAAGAAGCGGGAGCGGCCCAGATAGGAGAGGTTGTTGCTGCAGAAGCTGCTGCTGCCACGGAGGCCGAGCGCGGGACAAATGACGCTGAAGAAGAGGCCATAGAAGACGGCGTGGCAGAGGCAGCAACAGATCCTGCGGATGGGGTTGTTGATGCTGAGTTGTACAGGTTGAAGGTGGTGTGGTGGTTGGCCTGTTGTTGTTGTTGTAAGTGCTGCTGCTGCTGTTGTTGTTGTTGATACTGCTGATGCTGCGGCTGTTTAGAACCTACAGCTAGAGACGCGAGACTAAGCTGAGGAGAGATTGATGACACCGAAGAGAAAGAGGACGGATTAGAAGCAGAAAATTCGGAGCCAGAGCTTGGAGTTTCTGGCAGTGCGTTTTGCTTTTCGAGCGAGCAGGTTGAAGAGGCCGGCGAGGTATTTGATAAGGAAGTTGAAGAAGAAGCCGAGGAGCTTGAAGAACTGTTTGTATTTGTATTATTATTAGCAGTAGCAGTTATACCAGACGTGATAAATGATACTGAAGATGACGACAACGAGTCCTGAGGAGTTCCTATTAACGACTTGCCTAGGGGGGATGAGAAAACTGATATGGCAGTAGCCGCAGCCGATGGTGGTTGAGCAAAGAGGCGGCTTGAAGCTGCAAAGACAGAAAAGTTTTGAGGTGTAAAAACTAAAGAAGAAGCGGTTGAAGCAGAAACAAATGGAGCTCCAGGAGATATAGCAGAGGTCGTAGATTGTGTAGAAGATGGAGGACTTGTTGACGACGGAATTCCGCCGGGCAGAGCGGAAGAAGGCGGCGGTGGTGGCGATATGGTTGTGGTAGGGGCCGCGAGAGAGCGGGGGGAAAGAGATGGCAAGCGGTCCGGATGGATGCAAGGTGGAGCTTTAGAAGAAGATACAAAGGTAGGGGGAGAAGCTGGAAGGGTTACGAGAGAGATTGCCGGGACAGGAATGGGATGGAGGAGTCGTGGCGGGACGGGTGATGGGATGTTTTGGTGGTGGTGATAGTTTGGAATGGCGTTGTTGTTGAGTTTATTAGTAATCTTGTGGTGGTGGTGATGGTGGGGGCCAAAGACGCCATTGGCGGGCTGCGGGGGAGGGCAGGCGGAGTGCTGAGACTCAAGTTGAATAGAAAGTTGAGGCATTGAGGCTACACAGATAACAGAGTATACAAGGAAAATGTACAGTACAAATAGATAATAGATAATAGATAATAATAATAAATAAATAAATAAATAAATAAGATAAGAAAATAGTTTCAAAAAAATTAAAAGATAAACAAGTGGAATTTATGGTATTATTTATATATTCTGGAAAAAAAAAATGAAAAAAAATTAATATTCATTTGAAATATTTTCTCGTAGAGACTCATCACGCTCTCATTCCTGTTCCTCTCGACTGTTTCATGGATATTGGATGTCTGCACCTGTGTCTTATTGAGAAGAGAAGAACGCGAGAACTACAAAAAAAAAAAAAAAAAAGAAAGAAACACTTTCTTAAATGGTAAATATTTACATAAACTAGACCTATTCCCCCCTCTTTCTACTTTGCTTTCTTTAATGTTCTATTAATGTTCAAGAGAAACCAAGACCTTCTTTTTTTCCCTTCAATATACTGCTTATTTATGTTTCTTTTTTTTTTTTGCTTCTTCTTCTCCATTTGGTATTAGCAATCTAATTGAGCCTTTCTCCATAATGGCATAGTTTCTATATCCCAAAAAAGATCCGTAGAATATCCTTGCTACTTTCAAAGCGTGTACCTTAGATAATGCTCAGAGCGGGATTTCTTAGACATGAAAAGTCTACTTTATTTAAACACGAGACATGAAATTCATGCGATATAATCAACAAACAAGCAAAAAAAAAAAAAAATCAATGAATATGAATAGAAGTAGTGGAAAGGATTCCAATAATTAAACACATCTTTTTGAAAGTTGGAGTTTTTCTTGTATATATATTTTCATCTTGTCTTGTTTAAATATAATATATAAATAATATATACCCAAATGACCTTTTGTCTCACTCCAAACTGTTTCTCAAAAAAAAAAAAAAAAAAAAAAAAACTTTTAAAGTCTAAATTCTTTTTTTTTTTTTGCACGGCAATACCTATTTTTTTTTAAGCCACGGCGCACCATCATAGAAAGTTCAGACGGAATTACATAGCGTTCCATTGGATAGTTAGTGCTGACATAAGAACGCGCTTAATCATCACGTCACGTTCACGTCGCGCAATTTTTTTTTTATTTTTCTATTAAAAATAAAAATAAAAAGTAAACAAACGCGTAAACACAAAAATTCTTTAAATTTCCTTTTCTTGACTTTCATAAAGAAAAAATAAAAAATTCTATTTCGAAATAAAAAAAATTTTTCATTACCAAGTTTTGTCAAATTCTCTTTCAATCTCTGCAATTGTTTTTTTCTCTTATATACTAAAATGAAACAAAAACCTTTATATTCTTCCCGCAAGCAACCCTCTGCATCCAAATCCCAGCTGCATTCAAATCCCATCTCGATCCCCTCCTCAGACCGAGCCTCTGAAACTTCACCTGAACTTTTATCATCTGACCAAGATTCTTCTTCTTCTTCTTCTTCTACTGATGAAAGTTCTGATGACGATAGTGGCCAATCTGATGTCGAGTTTGTGCTAGGCAAACGCCCGGCTAATCGTAAAACCAAACCCAAAACAAAGAGCTCACCAAGCAAACGTCGCAAAATAATAACAGAATCATCTAGTCAACAAGAAGAACCAATAGTACTAGATGACGGTATTGTTCTTCTCCCATCTTCATCACCAATTGAATCCATTCGCTCACCTTCTCCCATTGCATCACCTGTCACCAAAGTTCCACGTCTTTCATCTCGTGTGTTCCCCTTTCTGACCCCAAAACCAACCTCGCTAACTGCACTTGCTCCACCATTTCAAAACAAGAAAAGAACAAAAAAGCCTCCAGCGAAACCAACACAAACACATCTCAATTTTGCCGGACTGCTGCCATCAACAACCTGTGCAGAATGTGGTATGTCCTATTGCGCTCTCAATAGCTCAGATGTTACTGTACACACAAAGTTTCATGCCAAATCAACACTAGGTCGCGACTGGACATCTCCGGATTGGGGTGCCTTGGTCTGGCGCGAAAGCCCGTTACATGATCAAAACAATAATTATAATACACAGCACAATACTACCAATGTTAATAATTCTCAAAATTCATCATCCACATCCCTGCTTGGACCTCCTCGTGACCGCATCTTAAGAGTTAACGCATCTTCTAAACTTCCAGAAAAACGAGCTGTCCAAGATCTCTTACTCTGCGTCAACACAGAGCTTTCAGCACCTCCAGAAAACCAGACTTGGCGTAAAGGCCCAGCTGCTGCTGCCGCTGCTTATGTTTATGTTTCTTCGTCGTGTTCTGATTCATCTAAAGATTCTTTTCCTTCATCTTCTTCCCAGCCTGTCCCTCGCGCAGTTGCAATTCTTGTGGTAGAACGTATTTCTCGCGCACATACACTTGATCTGACTACGGGCACAATGACTCCTTATAAGACTCCAGACCAATGTCCGGCCCCAGTCATGGGTGTGGCGCGCATATATACTGCACGAGGGTTTCGAAGAAGAGGGTTTGCAGCTCGGTTACTCGATGTGGCAGCTGAGGATTTCATTTACAGGTACCGTGTCCCCAAAAAAGCTGTTGCATGGAGTCAGCCTAGTGCCAGTGGCGGGATGTTGGCTAAATGTTGGCACGGGGACCAGTCGCCAGGTCCCGACAAAGTCCTAGTGTATTTAGAAAATGATGCTGTCACCAAAAAATAATGGATTAAAAGATGCATGAATATAATAAAAATAAATATATAAATGGATAGATAGATAGATAGATAGATAAAATAGATTCCTGTCTTTTACATATCTTTATTTACACGTCTAAACGCGGCCGTGTGGGCATCCCAATCACTTCATTATCATTGCCTAAATCATATGCCACACCTTTGGGACGTCCCAATGGCACAAACCCAGGGATTCCTCCAGATGGTGCACGCATTGCAGTAGGTGAATATTGGTCTGATCCTGCCGCAGAATTATTAAAAAAAGATATCCCCGTGGGATCTGGTGACACCTCGGCACTCTCGGCTCCAGGCGACGATAACGTCATGGAAACATCTGCAGATGCCGCAGCCTCTTCATCAGCCTCGTGATTTGCAGCCTCTTGCTGCTTAAGTCGTCGGTACACTTCGTCAGCGCTGTCAATCTGGATCCCGCCTATATTGTAGTATTTTTCTGATTTGTTTGCAGGGCTTTGGTGGGCGCTAAGGACTGCGTATTGTTTACTCATAAACTCTTGGAACTGTGTCTTTTTTTCTGCAACAAATGTATTCGATCCATTAGGTCCCTTTTCCTTTCCTCCCTCTTTGTCATATTCTTCAGGTCCTACTAGCCGTAGTATTTCGCCCTCGTAATATGTCACCACTTTGCCAGCTCCGTTTTGAGCGTCGTGACTCCATTGCGCATCCACAATTTCAAAATTGAACCCCTCATGAACTGCCTCAATTTTACCTCGCGAATCCCAGCCTGCAGGAATGGCAATCGAGTCTGCATTAATTACTGCAGGAACCAGTCGTTCAATGCGTTGGGAGTATCCCACTGGTAGTTCCAATCGTTCAGACAAAAGTGCGACAACAGGATCGACTTGTATACTTTGCGATGATGACGAAGACGATTGGTCTTCAGAAATAGTTATTGTTTTATGGGTATAAAGAACCGAGGCCCCATGTTTGAGTGCAACCGAACGCAAAAACTGTTGTACAAAATCGACAGTATCGTCTGAGATAGAGTCACTGCGTAATAAGCTCTCAGCTCCTGTGGCTATAAATGCAAGATCAATACCCAATGGAAGATCATACTGGCCTATTTCAAGCGGCATTTCGACCGTAAATGTTTGTTTTGCGTCGACTGCACCGTCGCTACTAGGAGCCACATACATTTGTAATCGCCTGCGGACTAGAAAAAAAAATATATATATAAATAAAAATTAATTATCATGTTGATAAAGATTAAAAAAAGAAAAAAAGACATGGTTGAGTCAACTTACACGAGTCTTTATTAATGTCTAAGAGTGCGGAATCGACGCCTGCGAGGGCCTGTCGCAATAAAACAAGCCATGCTGAAATGTCGCGGGCCCAGGAAGCTAATGGCGGGGTATCCCAGTCTAGTAAGATTGTCACAAGCAAAGGTTTCCCCCCAAGGATTCGGGCTAGCAGGTCCTGTAAGAGTGGCAGGAAGGTGCTTTTGTTTTTTTCTGGGAGCGTGTATATGTCAAGATGAGAGAGTTTGTCTTAGAGTAATAAAAATATAAAATTTAAAATGTTAGAGATTGAAAGATTGAAAGATTAAAAGATCAATATACAAATGTTCACTTACCATCATGATCAAAGTCTTTAAACTGAACATATGTATAGCCTAACCCAAATGAATTTGCGATCCGCGGAGGTCGGGTCTCGGGTTTTCCAGCAGCGCGCTGGATGCATTGGATCAGCAAGGTCTGTGATTTAGGTGTGCCACCTTTTTTTTTTAGCCAAATTAGTCGTTATTATCTATAAAATTTGAAATACACGTACCTAGTAATAACAATGTTCCAGATGGAACGCTATTTGCACTGCTTGCAGACTTTAGCAGAGTTGACCAAAGCTGCTGCTGTTGCTGCTGCTGTGGTGCTTGCTGTTGTTGTTGCTGCTGCATTTGGGTGGTGGTGAGAATTCAAGTGTTTAAGTTGGTGTTGTTTATGATGATTACAAAAAAAAAAAATAATAATAATAATATTATTATTATTACTAGTACTAGTAAAAATGCTCCACACAACAGTCCTTCCCCATCCAAAAGAAACACCACCATTCCCCCACACCTGCTTATAACCGCTCGACCCATGAAGGTGCCCAGTATGCTGTGCGGCCGCCCTGATACTGCGAGTCTACCCACAGTGTGCCGCTGGCCACCATATCAGTAAGCACCGTTTGCGATCTTGCAGGAGACCAATGTAGGTTATCGTGTAAGAGGTCGACTGTAACACATCCCAAGGCATCGCAAGCCGCTAAGACTGCTGCCTGATCTTGGGACAGTTCCTTTGGCACAGACCGGACATAAGAAGCTCCGGCCACGTCGACAACTTCAAAGCCGGAGCCTAGAGCACGTAGTGACTTAACTGCCCGTTCGATATCGTCTGGCGAAGCTTCGACGGGTGGGGCTGCGCGTGCAAGCCGTGCGCAAAGAGCAGACACGGGTATCAGGCCGCCGTTTTGGTCACGAGTGGCACGACATATTTCAATGACCTTGACAGCAAGTTCATAGTAAAAATCATTGACATCTTTGCCTAAGAGAGAAGCCCACATAGAGCCACCACTGGCAGATGAAGTATTTGATGATGCAAGAGGATCGACGCCGATGGTGGCGCACATGCGCGCAAACTCAGTGCGGAAAGAAGGGTTTGTACGAATTTCATGGGCATGAGAGACAGCAAAGTATGCAAGAGAGGAACGGAAAACTTCAAGCTGAGTAGTGAGCTCGCGAGTTTGCGACTCGATCAGGGCATTGCTGAGGTCCGAGTACTGTTGTTGTTTACGCTTTGAGTTTTCAAAAGCAGCGATTCCCACAGGCCGCATTTGGAACGAATGATGATAAAAAGTTGAGGGAAGATTTAGAAAGAGGAAGTGGTGGGGGGAGGGAAGGGGAGGGAAAAAGAAAGTTTTTGTGGTGGGTGTGGATTAGTGTGGTAAAAACTTGAGGGGGGGACCCTAACCTTGGATTTGAGGGGGGTTTACTAAAACTAAGAGGAGGGGGCTTTAAATTAATTTATGCATTGGGTGCAAAAATCATGCAACTACAAAGTTTTAAACAAAAGTTTTGAACTTTGAATTTTTATAAAAAAAAAAGGAAAGAAATTTTGTTTCTTCTTTTTTATTTAATTTTTAATTTTATTACAAGAAAAAAAAAATGGACCAGCAAGTAGTTCTCCAAAAAGGTTTATTAGATAAGTCCGCTCAACAAGTTTTAAGCTCATTGTTAGCACGTCTTGATGAGCTGACACAGATACTAGAGACTCACATGGCTGAGATTAACGGTAAGTTAAGTTTGGCTTTGGTTCAAGTTAAACAATTGTCGCACCAATTATAATGAATGAATGAGATTTATATGGGGTTAAAATTTTCAACTACAAGAAGAAACAACAGATTTTTGGAATTTTTTTTCTTTTTTTTAAAAAACAAAAAGAGAAAGAATGACTTCTAAAGTCATCTATGATATTATTAAACACAGAATAGGAACTTGTGCACGAGCTCTTGAAAAATACGTCATTGGTGAAACTGCTCTTCATTTTTTTTTTTTTTCATTTAACAAAAAAAAAATTAAACACACAAGTTTTGATATACAAAAAAAAAAGGAACAAGACAAAAAAAAAGAAAAAAAGACAAAAAAAAAAGTTAATACAACTCAGATCGTTAACGGGGGAAAAAAAATGGAGATAAAAATGATAAACCATGATGATAATGATAATGGTGATAAAGGTGGTTGGTGATAATAATAATAATGATAGTGACGATGGTAATAGTTGTGACAGAAAAAAAAGGGTTTATTTTTTTTTATTATTATTATTCATTCATTCATTCATTCACTCGTTAAACAGCAATAGAACTTTCCGAGCTCTTTTCCTCGTTGAGCTTGGCCTTCCATGCTTCGTACTCACGGGCAGTGGCCTCAGATGCAGACAAGTCATAAGTCTCAAGCTTAGCCTCACCATCTGTGGTGGCAGCATCACTAATGGCAGCAGTAGCAGCGTTAGAGCCCTCATCCTCAGACTTGGCAAAGGACTTTTTGCGAGGGGCTGATGTAGCAGCTGATCCAACTGGCTGCTGCTTAGAAAAGGATCCACGAGATGCACGGTTATAATCCGAAAATCGCTTACGATGACCAGCTCCTTCTTCATGGTTGAAGCTCTTGCGGTGGCCATAACCACCGTGACCACCATGACCGTGGCCATGATTCTTGGGACCAACAGAAATCCAGCCGTCCTCTTCTTTGGGAGACGCCGAAAGGAAAGCGTTGCTGTCCTGTGATGAGGACTGTCTGCGACCGGGAGCGCGGTAAGGGTGGTGAGTCTTACCATCTGCAGTCGCAAGAGAGTTGGCAACAGCCGTTGCAAACTTGGGGTTGATATCTTCTATTTTTCAAAATTGTTAGCATGAATTTATTTGGATCAGTTAAAGGATTGGCTTAAAAAAATAAATAATACATACTTTGATTTCTGCGGGGAGCAGAGGATCGTTGCAAATAGTATCTAGATGGTAAAATAGCAATGTTAGTTGAATAATGGATCAATGGAAGAGGAGTAGCAACTTCAAAAAAAGAAAAAAATAAATAAACAAACCTTGAAGAAAGCTCCTTAGCATCGATTTCAGAGCTGCTATCGCCAGATTCGTCATTAGACTCTACAGCAGCCTCATCATGATCAGAACCGAGTTCTGAAATAGTGTGGTTTAGTGCTGCACGGTCTCTCTTGTAAGAGCTATAACGGCGGGACTCGGACGCACTGTGAGATTTCTTGCGGTTTTTGCGGTGCTTTGAGCTCTTCATTCTTTAACACACGCATGACGGTTAGAATAGAATAATAACTATAATAAAAAAATTTAAAATATATTGTTTTTGAAAATAAATAAACATACTCCTTGTTGAGCTGCTCAATGTCGACCTTAAAAGCAGGTGCCACGGAGCCAGCACTCTCCAAAAGAGCTAATAGCTCTTGGTGAGAATAGATGGTTGTAGTAGTAGTAGTTGTTGTTGCTATTGAAAGAAAAAAAAATGGTTTAATCCATCTGTTAGCGAATTTATTATATATGATGTGATGATGAGGATGAGGATGATGTGATGATGAGGATGAGGATGATGTGATTTGCGCGGGGTTGATAGTAATTAAGTCCGTATGGATTTTGTGGGTAAAAAATATATATATATAGATATATATAAAAAAAACGACATACACATTTGTAAAATGCTTAAGCTGCTTGAGTCTGGGGATTGATGATGAGATCGTTTAGAATTTAAAATGTTCTGTGTATAGCTGGATATTGATGTACAGGCTTTATTTGATAATGAGATCAAAGGTTGTTGTTGGCTGTGGTAGTGGTGGTAGTGGTAGTGGAGGTGAAGGTTTAAAGGGCTTTGATCTGTGTGGTTGCTGGCACTGGTGGTGGTTAGTGGTTGTAGTGTAGTGGTGGTGATGGGGATTATTTGTTGTTTAGGTAATATCTAAAAAACAGATTATGTAATGAAGGCAGTGCGGAAAAAAGTCCTTAAAAGAGCAAAAAAAAAAAAAAAATCGGCGATTTCAGTTGGTGGGCGGCTGATTTTTTTTGCGGTTTTGGTGGTGCTGAAAAAAAATTTTAGGCGGTATGGAAGCATTAAGAATGATATAGAAACATTACTAATTGATTAGTAATTATATGTCAAGCTAAATATTACTTACACTTTATGTCTATAGTTTCAAGTATTATTTTATATTAACAGTAAATTAGATACCAGTTGTACATCCTAGTCCTTTTCTAAAAATTTTTTTTTTTTTTAGTTGATTTTTTTAAAATCATCAAGGAAATCCCATTATTATTATTATCATCAACATCAAATCAACACCACAAAAAAAAAAAAAACCAAACCAAACACAATACCAATGCCCGTTGCCAAATCTCTTAAAAAAGTCGCTAAAAAAGTCAAAGGCTCGGATAAGTCGTTGCACCCCAATGGCCGGAAATTCAAGCAACTTAACCGTGCCACACTACGTGAAGGAAAGCTAGCCAAGCAAAAATCAGAACGTTCTTCTCAACGCGACCAAAAAAGTGAGTTCTTTTTTTTTATTGTTGCAAATTTAATATTTTGAATTAATTGAAGTTATTAATTTTTTTTTTCTCTTTCTTTCTTTTTTTTTTTTTTTTTACCAGTCCTCAGATACAAACATTTCCAAGATACTCTGAAAACTTCCGGCAAACAAACCCTCTCAGATGACGAACTACGTGCAGCAGTACTTGCCTTTATCGCACGAGACAATACTACACTTGATGAGTACAAGGCTGCGCGGCGGCCAGGCCGTCCTGCATCTTCTGCTCAAGATGCGTTGGAGCAGCGGATCAAGCGTGAGCAACAGGAGCTCAAGTCTGGTTTTGTAGCTCCAGATCTGACTGACAAGGCCAATGCAGAGATGTTTGCTGCATGGAATGGAACTGCAGGAGGTCTGAGTACAATTAAGAAGGTGAGAGTAACGGAGGATAATGTGATACGAAATGTTAAAGATGTTGAGATGGAGGATGATTAAAAAGGGAATATATTTATTCTTTATATATAGACAAGAAATATGGGTTTAAAAAAAAAAAAAAAAAAAAAAAGTGAACCCAAGAACTGATAGAATTTTAATGAGCCGCATGAAATATATATTTAAATTTTATTTATCTTACTGTTGATAACTTTAATCAACTTACCTGAAATTATTTACCAAATTAGGGTTTGTCTGCCGCCATCAGATTCATCAGACGTACCTCATTGGTCCTAAGTGCCTTTTGTACCAAATTAGGAAACTACCAAGATTATCTTGGCATTTTTTTTTTTTCTGTCTCGTTAAACGACTCGGTACGAAAATCACACCCAGAATTGTTTCTAAAGTACAGCCTTTACTCCACCCCCCCCCCCCACACATACGCACATAATAGGAAAGTCCCACCACCATATGAAAATGAAAATCAAACAAACTCCATTGTAGAAACGCTCAAAAGTTGTAATACTATTAGACTATAAAAGCATCTTGGAATCCTCTCTCTCTCTCTTTTTTTTCTTTTATTATTATTTTGTTTTCTAAAAAAAAATTTTCCTTTCTTGTTTTTTTTTTTTGGTTTTGACCCCCTCAACTTTGAGCCTTTCTTCTCCAAGTCAACTTGCCAACTCAAAATGATTGCATCCCAAGCTCTTCTTTCGCTCTTTGTGGCTCTCGCTGCTGCTGCACCTGAAGCTCTCCCCTCTCCTTATGCTGCCGCTCTTGCTGCTGCTGCTGCCGGTGCTGCTCCCCAAGACGGTGCCTCTTACTCATGCCATTCTTACTGTGGCAATGCCATTTTGCAAGGCCGTGAGTGCGGAACCGACGACACTGACTGTTTATGTTCTTCAGATTCTGAGTTTATGAAACTCATCCCAGACTGTCTCGACTGTGGATCCACCCTTTGGTCCTCCTATGGAAAATACCTTGTTCCTTACCTCGAGGCTTGTAACTTACAAACTACCCCCAACCCTCTCCCAGCCAGTTCCACAACTGAAGGCACTGGTGGTAATGCCACTGTTGCTGGTACTGTCACAGCTACTGGTTACAATACAACTGCAACTTCTCATGCCATCACAAGCACTGGCTCAGCAGCCACTTCTGCGTCTGCAACTGCCACAGGTAGCTCACTCTCTCGCTCAGTTTCTGCAGATGCTTCGGACTCCATTGTATCTGGCTCTGCTTCACATACTGCTGGTGTTTCCGGTTCTTCAGCTGCTGCTTCTGGTTCGGCTTCGTCCAGTGTTGCTGCAGGTGACGCTTCAACTCTTGGTATTTCCGGGGTTCTTGCTGCTGTTGTTGCTGCTGCTGCCTTCCTTTAAATAGGGGAAACCCATCTCTTTTCGTTTCAAAAAAAAAAAAAAAAAAAAAAAGTTTTTTTTTTTTTTTGTTTTCCATTCTCCAGATTTATTTTTTTTTTTTTCAAAAAAAGAATCTTTTTCTTTTCTTCTTTAGTTATTAATAATTGTGAATTGTCACTAAGGTCCTTAATTAATGTATAATTTTTTTTTTTTTTTCTTATCCTTTTTCTTCTTAACAAAATTCTATTCAGTGTAATAAGCATAAATTAATAAACTTTTCAGCCGTTCCATCGATTATCTTGATAAACAACAACAATCTCAATTGTTCCTGACTTGAAACTCTCAGTTTGAAAGCAATGTTGACTTTTATAAATTTAAAAAAGAATATATATAAATATTTACAATAAAAATTTAGCAAAAATTATCCCCATCTAATCTTCTTCATCGTTTATATATCTCAATTTTTATCTTCTATCTTAATTTTTCTTTTCTTTTCTTTTCTCTTTTAAACTGACACATCACTGTCCTCTAAACTCTCTGCGCTTACAGTTTCTCCAACTCTCGCAGCCCTCGCAACGCGTCTTCTCACTCGCTCCTTTCGTTTCTCTTCCTTGGCTTCTCTCAAATATTCTTCATTAACCTCGGCCCCTGAATATTTATCAATATCAAATCCTTCTGCTCCATTATCCAGCTCCTCATCAGGGCCATCAAAAGGCGAAGGGTTTGCAGCCAAAATCTCTCGAGCACGTTCCACATCAAATTTCTCTCCAGTAATCTGGCGCCAAATTATACGCAAGTACCGCTGTAAAGTTGACAACCCTCGAAGGTATCCCATGTCGGGTTGCGATGGATGTTGTGGTGGTGCAAGAGTTCCTGGAGGCAACACATCTTCTGCAGTAATACACTGCGCAAAATCAATAATGCGAATTAAAATAGTCCCTGGATCGTGCCGTGCCTCTTCAGGTACAGGCCCAGCCCCAGAGTTACTGCTACTGGAGATGCTGCCCATACTGCTTCCAAGTCCGTGATTCCCATTATGGTGATCATTTATTGGTGCTTGAGGATCACCATCATACATCAACAACAAACTAGAACCGTACATACGGTACCCGTCAAGCCGTTCAATGATGCCTTGGATAGCTGCAATGCGTTCGAGAATCTTAGGAACATGTCTCAAGATTGATTTCTGAGACACACCATTGTAGAGAAATTTCTTTAAGCACGCTCGGAACTGTGGGCCTGCACGTACTCGTCTACCAAAGTACTTGTCTTGGAAAAAGTATTTGCCTGTTTGCACATTGTAAGTTTGCATACCGCAGATTCTCACACCTAGTTCGCGGCTTGTTGTTTGGCGGCACTTGGCAGCTTGTGATGCTTGCTTTTTGGGTGTAGCATCCACACCATACTGCCGAGTACCCATCTTGAGATCCATGACGCAAGGTTTGTGCATGCCACTTGTGAGATCTTCAAGAAGAATGAAAAGTTCAGTTCGGGTGTATACACGGCCAGGACTGCTAAGCGATTGGATGCCCTTGGGAGATTGTGGAATACTAGGAGAAGGTAAATTAGGTACTGCTTGTAAAGCCTGAGTTAACTGGCTTTTTGGTGGTTCATTTACAAATGATTGTGAAGGCAGCTCTTGTTCTGGAGGTATCTGTGGTAATGGTTGTTGGTGGAATTGAGTTTGGGGATTTTCCTCTTCCTTTTCCTTTTCCTTTTCTTCAACCTCATCTTCATCCATCTTAAACACAGACTCATCATCCTCTTCCTCTTCTTCCACAGCCACATCGGTATCAAAGTTGCGCATACCAGCACGATGCCATAACAGTTCCCTACGCACAGACTCTAAGTTACTATCAGTTGATCTACGCAAACTAGCCGAAGAATGCTGATGGCTGCGATTACTGTTAACCTTGAGTGAAGAGAACGGTGAAGAAGATGAAGAAGTAGGCGATTGCAATGGGTTAGAATTTTCATCCCTTGAAGATTCAGGTTTATCTTGGCTCTTGGCCAAATTGTCCATACTTTTGTGTGACATTAGGTGACCACCAGAGATCGCACGTGTGCGAAGTAAATGGCGTGAAAGATCGCTAGAAGAAGTTAAAGATGAAGAGGTGGCTATGCCATCGTAATCAGAGCGTGAGCGTCCTGCAGCAATTGGGCCGGAACATTTGACGCGTCTGGGTGCAAAAACTTCTCGTAGGACGAGTTCTTGAAGTCCCTTGTTAACAGAGGTAGCACCGGAAGACACTGGACTAGATGAGAACTGGAATGTACTGGAGGAAGCCGAATATGAAGAGGAAAGAATAGGAGTTGTGGGAGTCGGGGATCCAATAGCTGCATCCATAGAATGGTCATCATGAGAGTGGACCGATGAACTTGAGTAATGTCTTAGCAAAGAGTCCGGGACAATGTGCATATTGTCGTCTAGGACGACTTCAGGAAGGGGAAAAGAGGTAGAGACTGAAGATGGATTTGAAGGAGGAGGAGGAGGAGGAGGAGGAGGAGGAGGAGGAGGAGGAGGAGTAGAAGGAGGGAGATGTGAAGTTTGCTGTGACTGCTGTTGTACTAATGCTGTTTGTTGAGCAGATGCAAGGGTTGTGGTTGTAGGTTTTGTTGGTGTTGTGGGTATTTGTGTAGGAGCAAGTTCCTGCGGGGTTTGTAGAGGTAGTTGTGAAACCAGAGGTTGTTGTTGTTGTTGTTGTTGTTGTTGTTGAACAACCACAGGTTGATTGACCATAATAGGTGGTGGCGGTTGGGCTGGTTCAGGAAGATCATCAGCAGGAGCTGTATGACGGACATTTAGAACTCCAATGTATTTAGGCATGAATGGGAGGAGTTCTTCATGGCGCAACTCAATGGCCTCGTACCAAAGATTTTCACGTTTAACAAGGGCTTTGCAAACGGCACGATGGGAGAAGCGGAAAATGGCGGTGTGGCCGCCCACCTTGTGCTTAAAAGGCTTAAGTTCGACGGCCAACGGGTACTGCTCAACGAGGTTTGAAGAAGAAGAAGAAGAAGAAGAAGAAGAAAAAGAAGAAGAAGATTGGTCTATGGAACCATTTTCAGAGACTTGATTTTCGTCTTCTGGGGGGAAAGATGGAGATGAATTTTGATTACTATCTTGTTCTGAGATTTCATCTTGCAGTTGTTGATGTTGCTCAGAGGTTGCTACTGCTGTATTGGTGGTTGGTTGAGAGTCCACAGACGTGGGACGTGGGATTAGTATTGGGGGTGGTGGTGGTGGTGGTGACGACTCGTTGGGGGTGGACAAAGAACGTGGTGAAGTGCGGCGGTAAGTTTGGTTGTTATTGTTGTTGTCATTATTATTATTATCATTATTATTGTGATTATGATGATAATGATGGTGGGAAGATCTAATTTCAGGAAGAACAACAGCTGTAGGCTGAGGCTCGATGTCACCCAAGAATCCAGGAGATCTTTGGTTTGGATTTCCTTGGGAGTCGGATGTAGTGTTGGATATTGTTGTTTGAGGATTTTTTGTTCTACTGGTACTATTAGCTGGTGGTACCACTGTTGAGGAAGAGGAGTAGGAAGAGGGGGAAGAAGAGGAGGAAGAAGAAGAAGAAGCAGTTGTTGCTGCTCCTGCTGCTCCTGCTGCTCCTGCTGCTCCTGCTGCTCCTGCTGCTCCTGCTGCTCCTGCTGCTCCTGCTGCTCCTGCTGCTCCTGCTGCTCCTGCTGCTCCTGCTGCTCCTGCTGCTCCTGCTCCTGCTCCTGTCCCTGCTACTGTTCCACCACTATTGCCACTACTAGAAGACTGATGGTCTGGATGGTGGGGCCGTCGAGGTGTATGAGGAATGTAAGTTGCTGAAGAGACTTCTTGGGAAGTGGAAGCTCTGCGAGAAGAAGATGCAGAGGATGTGGAAGAAGTAGAAGAAACCAAAGAGTCGACAGATGCATCTTCGGGACCCACAAGGTCCTGCTCAAAAGAATCTGCAGGAGCTGAAGGAATTGGGATGTTAGAAGTAGTTGATGTTGTTGTTGTTGTTGCGTCTACTGCAGGTACTGGTGTTGGTGCTGGTGCTGGTGCTGGTGCTGGTGCTGGTGCTGGTGCTGGTGCTGGTGCTGATGCTGGTGCTGGTGCTGGTGCTGGTGTTGTTGTTGTTGTTGTTACTATTGCTGTTGTATTTGTAGCACTGTGTAATTCAGAAACAAGTAGTCCATTTGTTGATTGTTGATTATCCAAGTAGTCTGTAGGTGTAATAGTGTTTATGCTTGTATTTGAGCCTAGGTTTGAGCTAGCAATTATAGTACTAGCAGAAGAACTACAAGTACTATTAACAGAGCCAATGATTGGTTTTGGAGATAACGATGGCTGTCGTTGTTTTAAAGGCTTTTGAGATGGATGGTGATGAAGATGATGATGGTGATGATGATGGTGGCTTTGCACTGTTGCAGGAACAGTAACAACCTCAGGTTCATCAGTTTCTTTAAACAACCGAAGAGATCGCGAAGCTTTACGTGAAGATACTGCGGGGTCTTCAGGAGAGCTTGATAAGGAGTCATGCTTCAGGGGGTCAATTGAGTTATCATCATTATTGATAGTTGTTTTGTCTGCATCTTCTAGAAATACTTGTGAAGTAGTAGTAGTAGTAGTAGTAGTAGTGGCAGCGCTTGGAGTTGTTGCCGTCATTGCATATAGAATAGGAGTCAGGTTATAACGCGATAATGATGATGACGATGATGAAGAAGAAGGAGCCGAAGTGGATGCAAGTGTTCCAGATACTGCCGATGATAGAACAGAAGACAGAGGAGCTGCTCGAGCAGAAGAGGCAGCCGATGGAGGAATTGGAATTGATGCTGGAAGTTTTTGAGGGAAAGTGATATTGGTAGTATTGGTAGTATTGGTAGTATTGGTAGTATTGGTGATGTAGTTTTTGGATTGATTGTTCAGGTCTCTTTGGAGCGTTGTTTGAGTTCCATTACTACTACTACTATTATTATTAATATTATTATTATTTCTGCTGCTTCTGATGTTACTACTGCCACCTGGTGTGATCCCGGGTCGCAACCCAAAGGTGTTGCTATTTGGGTCCATTTGAAGAAAGAGAAATTAAAGGGTTTTAAATGGAGTTTTTTTTTTTTTTTTGTAGTCTAAGAGAGAAAGAAAAGGTTTTTGTTTTATATAGAAATAATTTTTTTTTTAAAAAAAAAAAAAAAAAATGCTATTAAGTTAGTTTTAGTTTTAATTTAAATAAAAAGGGTTTTTCTTTTTTTTTTTTTTTTTTTTTTTTGATTGACAAAAAAAAATTCTCTTTTTTATTTTTATTTTTATTTTTATTTTATTTTATTTTATTTTATTTTATTTTATTTTCTGTTGTAGAAAAAAAAAATTTATAAATTTTTATAAGAATTTATGAGAATTTATGAGAATTTTTTTTTAGGCGCCAGAAAAAGTTTTGGTGAATTTTAAAAGACCCAAATAGAAATTAAAATCAACAACTTTATAAAATATAATAATAAATAATTTATTATTTTTATTATTTTTATTATTTTTATTATTTTTATTATTTTTATTATATAAAAAAAAAAAAAAAACACCCAATAGATAAAAAAAATAAAATAAAAATAATAATTCACCAACTAACTTTTCAATAACTCTTTCAATTATCAAAAAAAAATCTCTACTTTCCCTTTTTTTTTTTTAATATCTTTCCAATTCCGTTGCGCTTTTTGTTCATTTTTAATTATCAATCTGTTGCAGTTTAGCTAGTGGTTTTCGCTAACTACTTGTTGCAATCAATGCATAATAATTATATAGTATATATATATATATATATAGTACTATATAGTACTATATAGTACTATACTAATAGATATACCCACGTGGGTTAGGGGATTATTATTATTTTTCTTTTCTACATCACAGCTTCTCCAAACTTTCCCCCGATCTGTTCGGGCCACCAAAGCAAAGTACCGACCTCTTGGACTCACCCATAGCAACCTCACCCACTGAGGTCCCGACTTAGGAACGTCGTTGTGCACATAATAATAATCATCATGAATAATAACAACAATAACAACAACAATATCTCTAATAACCAAAAAATTCTTATCCAAATCAAAGCCCTCCTCAAATCTATCGCATCCCAAGCAAAAAATGGTAACCAGCTAACACTAACTCTCCCACAAATCCCTTCAAAATCATCCTCTCGGGTCCTCCGGTTCCCTTCTCCAACATCTTCATCATCATCATCTGCTCCTCCACCTTTTGTAGTCTACGTCTACATTCTTTATCAAATGATCCAGCTCATTGAATCAAACTCAATCACCACTAAAAGAGACCTCTATTATAGAAACGTCCCCCTCTTTGGCTCCCAAAAAACTGTTGACCGTGCTGTCGACGCCATTGCTAAAAGTCTTAACGTTCAACGTATCGACCTCGGTGTTGTTGCTGCTCCTAAATCTTGCGTCTATATTCCTAATGGCTCTTCAATTACTTTGTTCTCAGCTACTGGTGCATTTCGAGATCTCGTTGGAGTACCTCCTTAAAATTAAACCTCTATTAATACCTATCACTAACTATCAACTTCTTTTTCTATATATATATATATAGGACTCACTCATTCCAGTAGATCTCGTCCCAGTTTATATCCGCCTTAACGGGAATTTCTCCTCTGTTCTTGTTGTTGAAAAGGAAGCTGTTTACCGTCAACTCTGCTCTACTTCTTCTTTATCTTTACAACAAACTCTAATTGTCACAGGTAAAGGTTTCCCAGATCTTAGCTGCAGAGTATTTCTAGCTACCATCTCCGTCTCTCATCCAACTCTCCCCATTTACGCTCTCGTCGATTCAGACCCCCACGGAATTGCCATTTATCTCGCTTACAAGTCCGGTAACCTTTCTTCCCAAGCCCCACCAGTCCCTAGACTTGAATATCTAGGTGTTTCGCTCTCAGAATATTCAAACAAGGCTCTTAGAAAAGCAGAAACTCATTGGATTGACTTGAATCATAGAGATGTGACTCTAGCAATTTCCTTAATTACTTCACGAAATTGGTCTTCTTCATCTTGCTTAGAATTTAACCCAGTCTTGCGAGAACTTCAAATGGGCCTCTTTTTGTTCAAAAAAGCTGAAATGAACAATGCAACAGTAGTTAGTAATGATGAAAAAATTGGCAACTCCATTGTAGACTATGTAGAATTCAAGTTGAGGCCTAATCAACTGTCTTGATATTAGTTTATCCTATAAAATATAAATCTAATCTGTCTTTTTTTCAAAAAAAAAATAAAAATAAAAAAATAAAAAATTTCTCTTTACACTTTCTTCTTCTTCTTCTTCCGAACAAGCATCCCTCCAAGAACTGTCGGAGTACTCAAACTACCACTCTCCACACCATCTTTACTCTTTTCCTTCTTTTCTTCCTTGACTTTCAAAGTCCCCTTCACCACCAAATGCTGGCCTCCTACTGATGAACCCTTATCTTCCGTCTGTTCCAAAAGGTACTTACTTGCAGCCTCATTCATCTCAGTTTCTGCATAATCTAATGTGGAAATATACTCATAAACTCTATTGAGCTCCCACATTGAAGTTTCCGGTATTTGATCTTTTTCTTCTTCCTCACCATCTTTGTTATTATCATAAACACTAGACTCAGAACATACCTGCATCTCAACACCAATCACACCAACAACAATGCTTAACCGAAACTCCTGGCGTGCCTCAAGTTCTGCCCAAAAAAGCTGCTGTGATGTCCGTGTCGACCTACCTACAGTCACCAAATCGTCCACATACCGTGTCAATGGGTCATCTGGGAACCGCGGCACGCACCGAATAGCTCCAACATTTCTTTCTCCATCTGGCCAAAATACATCTCCTACCTGCCAATCTACCTTGTTACTTTCTTTCTTTTCCTTTTCTTGTTCTTCTTCTTCTTCTTCTTCTTCTTCTTTCTTCTTGGGTAAATACCCCCCACGAATCCGCGCGGCTTCTGCCCCAGGAATCTGCAACCGAGCTCGCCCAACCCTCTCCACAACCTTCTTGTCCCGACATACATTATCAAGCACACGGATCCACCACCGCACTAACTCGCTCCCTGTCGCAACATGCTTGCGTCCTGCACTAACAGCAGCCGCATCTCCAGAGTACGGGAACAGATAATGTTTTTCTGCACGCGCAAACAAACACACCCTGACAGGCGCCTTTGGATTCACAAAGCTGCGCAGCACACCTCTTATAATGCCTTCCGTGAGTTTCGCATATGATAGCTTGGCCCGAGGAGTATCATTCTTTTGTTTTGTCAGCACATAATGGCCAGTGGTATCAGCCTTGGACACAAACAAGGTTTGCATTCCTTTGTCACCAGGCATCGCATACAAAAACATCTCAATCGCATACACTATGATCCCCTGGTATATTACAACAACAAGTGCTCGCGAAGATGTGTCTGGGTCCGATTTTGCAGAATATTGCGCGTATGCTGGTGTCGCTGCTCCTCCTTGAACCTTAGTACGCTTCGGCCGCCGATAAACTAGGGGTCGTACCTTGGCAGGACGTGTTTGATACCATAGTACGTCAAACTCATCAGCAGCTTCTGGAAGCCCAGCTGCAAGTTCCTCTAAAACTGCCTGTCTTGTGCTTTTGGTCATCTTATGAGATGGTTGTTTTGTTTATTTGGTTGTAGTGAGAAAAAAAAAAAAAAAAAAAAAGTTGGTTGTTTACTTTTTTGGTGATTATTTATTTACTTTTTTTTTAAAGACTTTATTTATTAAACCCACACAATACATTCTCTCTAATAATGGTTGACATACTCAGACCGGTACTCCTCCGGGTAAAAGACATGACGTTCCGTGGGACCCGCAGTCAATATGGCCATGCGGATGACACCACCAGAGCTGCCATCCCACTTGATGGCCTCAGCCAGTGATGTCTTGACAAACTGGATGGCCTCCTCCTTGGTCATGCCAGACTTAAACTTTTGGTCGCAGTAACCGTAAATGTAAGAAGATCCGGAACCAGCAATTGCATATTCTGCTTGGTGTATACTACCACCCAGTGGTACGCTGTACACCTCGCCAGCACCTGTCGATTCGTTGAACCCGGCAACAATGATGCCAGCAGTCAGGTTATCCTTATTGTTGTAGCACAGCTCTTGGAACACAGCCGATGCAATTTGAGGGGTCGGTGCCCGGTTATTCTGTGCGCTGAAAAGAAGAAAAAAAAAAAAAAAAAGTTAACAAAAAAAGAAAGTCATATAGCTCAATTGAACTTACCTGTAGAGAGACAGATGGTACTTGACAATATCGGCGACTGCCTGGGTATCTGCGGCAGATCCAGATCTATATATTCTGTCAGTATTAATCAGAGGTGAATTTCTATTGAAAAACGTACCTGCCTAAACCAGAAAAGTTAGTAAATCAAGGCTTCATTGTTCAATTGTTTTTTAAAAAAACTTACAGCACCAAATCTTATCGTGGACTTTTGTGAGCTTGTCAGTGACTCTATAAAAAAAAACACTTGTTAATAAAAAGCTGGTTCATTCACTGCTCTTCAAAACGCGCCATACTCACCTGTTGGCAATAAAAGATCCAGTTGTAGTTCTACTGTCGGCACCCAAAATGACACCACCGTCAAATACCACAGCCATACTAGTAAAAATTACCGTTAGTCAATTTTATTGTTTTATAAAAACCTGTTGTTATAACTTACATGGATGTTCCGAGACTAGATACAAAAAATTGTTAGTAGTTGGTTAATCAAACCAGAACTTTAGAACTCACTTGACTTCACCCTTCTTCAGGTGGTTCATATCGACGCTAATTCCATTCATTGTTGCTTATTCTTCTTTCTATTCCAATTTTTTCTCTCTATTAATATTGCTATTATTTGTGTTTCTGTTGATGCTTAAAACTTGTCGTTGTTGGTTGTTTTCTGCGGGTCGTTCCAAAATTGATATCAAAAACCTCCGCTGGTGGTGGCGAAAATTCCCAGCTGGTGGCAACTCAAACTCACATACCCATATATACGCACCCAGTACCACATCTACCGCAAACCTTCCCTCTAACCCAATCCTCCACCTCGTCCTGTCCTTTCCCTCCCAAAAAAATTTTTCATCACCAAACAGGGCCTTTTTTTTAATCCACCACCGCCACCACAACAGACTTTCCAATCAAAAGTCCTCCTGCAATGTCCTTTGACCACATCTTCACAGTCCCTGCTCCGGCCTCGGAAACTTACACCTGGGGTCCCCCTGCCGAAATTCCCACTGCTATCCGCTTCAATGATGTCCCCTATGCTCCCTACTCCAAGAGCGACAAGCTAGGCAAGCTCTCTGACTGGGCTGAGTCCGCAAAGGACAGCAAGGACAATAAGCGCAATGCTCGTGGCCACAAGGATCCATACCACGCTTACGGTGCCTCTGCTGCTGCCTCCTTCTTTAACACCGAGGATGCTGCCGACAACTCCTCCTTCTCTATCGTCGACTCCAGCAAGACCCCCAAAACTCGCCAAACTGCTATCCTCAAGGCAAACTCAAAGGGTGGTTCTCGTGGTTCTTCCGGCCCCAACTCTTCTTCTGCCGGTGGCTCCTCTGGTGGTGCTTCTGCCTCTAGATCTAATGGTCCTGGCAGAAACGGTCCTGCTGGCTCCAGAAACCTCGCTGGCGGCCCTGCCTCCGGCCCCAACTCTCGCAGACGCTACGGCTGGAAGGAAGAGCGACCCCAACGCAACCGCGATGCTTCCGTCAAGGTCGCCGAGGGCTGGGAACTCATCCAATCCAACGGCTTCAACGAGCTTCAGAAACTCTCCTTCGACGTCAAGTCTGGTACCGACGTTGGCAGCTACGGTTACGTCTACCCTTACAACCGTGCTCTTGACAAGCCCAACCACCAACAAAAGCTCAAGCTCCCCGACAGAGCCATCTTCAATACTACCACCTCTTACGATCCCGTCATCCAGAAGCTCGCCGCTGCCAATACTGCAACCATCTTTGCCACAGACTCTATCCTTTCTCTCCTCATGTGCACAACAAAGTCTGTCTATCCTTGGGATGTTATCATCAACAAGGCTGACGGCAAGATCTTCTTTGACAAGCGTGACGATGGCCCTCTCGACTACGTCACTGTCGACGAAAATACTTACGAGCCCCCCTCGGATACTTCTGACAAGAGCAACATCAACTCGGCAACCAACCTGGCCAACGAAGCCACCTACATTAACCAGAACTTTGCCGCAAACGCCATTGTCGAAAGCAGCGCCCAAAAGATCTCTCTCGAGCACCCCCACCCCTTCTTCAACCCAGACGATGCCGAAGCTCTTCCCCCACTCCCCTCCGGTTACCGTTACCGCAAGTTCAACTTGGCCGAGAACCCAGAGGATGAACCCATCAACCTGGTTGTGCGAACCGAGGTCGACGCCCTTGTTCCTGGCAAAACCGACCAGTACGTCACTGTCAAGGCCCTCAACGAGTACGGCCCCAATGGCATTCTTTCGTGGAAGAACAAGTTTTCCAACCAACGTGGTTCCATTGTTGCTGCTGAGATGAAGAAGAACCTCAACAAGCTCTCCCGCTGGACCATCGAGGCCATCCTTGCCGGCTCAAGCAGCATGAAGATTGGTTTTGTATCTCGTAACTCCCCCAAGGACAATGCTCACCACATTATTGTCGGTGTTGTTGGTCAGGTTCCCGAGCAGTTTGCCAACCAACTTAACATCAAGCTGTCTAACGGCTGGGGTATCATCAAGTCTATTGTCAACATTATTGCTGCTCTTGACGACGGCAAGTATGTTCTGATGAAGGACCCTAATGCCAGTGCTATCAAGATTTACAGAGTCCCCGCCAATGCCTTTGATGAGGACGAGGAAGAAGAAGAGTAAATTGAAGGTGTTTGTTGGATTAAAAAAAAATAAAGGGAATATGAAAAAAAAATAAAAAAAAATAATAAAAGTGATTTTGTTTGTAAATTCTAGTGTATGAAAGTTCATGTTTTACTATATTTGGTAATGTTTTTGATTCCTAAAAGCTTTGTAGCTATTCTTTTTAACATGGAAATTTTGAAACCACGTGCCAACGTTGCTACGGCCTCTATAGAACTGAATGATAGTGTTAAAGAATCCTATCATTCGTCATCATCTTCATGATCCTTTTAAAATGATTACCTGTATATCTTGATTCTAATATGATACCACTGATCCTTCTTACTGTACCAATAAGTTTCTTGGTAATCCCCCATTACCTGCATCTTCAAAATTCCAGTTGTCTAATTCTGTTTTTATTTGGCTGTGAAAAAACTTTAGAATCTTGAGTCATCTCTTTTCATAAATCTCTATCATCTATGCTTTCTAGGTAGCTTTGCAATTGGTGATTTTCCATTCAAAATCACTAATAGTTGATTAATAAAGCATTTTTCTCTGATTACAAAACTTGAATAAACTTCAACATAATACAACATAACTTTCAACAATATTGTTTATAGTATATTTGTTATTTTTTTGTATTAAATTGATTTTGATCACTTTAGCAATGTAGGTTTGTGTACTTTATATAGGATTGCAATTTCTAAATTTTTAAGTCACGTGGGCGTCTGGTGTAGTTGGCTATCACGTTCGCTTAGCATGCGAAAGGTCCCCGGTTCAACTCCGGTGTCGTCCATTTACTTTTTTTTAATCCTTTGAATGTTTTATATTTTTTTTTAATAATCCGAAAAAAACAATTTGTATTTGCAGAGGCAATTAAAAAGAAAATAATATAAAATAAAATCTTTATATTAATAGAGGTAAATTTCAGCTTTTATCAGGATTATAAATCAATGTAAATGATTATTTTAATTTGATTCAAACATCTTGGTGTGAAAAACTAACTCATGTATTAGGAGTGTTATTTAATTATTCCATACAATGTATTTTTGCTTCATACCCATTAATCAGTGATTAGATTTTGAAAATATCTAAATTAATTCTCAAACTCTACCAAGATTAAAATAAATTCATGAAAAGAAAAGAAAAAAACAAATTTAATTTTATTTAATTTACGATACCATATCATATTTTAATTATAATAAAGCCACAATTAAATACAAATATTTATATATATATTTTTAAATAATAACTAAAGTTAGTCATTAACCAGTTAAGCGGACTTCACTTCTTCTTTAGCAACTTCCTCTTTAGCAGCAGCTTCCTTGGCACGTTCTTCTTGAATTTTCTTGAAGTCCTCTTCGTCATAGACATTACCGTCAATATCAAAGATACCAGTGGCCTCAAAGAATTGAATAACAGCCTCACCTTCTTCAAAAGTCATGGTAGCCAACACTTTGTTAACAGATTTCAAACTCTTGGATTCAACAGCAGTACGCAGTTCGGGACTCAAAGTATCATAAGCTTCACGGATTTTGCGGATATTCTCGTCTTCGCTATTTTCAGGTGGAATAACAACAGAAAGATTGTCTCCAGAAGCCAGACTTGGTTGCAACTGAACAATGGCTTCTCCCTCATCTTCGCCACTAGCCTTTTCCTGCTCAGAAAGAATGCGGCATCTGTTCTTAATATGATTGGTTGTGAATTCAACATCCTTTAAGAATGATGCACGAGCGTGTTCAGGTCCTCTTAAAACACGAGCAAAGAAGACACGAATACCGTCAGGACCGAAAGTCGCAGAGTACTGAAGAATCAAGGCATTGTAGACTATGCGTTCGGTAGCAGCCTCATCACCAGCAAACTGCGCAGCAAAGGCCTCCATCATTAAAGCATCTTTTTCGCGCTCGGAGACAATTTCACGATGCTTATGCAAGAAGGATTCAGCGGCATCATATTCACCAATGGGGATTTTTGAAAACTCGAGAGCTGCAGCAGAAGGCTTGATATTGTCTGGATCGTCATCATCATCATCGGTGGCAGCAGCAACAGAAGCGGCAGGTGCAGATGTAGATGCAGATGCAGGCGCAGAAACAGCGGGCTTAGCTTCTGGGCTATTAATGACTTCAATTGATTGAGTTTTTGTAGAAGAGGAAGAAGTGCTAGGTTCAGCGGTTGCAGCATTCTTATTAATAAGAGTTGAATCAAAGCCCGTGTGAAGATCTTCAGAAATGATATGTTTGTTACGTTCTTCTATTAGTTCATCGTATCTCGTTTTCCCCTTTTCAAGCATATCATTCAGTTTGTCCTTGTGTTCCTTGATCTCCTGTTCATATTTGGCAGCCAGATCGCTTGCATTGTCTTCGACGTTGGTAGCCGTGGCACCAATTTTCTCAAGAACCTGCTCTACCAAGCTGTCCAGCATATCATCGTAGGTAGGTGCTTGAGGGTTGCTAATAGGTCGCGACTTGCGCGATTCGCCACGGGCAATCTTGAGACTGTATGGGACTTCACGCAAAAATCGGCGCTGAGTATCCTCGTCTTTATCCTTGATGGCAGCAGCAACACCATCTTGTAGCCTTCCGAGCCAAGCAACTAGCTCAGTATTTACTTCTGTACTTGTTTCAAGAGCACGAATTTCCTGTTTGTTGCGTTCACGCTTCTCATGAATATCTCTTTGTTTCCAGCGAATAAAAGATTTTTTGTCGACGTTAGGGTGGACTAAGAACGATGTTAGTGATGCGTTATTCTAAGATTTGAAAACAACAAACAAAAAGAAGATGACTATATACCTTCAATATCAGAGTCATCAGAGAGCTCCAACTTGTCCCATTTAGAGTAGTCAATAACCATTGTGATTTTAGTATAATTTAGAAAGAATTGCTTAGGATTGTTGTTTATTTGAGATTTCTGGCTATTTTTATAATTTTTAAGATGTGAGAAAAGAAGTTTTTTTTGGCCACCAAAGAAGAAACAAAATAGGATCTTCCATCGATTTCTGTGAATTACGTAAGGATTATATAATTGTTATATTGAGCTTTAAGACTCGGGTTTGAAGAAGAAGACTTCAGAAATAATAACTAGTAATAACTAGAATTACTGGAATAACTAGAAAAGAACAAAAAATGAAAACAAAAAAAATTAAAAATAATCTTTTAAGTTATGCTGAAGTTTTAATTTACCAATAAAAAGTCCAAATTTCTTTAGTTGTTTTGAGGGTAAATGTTTTGCTTTAGATGTCATTTTGATCTTACTACACTTTTAATCTTTTTAATCAATGAGTTTAATACAGAATAATTAATTAGCATTAATAACAAATAATGCAAAATATTACTTTAGTTGATCGGTCGATCTATTTTGAACCAAAAATAAATTAATTGAAAGTTGGAAGATTGACGATATTATCTCTACTATTTGTAACGTATTACATATAACCAACAAATCGAATAATAAAAATTTATTGACTAAAAAAGAAGGCAAAGCCATCTAAAACTTTTTTTAAATTATTTTTATTTCTTTTTATCTGTTATCTTTGTAAATTCAAATCCATTATCATTATCATCGTCAATACTTTCATCTCCAGTTTTTTTTATCTACAAAACGTCACAGCCGTATACTTAAGCCTCACTAGATGACATTACAACTTTGATTTTTGTCACACAAAAAATTTTTTTTGTTAAGCGGCTCCTCCCAAATCTCTGCATTTTCACCCATCCAATTTTTTTACTCCTGAACATTTACATAGTAAATAATAAACAAAACCATCAAAAACCATCACATACTGCAAGAATGGCCCGATTAGCATCAAGACCTTCAGTTTCACTGATCAACAAACCTAAGAAAAAGATCTTTGGAAGCGACGATGAAGGTGATGCATCGATATTAACTGGTACCAAGAAGCAAGTAGAGGAGGAAGAAGAAAAGAAGGAAGAATCAGAGGAAGAAGATAGCGATGATGAAGCCCCTGAGGAAGAAGGATTCAGCCAAGCCAAAAACACACTGTCTAGAAAACAGCGCGAGCAACAAGAGCTTATCATTAAACAACGTTTAGAGGAACGTGAGCAGCGCAGAGAACGTGATGAGCAACTTCGGAAACAAAAGGAAGAATCCAAGATACGGCAGAGTGCCAAGGAGGCTGCACACATTGAAAAGCTTAAGGCTCAAGAGAAACAAAAGGAAGAAGAAATAAAAGCTGAAACAGCATTACTTGATGCCAGTTTACTTGCCGAGATTGATGAGCAGGCCTTGGTGCTTCCCCGGGGGAAAAAGACCACATTTAATGCGGCGACCAAGAGCTCATCTCTGAAAAAGAACAATAAGGAGTCATTTAAAGAGACTACCAGTAAATTAGCTTCTAAAACAAGAGAATCCACAATTAAGGTGGTCAAGAAGGGGCCTGTTAATGTGGCTGTGTTGAAGAAAAACCGCAAGAGTATGATGCCACCAAAGGCGCAGATTGTGGACGAGATGCGCAACAAGTGGTATACTGAGAGTCAAAAAACAGTCGAACGACGTGTGCGAAGGTGATGGATTGTTTTGAAGAGTTTGACATTAGAAGTATTGCATTATTAATAGAATTATGGGATGTGAATATTTGAATATTTGAATACTCGTAGTATTAGAAAAAAAGCTATAGTATGGTACAGCAGCAGTAGCAACCAACCATTAATTTTAGAACGGCTTGGATTTTCTCTTTTAGTTTCTCCACCACATTTACTTACTTCATTTTTTTATTTCAACAATTTTCAAAGAAAAAAATATATTGACATATCATGTCTCGGCATACAGCTCTCTACAGCATTTTAAACCTAGATCCTGATGCATCTCAGGATGACATCAAACGCGCATACAAGAATTTAGTCCGAATCTATCATCCAGACAGAAATGCAAATCCGTCTTCTCATGAGCAGTTTATTCGAATCCGCGATGCATACCATACTTTGTACAATCTTGACACCCGAGCACTTTACGATCTGTATGGCCGAATTGTTGAACCCCCTCTTCGTGGAAATGATGATGAACGAGAAAGTAATAATAGACCTTTATATAATGAAACTCCAACAGTACCAACATCAGAAACTCGAAGACCAAGTACACAGTACTCTTATACATTTAACACTTCAAGAGAGCCTAGAGGGTCCAATGTTGGAGATTCACCAAGAAGCTCTACTAGCTACAGTTATACCTTTTCTCAAGGAGAAGGTAGCACATATGACCCACGGCCAAATTCCTTTTGTCGCTCAGAAACATTTTCCCATAGCGGGTCAAGCACATCAAGCACATCTTCAGGCCAGAATTCGCCAGCTAGCAATCCGAATGCTAATCAAAATACCAACACCAGCACATCTTCAACAAATACACAGTTCCGTGTGGTACTCAGGCTTTCCATTGTAGATGTATATAATGGATGCACGCGTATCGAACAAGTTGAACGACGCGACCACCGAGGTCAAATAGCCCAGTATCCGTTTCGTATCGAAATTAAGCCTGGTACTAAGTCTGGAACAACAGTGACTTTCCCTCAGTCTGGTAGTTATAATTCGGCGACAGGCACGTGGCAAGACCTTGTTTTTGTATGCGCTGAAGACGATGGTGGACCAACAGCAATATTTTCACGCCAGGACTACGATCTTCATATGAATTTTGTGGTTTCTCTGCGAGCTGCCATGACTGGAATTGACCGAGAGATTGTGTTACCTGGTGGTAAAAAGCACAAGGTTAAGGTAGACACTCCGGTACAGACAGGACACAAGGTTGTGTACCCTGGGCTTGGTTTTGTCAACGGGCCACTTATGCGGGCGCAACAAACGACCGAGGAGTTGCGCGGGAATCTGATTGTGCATTTTAAAGTCAAGAAACCCAGCGAGCTGACTCCTGCGCAGCGCAAGGCTATTGAAAAGCATTTCAATTAAAGATGGATTTTAATTTCTCATATAATGGGCAGTAAGAAAAAAAAAGTGAGAGAAGCAAGGTTGAGTCTAGGAAACACGACGACGTCATCATCACTATTATCGGAGATTTAAGGATAAACTAAATCTGGGGTATTTAAGGACCGAGACCCGGTACTATGACATTCATACTAAAAAAACCTCCATTTACGGAACCCTTAATAACGACGGGTCTTGAGTCCAAAATTCTTCTTGATCTGGCAGGTGCCCACGTGCGTCCATTTCAAGCACTCAATTGGCGGAATCTATTCTCACTGATATTAATATTATTTTTACTCTGCCCCATCAAGTCACAATATATTGACAAACACAAATCAAACACATCCGGATATTATTATACAAGTAATTCATTATGGCTCGAACTCATTATGAGAGACTAGGGGTGGAACCGAATGCCACTGCCGAGGATATTGAATTGGCGTACCGCATGCAAGCAACTACGCTCCACCCTGATAATTCTGGTACAGGCGATGCTAAAGAGTACCGTAAAGTTACAGAATCGTATCAGTTGTTGTCTAACCCAGAAAAGCGCCGCGAGTACGACAAAGGAAAGACACGGACGCGGTCTTTTGGATTTTTCTCTTCTTCCAACAGAACCTTCACAATCTCTTCCGACAATGGAAGAAGCCCTAGAGGGTCTCCAAGCCTTGATGACGATATAGCTAGTGAGACCGTTTATTCAACCAACTCGAGGCGTACATCGGGGCCGGATCCCACTGCATTTTACACACATGGACCTTCGTCTCCGACATCTCCGACATCCCCGACATCACCATTGACAATGCCTCCAGGAACTGGCCAGCCAGTTGGTGACAAGTTTGAGGTATCGTTGTTATGCACACTAGAGGAACTAAGTACAGGAAGCACCAAGAAGCGAACACTGAGGCGGCAAAAGCAAGACGGACAGATGGAAGAAAAGGAAATACTTGTTGTCATTGAGCCAGGCTACAAGTCAGGGACGCGTATTACATTCCCTGGGAGCGGCGATTACCTTGCACATTTGCGGAAATACCAAGATGTTGTTTTTGTGATTGCAGAGCGGCGGCATGAGAGATTTGTGCGTGATGGAAATGATTTGATCACAGAGCTAGAGATTTCTTTTCGCGAGTCCATGGTTGGATTTAACAAAACAGTAACGTTACTGAGTGGCAAGGAGTTTTACGTGGCTTATAACAAGCCGGTGGACACTGGGTACGAAATTATTCATGATGGCCATGGGATGCCTAACCGGAAAAAGCAGCTCGAGCGTGGGATGCTTCGGGTGCGCATCAAGGTTGTTCTGCCTAAAACTCTATCCAAATCTCAAAAGGAGGTTTTCTATAATCATTTTCCCGAGGAGTAACTATTTATATTTATTTAGTTATAATCATCATCACTTTCACAAGCCACTCATAATTTCGTTCAAAGCTTTGACCACCTGGTAGACTTCTTCATGAGTGTTGTAGAAATGGTTGGGCGCCAGACGAATGACACTGGGCCGGCGCTCGTCACCAATGATACCACGGGCATCAAGCTCCTCAAACACATGCTCCATAGTATCACGCGAAAAAAGCAGTGACAATTGAGCACCACGTTGCACAGGATCTTCAGGCGTAATGATGGTAAAAGAAGGCTTCTTATCTTCGTCAAACTCAGTCACCGGAACATAAAACTTGGACTCGGCTAATAGTCTGTATAGAAATGTAGTCATGCTAATGCTGCGAGCACGCAGGACACCAATACCACCAGCCTTTTCAAAGAGTTTGAGCGACTCGTAAAGACAAACAGTGTTCAATACCGAAGGGTTAGACATGCGGAAACCTTGAGCGCCAGGAATAGCATCAAAATCTGGAAGCATAGCAAAACGAGTGGACTCGTTGTTACCCCACCAGCCTGCCTGACGTGCTCGCTTATCTTTGGCATGTTTGCGATGAACAAAAATACCACCGATACCACCAGGGCCGGAATTCAAGTACTTGTATGAGCAAAAGCATGCAAAGTCGACACCCCAGTCGTGCAATCGCACGTCGACATTGCCGGCGGCATGGGCCAGGTCCCATCCCACAACAATATCCGGCGACGCAGCATGAGCGTAGCTTGTGATTGTTTCCATGTCAAAGTACTGGCCAGTGTAGAATTGAATTCCAGAAAAGACCACGGCAGCCAGAGAGTCTTTGTGCTCGTCAATGGCGGCCAAAATGTCCTCGGTGCGCAGTGTGTACTCGCCAACTCGGGGCTTGAGCGGAACAAGCGCTGTTTCTGGATTTAACCCGTGCATCTCAGCTTGTCCTTGAAACGCATACAAGTCCGAAGGGAACGCTTTGTCTTCGAATAGGATCTTGTAGCGGGCTTGTGTGGGCTTGTAAAAAGCCGCAAGCAGGGTATGCAAGTTTCCTGTAAGGGTATTCATGGCAGCAACCTCATCTTCGCCATCAGCACCAACTACAGCGGCCAAAAGTGGAGCCAGAGGTTTATCGATGGAGACCCAGGGTTCAAGGCCGTCGCCGGTCGCGTCATTACGACGAAAATGTGCAACTACACCGCGTGCAGCCCAGGCATTGAGTTCGGCATCGACAGCAGCGCGTGTAGCTTTAGGCATAAGACCAAGCGAGTTTCCGCAAAAATAAATTGATGGAGAAGACGAGTCTTGAGTTCCTGAAGTTGGTTTGGTCAAGCCGAGGGATGCGAGGGTCGGGATGGCAAAGAGGTGGGCGTGTGAGGGGTATTGCGAGTCCAGAGCCTGAGCGGCCTGGCGGGTAAGAGGTACGGAAGCCATTGATAGAAATGCCAAAATTTGATAGAAAATTGAAAAAAATTTTTGTGGGAACTTGGAAAGATGAGAATCGAGCGAGCAGAAAAGGATTTAGTTAAAAGAGCCGGTCATATTTAAATGAGCTGTTTAAGAGTGGTGATCTAGAAAAAACGGGATAGGGATGGAGTCATAAGCCGGGTAACTGTGGAGTAAAGCAAGCACCGAAGCCCGGAGACCATCCAGGATGAAAGCTTGAGTAACTGAATGAAGTCGGGTCTAATGAAGGGTGTATGAAATATATTGATATCTTTGAATTTTGAGTAATCATGTTGTGCTCCGGTCGTTAATGTGTTTCTAAAAATAATGCAACCAGGTCGGTTCTCAAGAAAAGTAGATTTTTCAACCTGAAACTTGTATATAAATATATATATATATATTTTAAAGTACCGAAGGTCCAAAGCTTTCATTCATAAAAAATATACTTTTATAGTCTCATTTGTGTTAATTCGTCTGTTAATGTCCCGGTTGTACCGAGTGTCCCGTTACAGTTACAACCTTGTTTTAGATTTTTTTTAATTTTTTTTTTCTTACTTGTGGCCTCTGAAAATTTTTGTCACCACTAAAGAAAAATTGCAACCGTCACTGAAATCATCACCACCACCACCACCACCAAAACGTACCAGCAAACAACACCTTTCCATCCATTCCAGCAACTTCCGAACCCGCACGCACTACCACCATCACTTTCTGTGCAATCCATCAACCTATTCTAAACAAACAACTAATCATCCTGCTGTTCCAATGGTCTCTCGTAATCAGAACGGCAAACTCAGTATGTATTTGTGGTTACTGTACTATTATCTTTTGAGCCTTATCCATGGGAGCAACAAACTAACCATAGTCTTCCTCTTTTTTTCTTCTTTCAGGCCATGTATCTGGCACCACGTTATGGAGCGCATCCGGCGCGTCAAACTCTCCGGCAGGACAATATACATCAGTTTCGTTGTCTACGCCATCCTCTTCTTCTTCATCCTCCATGTATGCCTCGCGCGCGGCGAGTGCGGGCATGACGACAACTTTTGCGCAAGCTGTCAACGGCGGCGGTAGCGGCAACAGCTTCATATCCGGCTCAGGTATATCGAGCACACCATCGACCGCAGGCGCATTTTACAGCACGGCAGCGGCGTCAGGGAATGCCTCAGCTGCATATATGCAAGCGCAACAACAAGCCCAGCAGCATGCTCAGCAGCAGCAACAACAACAGCCGCTCGCATCTCTTGATCCTTCGGATTTCCCGGCGTTAGGAGTTGCTAGTAATACCAACGGAGGGAATACCCTGAATGCGGCGTCGCGAGCGAAAAACGGGTCTCAAACTGGAGTTGCATCAAGTAGGCCTGGATCTTCGTCGGCACAACCGACAGCAGCAGCAGCCTCAGACTCAAGTAGGTCAAATGGTCCACCTCCAGGGCTTGGTGGGACAGCACAAACAGCAGCAGCAACTTCCTCGAAAATGTCCCCACCACCGCCGTCGGGAGACATTACTTCGGGAGCAGCAGCGGCAGCGGCAGCAGGGTCGGGGTCGAATGGGGGTAACGATTTCCCTGCGCTGCCGAAAAATGGTGACTCGCGGCCGCCAAGCAACGGCAAAGCGGCTTTGGCAAATCCATCCCAGAGCACAAGCACAAGCACAAGCACAAGCACGACAACGAATAGTAGTAATAACAATAGCAATAACAGTACAAGCAATAGCAGCACGAGCGATAGCAATTCAAGCACGAGCACCCCTAGTGCATCAGAGCCCACCGGCAGTAAGAACGGCGAGATAATATCAACGTTACCAAGCGACATTGAAAAGTTTGGCATGAATGGTCTGCTGAGCGTGATTCGCATGGAAAACAATGATGAGACCGCAGTTGCAATTGGTAGTGATCTCGGGACTCTGGGATTTCCCAGTAACCGACCGGATGGTAAGATTTCACGATATTTGACTGCTTCGTGGTCTGAAGATGCAGTTGGAGCGCTGACACCTCCAGGAGGAGCTGCTGCTGCTGCTGCCCAGGGGACAACAGTTTCTGGAGCGGCACCTGGATCCACGTTACCAACTCCCCCACAGCGGCCGGAACCTCTTTACGTTTTGCCACCATGTTACCAGGTTGAGCGACCCACCGGAGCTGCGCATGAAAAAATCCAGCAGTACCATGACGAGACGCTGTTTTACATTTTCTACACGATGCCACGAGATGTGATGCAGGAGATGGCAGCAATGGAGTTACAGGCGCGTAATTGGCGGTTCCACAAGGAAATGGGTTTATGGTTGACCAAGGACCCGTTGTCGGAGCCCGTGCAGCAGAGCAATACTGCGGAGCAAGGTGTTTATATTTTTTTCGATCCATTTACTTGGGAGAAAGTCAAGAAGGAGTACTTTTTGGTTTACTCTAGCATTATTTGAGTGAATGAAAGAAAATAAATACTGAAAGAACTTGGAAATGATTTTTACAGAAAGAAAAAAAAAAGAAAATATTAAAAAAAAAGATTTTAAACAAGAGATTTGATAAAAATGATAAAAAAAAAAGAATAATAAAAAAAAGAGTTAATCCAAAGTTTTTAAATTTCAGGTCTATTTCACCCTCCAAAGTATAAGCCCTATTGTTATTGTTATTGTTTTTTTTGTACTTTTAAAAAAAAAATATTTATCATTTTTTTTTATAAATTGGTCATCAATTCGTTATATTTATCTACACATATTGTCAAAGGCAATATTTTTTTTTCACTTTATCAGTAACCAGCTGGTGCGCCACGTTTGCGCCACCAATCAGCCACAGCACTAATTTTACCATGCTCTGCGCCTTGCTCGCGTTTCAAAACATCGTGGTAAAGTCCATTCGCAACGCTTCCTGGAGGACCAAACATGACCTTGTGACCTTTGTTTGCCAAAGCATGTGCGGCATGTGCCGGGGCACCGACTTCGAGCACGGCTACATGCGGAAGTAGCTGGTGATGTATGCGCGACGACTGGATAGTTTGTGCAAGTGAAATACGGTAAAAAAGTTTGCGGACAATTGCTTGGAACACAGTAGTCAAAATGCGGGATCCTCCAGATGCGCCAATAATCATCTCCACGGCCTCATCAGTACCGTCGGGTGATTGCGAGGCAGTAATAACGGTTGGGGTGCATGACGAAAGCGGACGCTTGAACGGGGCCACGTAGTTGTAGATTGAAGGTGCAAGACCGAACGCGTTGCTTGTTCCTGGGACAGAAAAGTCGTCCATTTCATTGTTAAGGAGTATTCCAGTTACAGGGTCCGCGACCAGCGCGCCGAAAAATAAATTGACTGTGGTGGTCATGGCGACTCCAAGCCCATTTTCGTCTATAATGGAAAAGTGGGTTGTACCGTGGGGGTCTACAGATTCATAAGCTGGATCGTAGTACTCCCATGGGTGAGTTTTTGTGTCTGAGACATTGGACTGAGCAATTCCTTGAGAAAACTGTTTGGAAATGATTCGTGCAATGGCCGCTGAATTGTCAATATCAACAAAATCGCCGAGCTGTGAACGCGAAGAGCCCATCCACTTCATTGTTTCAACAAGTCGTTGTGTGGCGATATCTTCAAAGTCCACCCAGTGATCAACATCTTGATTATTTGCAGAACCAGTTTTTCCCCATTTTTTGTGAAGCTCCTCTATAACGTTGAGTCCGAATAATAGAACAGGACCACTAGATGGGTTATTCATGGTATAGACTCTTCTGAGAGCCCCGTCTCCAAGATCAAGTGTTGTTTGTTGCGGGGTTGAGATTTCGACTGAGTAGTTTGCGAAATCTGATAGCGTTGCAATTCCTCCAGCTTTTTCAATAGCTTTTACAAGGTATGGTGCGATAGGGCCTTCTGGGTCATAAAAAACTGCTGAAGACCCGTTCTGTGCAATCAAGTCTAAGGTTCTTGCAAGAAATGGGCGGCGAACAATTTCTCCGTAGACTTTGGCACGCAAGTTGCCACTGGGCGGAGTAGATGTGTGGTGGTGGTATTCATGCCCCAAACTGTCATTCCCCAAACCGTCGTCTGGAGGAGTTTGGCCATCTTTGGGGAGTGGGGCATCTGTGAGGAGCCACCCCCACTGTTCTGGAGATTTTACAAAAGTTGACTCCACAGTGGCAAGAGCATGTGCCAAAGGTTCACTCATAGCAAAGCCGTTTCTGTTGAGTTCAGCCACTGGCCGCACGAGATCAGCCCAGGAAAGTTTCCCCGATGTGTATTTTTCAAAAGCGGCGTAAAGTCCTGCGAGCTCGCCTGGAATTGCAATGGCAAGACCGCCTACTTTGGATGCGAGAGGATCGTTACCATTGAACATGTGTTTGTGAGCAGCAGCTGGGGCTCGTTCTCTAAAGTTGAAAGTGTGCGATTTGTTGGCATTTTGTGCGACAACCATGAAGCCGCCTCCACCAATACCAGAGGAAAAGCTGTTGATGGAGCCCAGACACAGTGCCATGGTGACTGCAGCGTCTACAGCAGATCCGCCTTGTTTTAGGATATCTGTGGCCATGTTTGAGCACTGGGGGACGTCTGAGGAGACAGCAGCTTTTGAAAAGACATGAGAGCGGTTATGAGAAGAGTTTACGGAATCTATGGCAAAGGGATCCAGGTTGAGATGTTGGCGGTCTATGGAGGCTAGGTGAGGTGAATACGAGGAGGGGGTTATAGGATCTTGTACTAAGAACCAGGAGAAATTTGATGGTTTGGGGAATACCAGAGACAGGAAGGTTACTGTAGATATGATTATGAGGGCAGTTGTGGCTAGAGCAGTGCGAGTTTTGATGTAAGCGCGGTAAGCAGGCCTGTCTTTTATTACGGGATGCAGGGAGATCCGAGATTTGCAGATCTTTGGGACCGTTTGGATGTGCAAATGTGGTGGTTGATAAGGTATTGTGGCTGGTTGATATTTCATTTTATCGGTTGTGGCTTTTAGAGGGAGCATTTTTAATAAAGGGATGAAAGCAATAGAGAGAAGAATAGTTAGAAGAAAAAAGATTCTGTGAGCTTTTTATATTGACAGATTGGAGGATAAACTTCAAAGTGCACCAGCCACTGAGATGTTAGTTAAGGTTCTTTCTTTTTTTTTTTTTTTGGAGTTGCTGTCATGTAAAAACAGCCGCCCTTGCTGATAAGCTTTTTGAGAAAGGTCTATATTGTCTACAAATGGAGACCGGAAGAGATAAGAGCAAAGTAGAATCCGGGGTATTTATGATTTAACAAACTTGATTTCTAAGGAATGAATTAGAAAAGATTTAAAAAAAAAAATTAGATTTGTAAATATTGGATTTAAAACAAATTTTTACTGGTTTTTTTTATGAAATTCACAAGATCTTTTGAATTTCCTTCAGATAAACTGATTGATTATGGAGACTTTAGAAGGAGTTCTTACCCCTCAACTCTAAAACCATTACGGGCTTTGCTATGATATCAAATGGACGATTTTAAAACAAAAGCAAAAAGTAAATAACTTTATTAAAAGTATATTATAAATATTAATAATATCAATAAAATATAAACTCAAGTGATCATGATTAATGATTAATGATTCCAAATATATGAAGTTGATAACCCCACGTCCAAAGATAAGAAAATAATTATAAGGGGAAATTTTGCATGATTACAAAACCTTAAGCAATAAACCCTGGGGTTTATTTAACTATATTTTCTACTATGGACAAAAGAAACCCCGAAGACTAACATTAAGGTTGCATAAGAATAACATTATCCAATGAGAAGAAAGGAATATATCTAGTAACGCTTTTTTAGAATGTTAGAATACTAATTAAACGCACAATGGTTTGGGAATATGAGCTCTGTTATCCCAAAAGACAGACATGGCATACTCAATCAAAATAGATTCCCTTAAAGCATACTTTGATTTTTTAAAGATTAGAAATCTTATTAGGCCCTAGTTGTTTACCCACTAATTAGGGCTATAAGATAAGAGTCACGTTTTTTACTCCACCGATAACCGTAAATGACTCTTTTTTTTGTTGTTGCTGTGTGGCTTTTGTCTGTTAGTCGGCTCGATTTCTCTCTTTGAAAAATCAACAAGCAAAAAAAAAAATCAAGCTTTTGTTCTATGAAGTACGCATCTCGTGATGAAAAGTACCAGTTTTTTTTTCACCGGCCGGCTGAAAATCAAATCACAAACTCGGGACTGGTTAATCCGTGCGGCGTTGATTAGTCATAATGACATAACTTTAAAATTTTTTCTTGTCGCACCTTTTCAAATTTTTTTTTCTATGGGGCAAATGACGGCGGCAAATCAGAGTTACTCAAGAAAAAAAAAAAAAACAAATCTGAAAATCTCCATTCAACAGCTGTTGAAAAAAAAAAAAAATTTTTTTTTAACGAAGAAATAACAAAGCATCCCCGCCATTCCATTGCCTCTACTTTATATAATAGAAAATCCCCATATAAATGAAATAAAATGTAATATAATAGTTGTAACAATAGCCGATGATTGTGAGTGTGTGTGTGTATGTGGGTTGTTGACCTTTTTAAAAAAAAATTTTTTTTTTTTTGGAAGAGCATGTTGAAAAGTAAATCACCAATTTTGCTATAAAAAAGCGAGGAAATCCGCAACTTTTTTTTTCAAGAAAAACTTTTTTTTTCTTAACAGATTTTTTTTTTTTTTTTTTTTTTTACAGTCAGAATGCAATCTCCATCTTCTGTTCTCATCTTTTTTCATTCATCTTCTGTTTGGCTCAGATAAATATATATATTTAATATATATTTAAGAATTCTCTGGCTTATCTTTTGTTTTTTTGTGTGTCTTGTAAAAAAAAAATTTTTTTTTAAAACCCTCAAAAAATTTAAAAGAATCTCTTTTCCTTCCCACACAACTTTCTCTTTACTTAACTATTCTGAGATTTAAAACATCTTAATCTTCAACCCATTAAAACCACCAGTTTTCGACTAATATATACACATAAATACCCTCAAATATGTACGTTCTTCCCATCTTTTCTTCTCTCATACACCTTAGTTTTTACATGATGACTTTTTGTATTTCTTTTATACCGTTAGACTTCCGAATCTTGATGATTGGAAACAAATACGTTCTGACTATTATTATTATGAAACCTCCTTTTTTTCATTTTTCTTTTAATCAATATTTTGCTAACCCCACATTCTAGGTGCGGAATCTTAGGTTTACTTCTCTCAAACCCCAACGGCACCGCCTCTGGTGAACTCCTCGAAGGAACACACTTTCTCCAGCACCGTGGTCAGGATGCTGCTGGTATTGTTACTTGTGGCCCCCGCGGCCGTTTCTACCAATGCAAGGGTAACGGCATGGCCCGTGATGTATTCACACAGGCTCGCATCTCCCTTCTCGCTGGAAACATGGGCATTGGCCATCTTCGCTACCCAACGGCTGGCTCTTTTGCAAACTCTGAAGCCCAACCATTTTACGTCAACTCTCCATACGGCATTGCACTCTCCCACAATGGTAACCTTGTTAATGCCCCAGCTTTAAGGGCTTACCTCGACGAAGAAGTCCACCGCCACATTAACACTGACTCGGATTCGGAACTCCTGTTAAACGTTTTTGCCGCTGAACTTCAAAACACAAACAAGTCTCGTGTCAATGACGAGGACATTTTCCATGCTCTTGGCGGAGTCTACGAGCGTGTCCGTGGTGCCTACGCTTGTGTCGCAATGATTGCTGGCTATGGCATTCTCGGTTTCCGTGACCCTAACGGTATCAGACCCCTCGTCATGGGCATCCGAACCAATGCCGACGGTACAAAAGACTACATGTTTTCTTCTGAAAGCGTTGTTCTTCAAACTCTTGGCTTCAAGGAATGGTTTGATGTCAAGCCTGGACAAGCAATCATCATCCCCAAGGGTACAATGGAGCCTGTTATTCGCCAGGTCGTCCCACAGCTTTCTTACACACCAGATATTTTCGAGTACGTTTACTTTGCTCGCCCAGATTCTGTCATGGATGGCATCAGTGTCTACCGCAGCCGTCTTGCCATGGGTGACCGTCTAGCAACAAACATCATCAACCGTTTCAAGTCCCGACATGAAATGGCCAAGGAAATCGATGTTGTCATTCCTGTCCCAGATACCTCTCGCACCTCTGCTCTTGAGTGTGCTGTTCGTCTGGGGATCCCATTCCGTGAAGGCTTTGTCAAAAACAGATATGTTGGCCGCACCTTCATTATGCCCAACCAAACTGAGCGTCGCTCTTCTGTTCGCCGCAAACTCAATGCCATGGCTCTTGAGTTTTCCGGCCAAAATGTCTTGCTTGTAGACGACTCCATCGTTCGTGGCACTACCTCTAAGGAGATTGTGCAAATGGCACGTGAGGCTGGTGCAAAGAAAGTCTACTTTGCCTCGTGCGCTCCTCCTATTCGTCACAACCACATTTATGGTATTGACCTGGCTGACACAAAGGCTCTTGTTGCTTACAACAAGACTGAGGAGGAAATTTCAAAAGCCATTGGCGCAGACGCCGTCTACTATCAAACTCTTGATGATCTTGTTGGTGCCTGCTCTTCCCCTGGTGACGAAGAAGCTGGTATCCCCAAGATTGATGAATTCGAGGTCGGCGTCTTCACCGGCACATATATTACTGGTGTTGAGCAGTCTTACCTCGACTACTTGGAAGCTATTCGTGGCCAAAACCAGCGTCTCAAGGAGCAGGAACGCCACGGCATTGCTTCTATTCTTGAGGATCCCAAAGCTGAGGTTGACATTGGTCTCTTCAATCACGGAGACATTGTCGTTTAAAAGAATATTGGAATTTTGGAAGAACAAAGAGGGAAAAGTTTTGGTAGATGGGAATTTTTTTTTAAAATAAAATATTTTTAATGATAGACGTTTAGATAACCAAAAATTAAATACAAAAAGCTTTTTGAAATAATAATTTACATGAACATTAAAACTTTCCAAGGGAATACTGAAATGGTATCAGGGGTATTTAAAAAAGAAAAAAAAGGAGTTTTTTTTGTAAAAAAAAATTAGAAGGAGAATGGGTGGTATTTATACTTTTTTTTTTAGATCGGATTCACCCAATTCTACAAACGCCTTCGGAATGTGCCGCGGAAATACCGGTGATTAATTTTTTTCATTCCATCATGACGGGATTTTTCAATTCTCTCTCATGCCAGTAAGTAAATCATCAACAAGATTAGAGACCTAATTTTGTCAAAAGCGCGAATAGCCGGTGTAGCAAAAAGGATTTTTCAAAGAAAAAAAAAAAAAGTTTGAGATGAAAGTACTGAAATTTTATTTTTTAAAAGTGTTATCAAAAAAAACATTAGGGGATTAAAATGTTCTTGTATTTGAAAGACGTTTTTTTTTTTTGAATGCAATGATTATAAAAGTGATTGATTAAAGTGTGTTGTGCCTAGATGAAAACTCAATTATTTAAAATATTTTAGAAACTATATATATAACTAATTACTCAATGTTACAAAAACTAAACGGAGATTTGAAGCTGGATTATGCAGACGAATATTTCATTTCTTTAGCAAAAAATCCTATTTTATTTTCTTCTTTCTTCTTTATTCATACCAATCACAGTTATTATTTAAAACAATTCATTGTCTTCATTGTAATCTTCAACTTCATCTTCTGCATCCCCACCATATTGATAATCATCAATATCTCCTTCATAATTGGCGTGATTAACTTCTTCTTCTTCCTCATCATCTGCATACCCCCAATTATTATTTCCATTGTTTCTCCAAGCTTCATTCTCATCATCACTCTCCTCCTGATACTGTGAAGACAAGTTCATAGATCTAACAGACATGGATGACTCTGATTCGGGCATCCTTAACACATTTTCCTGACCCTCTAATACAAACCATTGACGAATTGTCTGCCTATTCAACTGATCAATTTGTTCTAAATTTATTTGAAGGTTATCTTGCTCTGCATCCGTTTCAGTCACATCAAAAATCATCCCATCATTATCCCATGGGTGTGTTTCTCTTTCAATAACTCTTGTTCTCATTAATTCATTCTCATTCTCTTCATGATTCACATCTTCATGGTCTAACGTCTCCTCAAATTCAATAGACTCGCCATCTTCACTACTTTCTTCTTCTTCCTGGCTGCCCGTATTCTCTACTTGCTCTTCAATACTACCAAGTTCTGAAAAATTTTGACTCATTGACCAACCCTCCGTAATATCGTCTCTCATAAAAACCCGGTCACCCCAGTCTATGTTGATATTTTCTCCCTCAACATTTCTTTCATCCTCATTGCTCAATTGTAGCATTCGATTATTTAGCAAATTTGAATCTGAACCTTCATTTCTTAGTGATTCATCAGCTGTAAGCACTGCTTCCGAAGAATCTAATGGAGATGAATACTGGGGAAACGCATTAGACCTACCTATTTTGGGCGTCTTAGAGCTTTCATTTTCTTGAACAGGTGACCGGTCAAAAATCTGAAGATTTGTCGGCTGCACACAAACACACCGAGTTTCATTAAATGTTGTTGTTGCTGTTGTTGTTTTTTCAGAGTGATTTAAATTGGTGTCGGTATGACTTAAAGCCGGTTTTTCATCATCTCTCAATATTTTTTCGTCTTGCTCCGTTTCGCTAAGTTCATTGCTCCTAAACTCATCAGGAAAATAAATAATGTCATTTAATTTGATAGGTTTAGACATTACATATACATATGTGTAAAAGTTAATTTAGACTTAAAGCTGATAATTCCAATATTCATGAAAAGATTATGTTGTATTAAAGAAGTAATAGAAAATAAATTAAAAAAAACAATGAAATAAAAGAATTTTTAAAAACAATTCAAAATTATATATAAAATTTTCATTCACTCTTGACCTTCTTTTATCTCTTTAAAAACTTTTCCATGAATTCCATGAATTCTATGATTTCTGTTTTTATGCCAACACAGTACTTACTAACCATTTCTTTTTCTTTTCTTACTACAAATTTATGCCCTTTTACTTTTCATGCAGCTTAGTTGCTGTTCATTCTTTTAACAAAATCACAATATACAACTAAACAAACATCTCAAGTTATCATGCGATTTAATTTTTGATTTTTGATTTTTTTGGAACGTAAATTCAATGGCTGGAAAAGATCAAATATGTGTGTAAATTAGGCCTGTTGCGGCATAATGAAACTTGACATTACGAGACATTGAAACTTGCTGCTGTTAAGTTAATTGGCATTTTAATTGTTTGTTTGGTTGTCTCTACACAAACTATTAAATTTTTATAACACCTACACTATCCTTGAAATTCCCTAATTAGTGTGTCTTTTCAGTATACATACGTATGTTATTTCGGTCGACCCAGACGTCTGAGCGCCCCGAACAAACGGGGAGATAGGCTCTGATGCCAGCTTACGATGGGCAAGGGAACCCTGTCTATAAGTCTAGATTTTTTAATATAAAAAAAATTTTTAGACGCCAATATTATATCCTTTTATGTGTTTCTTATTTTTTTAAAAAAAATTTCTGGAGAAACAACAATTCCACGAGTTTTACAGGAGATTTTGCACCCAATCTGCTGAAAAACTAGTCCTTAGTAGGAAATTTTTTTTTCTAAGGTGGGTTATTTGTTACCCTTGCCCTTGTGTAATTATAAAAGTTTTAAAATCTTTATTTTACTATTATGCAAAATATAGTATTTAAAATATTAAATCAATATATTTGAAAGATATCTATGGACTATTTTGAAATAATAGATCATTCCATTAGGGTTAGGGTAATATTTTTACAATTTCTTATTTGAAGTTAGCATTACAGCCTAAGAACCTTAAACAACCGGTATACTTCAACTTTGCAACCAAAATTAATATTACAATATAAGTTTTTGCATATTTTTAAAAATTTGAGAGTTTGAAAATTGTGGCTTTAATTTTATCTTAGTATAAGAAAGTATGCACCTCATTGTTTTGAAAATTTTTAAAAGAACTTTCTGATCCTATATATAAACGAGATTTTGTTTTTCAATTTCCTTTCCAGTATAGAAGTTTTGCCAAATTGTACAATAAATTTTAGAACTAAAAAAATTCCTAAGCGTTTTGTAAAAATAACTTGATTTTTGATAGATTCTATGTTCAATCTTTACTAGAACCTTGGGATATTTATCAGAGTTTCTTTTTATAAAATTGCATTTGTCCAATGATTATTTGAAATATTCATCCAACCACATGTCCATTACTATGGTTTATCTCATTGAAGGAAATTTGCCAAAAGATAAATTTAGTTTTGTACTTATCTAAAAAGTTTTATAGCTCATATCTCAGTTGAGCTTTGGACTCAGTTTATTAGCAATATGTCAAGTCTAAAGTTTCGGATGAATGACTGAAATTGCAGTTTGTTAAAAAATTTCAAGCAATACTTAAAGTACTTTTTGAAATTTCATAACTAATTAGTTATAATATCAATTTAAAGTTTTTATATTCATATAACCAATATTTTTTGAGATTTAATACTTTCCTTTAAACACAAAATATTCATAGGACTGTATTGGTTCTCATTATACAACTGAAGATATTCCACGTTGATTAATTGATAGGATTTATATGCTTATAAGCATATAAATCCTAAATATAGGTATATATTTTAAAAGCCGAAAAAATTTATCAAATATAATTTAAATACTTATAAAAAAACGATCGATCAATTATTTACAAACATTGGCATTGCGATAATTACTCATCAGAGGCATGTAAATAGGATGAATATATAAATACAGTCTAGAATAAATAATATCAACTCACTTTTTGTTAATTAACCACAAACTTACTTTTTTTTAATTTTTTTTCATTTATATCCGCAAGTTCTAGATTGTGGGAAATAATTTAAGAGTTAGAGTCAATTTTTTTATTTTTATTTTAAGTGTTAATTTATGATCTAAATTTTTTTAATGTTCTTAGTTTTAAACATATCTGAGTAATATTGAACTCAACTGTGTCAGAAAATTTTTACTGTTTAAGATCGTAACCTTTTTTTTTCTTATTGTTTTTCAAATTTTCAGATGTCTAAGAGCAGCTCGTGATTGAGTGGAACTTTTGTGTTTACCAAGACTTTCTGTTTTTTTTTTTTTTTTTTTTCATTATATAATTAAATATTATTAAAATATTCTAATTTCTCTTGTATTTTAAGCTGAATTAAATTTCATTTAATCACTAATACTATAAAAAATAATTGTTACTTAGGTTTTTCTGATATAATAGACTTCTCAGAATGGCATTTTTTCCCCATTAAACATCAAACCTTTGAAAAAAATTACTATTGAACGGAACGAGGTTTATTGTTTCACTTAGTTTTGGACTTTAAATTTCATTTTCTTTACAAAAAAGCACTGATATTATTTACATGCTTTCGGACAGAAGTGTTAATAACCACAACTATTGGCAACACTGGCGGTGGTACTATTGTTTTTGGTGGTGGAACTGGTGGTACATCTGGTATTCCCGGTGGCAGTGGCAATGGCAATGGCAATGGCAAGTCAGGCAAAAGTGGATGCACCAAAGGGTGCTAAAATGTTTGGGTAAAATGTAATTATTTCCTTGAAAATGATTTTCCAATTATGGCAAAGTACTTTGAGTCTACTATGAAAGGTTTTTTAATATTAATTTAAAAAATAATATTTTAAAATTGAACTTTTTTATTTTTTTTAATTTCTTATTGATTCTATCGCTTAACATTAAGATAAGAATCAAGTTAAGTAGAGCATTAAACATTTTCCATTTTGGGAATAACATGTTTAAACTACGTATTAAGCGAGATGGCTGAACTCTTTATTAAAAAATTAAGAAATATGCTTACAAACCAATTTAGCATATTTTGAAAAACAGTTCCCTCATTTACAATTTCTGTAGGAATTATTCTTATTTTGGTTATTAGCTATCTTTGGAAAAAGGTTAACTAGGGGAATTGTGCACTCTACCTAAAGAACTGAGAACCCGTTCATGTGTTTAAAAAGAAAAAAAAAGGTTTCAAACTGCGTTGAACTTTAATTTGAAAGATAACAGTTTTTGAATAGAGCGACTTTGAAAACATCAGAATTTCACCAAGCTAGCAAATTTTATAAGATCAACTCAAGAAAAAAGATTGACACAAAAAGTTATCCTCCGACACGGGGAATCGAACCCCGATTTCCACGGTGAGAGCGTGAGGTGATAACCATTACACTATATCGGAATATAAAAAAAAGTTTTTAAGATAATATAAAGGCATTTTATTATTTTTAAATTTAATCATTTTTATAAAATTTCTTTATAAGGGGAAAGGGCTAGATGGTGTAAAGGGTAACACGTTTGCTCGATAGCGGAAGATACTGGGTTCGATTTCCAGAATACCCCCTTTTCCTGAGGATGTGTACGGGAGTATACACCTAGACTGAAAACCATAGGCTACCCTGGTTACAGGAATGCCGACTCTTCCGTACAGTCTAAATAGCCTGCAGGTGATTGCGGGCCGTATCTCTGACGGAAGAGATTAAGAAATACATGGGCGTCCGTGAAGATAAGTGGAAATGGGTTGGGAAGGTTTTGGGACCGACAGACTGGTTCTCCCTGTTTCTCGTAAGCTGGCATCAGGGCCCATCTTCCGGGCTACCGGAGACGCACAGAACAGAAACCACCCGTACTAAAAAGGTACAAATGAAAACCGGCAAGTCACATAGTCAGACAATAAAAGGATAGCGCAGATGCTGATGTTATATAGTTCTATAACCCTTGAATAAAAACAAACAAACAAACAAACAAATTTCTTTATTTTTGCTTAAAAATGAATAAAAACAAACAAACAATTATGCTTAAAAATTTACAATAAAATTAAAATTTAAGCAAAATAAATTGTAAAAAAAACTTTGACATTCAAAATATTATTTTAACGTTAAAGAGTAAAATAAATTTGACATTAAACAATTTTAATTCAGAAAGAAAGACTTTTCAGTGACTTTAAATTTATTTAACTCCAAACCTGATATTCTAACGCTTTTTCCTTAACTTAACAATTTTTTTTTCTGTTTTGATACTTTTTTCTGTTGTTGCTTGCTCTCTTATAATTATTCTTTTTTTAATTAATCTCGATTTAATATTGTCAGATTTCAAGCTATTTATACATTATCTTTGTTTTTGAAATGCTTATCAATAAAACATATGCTGTATAATTTCATGTTGAATATTCAATTAATATTAATATTAATAGTAGATAAAGTTTGCGTTGAAACAAGTATCATTATTTAAAAAAACACAGGGCATCAGCATTAGTATTAACATTAGTATAAGCTTAAGCTTCGACGTCAGCATCAAAACACTTCCCAACATCAATAATATTATCTTTATTACCATCAGTGCATTTATAGTTAACACTTGTTACTCATGTATTATTTTCATTATGATAATTGGAGAATAATCAGGGAGCTTCGGAGTTGGATCGGGTTTTAGACCACCTTTGAAGTACAAGAAGAACTTCAACTTAGCCGTTTGGCCATTTTAAAGTTAATCTAGAAAAAACAGCATTGTATGTTAAAAGAAGTTCCGCGATCGTTATCTTTTTCAAACAATACTCAACCTATATAAATATTATTTTTTTTTTTTTTTTTTTTTTTTTTTTGAGTTCACTTCTATGACAGATCGGGGTAGAATATTGTATAGTAATTAAGAATAATAATGCAGTATTACTTCATGCCTATTCAATTAGTAGACAAAAAAAATTACTTCAGTAAAAAAAAAAAATAGAATTAAATGGACGACACCGGAGTTGAACCGGGGACCTTTCGCATGCTAAGCGAACGTGATAGCCAACTACACCAGACGCCCACGTGACTTTAAATTGTAAAAGATCAACATGCAATCCATCGACCGGATAAACTAACATACAAGCGATCAACCGGATAAAAGAAACAAGCTACACCTAAATATTAGCAAAACTAATCCTATTAATGGTCATTTGTTAACATTGATTGAGAAATCTCCAATTGCAAAGCTAACCACGCTTTACATGTTGGCGAAAGATGATAGAGACTATATGAATAAAAAGGATGAAAAACGAAAATGCAAGAGGGTTGAACCTCTTACACTGAAACAACAACAAAATCAGACGATTGGAATTTTGAAGAAACAAGCAATGGAAGAATGGCAAGAAATGTATTGGAACAGCAGTAAGGATCTGTGGTATCATAATATCACAGTGGAGTCGAAATGTACTGATAATCTTTCCAAAATGGTTACGGGAGTGATCATGAAGAAAGATAGTCGAAGGATCTTGAGTAATATTACTCAATTTCGCACAGGCCATGGCAACTTTGGCGCATGGTTTAAAAAGTTTGGAATTGAAAAGGATAGTTACAACTGCAAATGTGGAGAGCTGGAAACAGTTCATCACATTTTAGTTGAATGTCCTTTGCTTGAAGAGGAAAGAAAAGGACTGAAACGGATATCTCCAGAGATGGACATGTCGACTCTCTTAAACAGTTTAACTGGCTTACAAGAGATTGTAAGCTTTATCTCTGCTTGGAGGGATTAAGAAATACAATTACAGCGTTGATGAAGACAAGTGGAGATAGGTTGGGAAGGTTTGGTTATTTTAACCCCCTGTTCCTCGTAAGCTGGCATCAGGACTTATTTTCGGGCTGTTGGAGATGCAATGTTGAAGCCAAAATTAAAAGTTTATTATTAAAATGAAAAAATATATAGTATGGACAAGAAGGATAGCGCAGATGCTGATGTTATATAATTCTATAACCCTTGAATAAAAACAAACAAACAAACAAAAGAAACAAGCAATTAAGCGATCGAGATAAATAACTATAAACACTTTAAAGAACAAAAATGCAATCGATCGAGATAATAATTATCGATAAATATTTGAGGATAAATACATTAATTTAGATTAAAGATTAAGAAGTGATTAAGAAGGAATTATTAAAGAGAATCGCTTGAATATATATAGTAATATATTTCCATAAGTTTTATCAGTATCTAAAAAGATATTTACATCAATACAATAAGTTTTATATTAAACTATTAGCTTGGTTCTTTCTTTGGACAATCCGACTTTACTCTCATACGATAACTCCATTACATAAATGTATAATTTTTGTATTGAATTTATAATACTTCAGTTAAAAACAGTATAATGACTAATCGTTATTTTTTTTAAATGAAATGCCGTATCTCTGGCGGAAGAGATTAAGAAATACATGGGCGTCCGTGAAGATAAGTGGAAATGGGTTGGGAAGGTTTTGGGACCGACAGACTGGTTCTCCCTGTTCCTCGTAAGCTGGCATCAGGGCCCATCTTCCGGGCTACCGGAGACGCACAGAACAGAAACCACCCGTACTAAAAAGGTACAAATGAAAACCGGCAAGTCACATAGTCAGAAAAATAAAAGGATAGCGCAGATGCTGATGTTATATAGTTCTATAACCCTTGAATAAAAAAAAAAAAAAAAAAAATTTTTAAATGAAATGAGGGGATGTAAAGGGTAACACGTTCACTCGACAGCGGAAGATACTGCGTTCAATTCCCAGAATACACCCTTTTCCTGAGGATGTTTACGAGAGTATACACCTAGGCTGAAAACCACAGGCTACCCTGGTTACAGGAATGCCGACTTTCCCATACAGTCTAAATAGCCTGCAGGTGATTGCGGGCCGTATCTCTGGCGGAAGAGATAAAGAAATACACATGCGTCCGTGAAGATAAGTGGAAATGGGTTGGGAAGGTTTTGGGACCGACAGACTGGTTCTCCCTGTTCCTCGTAAGCTGGCATCAGGGCCCATCTTCTGGGCTACCGGAGACGCACAAAACAGAAACCACCCGTATTAAAAAGGTACAAATGAAAACCGGCAAATCACATAGTACAATAAAAAGGATAGCGCAGATGCTGATGTTAAACAATTCTATAACTCTTGAATAAAAACAAACAAACAAACGAAATGCGGGTACCTGCAGTCAGATCACGTTAGATTGCTTGCGTGAAACCAATTGTTGAATATGGCTTAGAAATTTGGCATTATAAAATCTTGAAAGGAAAAATCCAGAAGTTGGAAATGATGCAAAACATGGCTTTGAGAAGAATTGTTGGTGTTTATCAGAAACTGCTATTGCAGTATGTCAAAAGGAAGCTGGTATGATGCCATATATATATTTGAGGGGAAGGTAAAGGGAATATTAATATCAATTTAGATACCAATATGAATGGAGAAATTAATAATATGACTTATCATAACACAAATGACAGAGATAACAGGAATATCAACGGTCGCTCCAATCTCGATGGCAACGCAAGCAGCAACAATATTGTGAGAATGGACAAAAAAAGAAACTAAGATAAAAAATTAAAATTGAATGGAAAAAGGTTCAAAAGAACAACATAATTAGAAAATGGGTGGATGAATTCCCTCTAAATTCAAACAAATGGCCCAAATTAACAAAATAGGAATTAGGGGTAAAAGGTAAGCAAACAACAATGACAAAGAATTGAAGAACAGAAGCATAATAGGTTGATTCACAACAACACAACATAATTGACAAACAGGTTGAATCATACTTTCATCAATGGTAAACGTGGTTCCTCTGGTAATCCAAGAGGTGGTCAATATGCAAGGTCAAGGTCGGCACTCCTTGATTATTTTGCGACCAACCATCAAAGCATTGAATAACTGAAAGCATAATAGGTTGATATAATGGTGTTGTAAATGTTTGTAAGTTTGTGAGTATCGGTTAATTTTAGTGGTAATTGAAGTGGTGATTGAAGTGGTGATTGAAGTGGTGATTGAAGTGGTAGATGGAGGTTGTCACAAATGATGTTCACCAGTTCCATTAGTTTATGCAAGATTTGTCCACAATGTTAGATGTATGATGATTAACAACAGATAAATAAAGTCACTTTGATTAAGGTGTCGGTAAAGAACCCTTTTGAGGAGAACCATGACTGTATACCTTTGAGGTTGGGCGGATTGCATGTATGTCTAAAAGAGAGTTAGTTCAATGACCTAAGTATTAGGTATATTGGAATAGGGAGACTTACCAAAAGACGACTGCAACAATAACGAAATTAATGGTGGCAAGGAAAGACAGTATAGCCTTGAGGTTGAGTGAATCGCGTGTATGTCTAAACGAGAGTTAGTTTAATGACCTAAGTATTAGGTTTATTGGAATAAGTAAGTAGACTTACCAAAAGACGACTGCAACAACAACGAAATCAATTGTGGTAAAGAATGACAGTATAGCCTTGAGGTTGAGTGAATCGCGTGTTTGTCTAGTAAAGGGTTAGATCAATGACCTAAGTATTGGATGCATTTGAATAAATACACTTACCAAAAGACGACTGCAGCATGTTGAAACTAATAAATAAAAAAAATATGAACAATAGTGTTTATGAATATCGAATGGGATATTAAATAATAGATCATAATTGATAATAGTGATAATAGTGACAATAATGATTCGTGGTTGCAAATAGTAAATTATT